GTGAGCCCGATGCCGGAGGCCTGACCGGAAGCAGAAGAGGCGGAAGAAGACGACTTGGGAGACCTGGCGGGCGAGGAGGCGGTCTGTTTCTTTGTCAGGACCGGCATGGGCCGCACATGGCGATGGGGCTGACGGCGGCGGGGGAGATGGACCCGTGCGAGATGAGGTCGCAGGAGACACGACGGGGCAGGGGGACGCCGTAGTCGAACTCGAGGGCAGACTCCGAGCCGGGCGAGTGCATGTGCGGCGAGACGTCGACAAAGGAGCCAAACGAGTTCCTGGAGTGGAGGGAGTGGTGGTCCGAGAAGGAGGACTCCGACAGGCTGCGGTTGTGCAGCGTCTGGCTGGGGTTGATGAAGATGGGGTGGTGCTGGTGGTGGTGGTGCTGGTGGTGGTCGTGGAAGGGCGAGGAGTCGATGGAGTGAGCCCTGTCGATGGCCGTCCACCCGTTGTCGCTGCTGGAGCTGGTGAGGGAGCGGGCCTCGAGGTAGCTGTCAACGGGCGAGCTACCGCTCTCCGGCTGATACGGGCCAGCACCGCCACCGCCCATGCCGTCGAGGGGAAAGGCACCAAGCTCGGCGTGGAAGTCGTGCCAGGTGAAGGGGACCATGTCTACCGGCGTGGAGAGGGGTATATAGGAGCCATCGAGCATGCCGGCGTCCATCTGGTGGACCTCCGTCTCCGTGACGGGCAGCATGGGCAGTCCTATGGGCGACTGCAGCGGCACAGTGGTATACGCGTAGTCTTGCTGCTGATGCTGCTGCTGCTGGTGCTGGTGCTGGAACTGCAGATGGGGCTGGAGACGCTGAAAGTGCCACTCCGCCATGAGTCCCGGGTCCGGGGCGACCGTGGTGGTGGCATCGTAGTGGCCGGCAGAGGTGGTCGTGGTGGACTCCGCCTGGTCAGGCCATGAGTGAGACGCCAGGTACGCTCGAGGGCTGTAGTCGAGGCCAACGAGCCCGTCAGAGGTCAGCTCGACGTCGCCCATGGTATCATGCAGTCGGCAGGCGGTCGTAGGTCGTCGTAGGTCTTGGTCTTGTCTTGGTCTTGTCTTCCTCTCCTCCGGTGGCTGCTCGCAAGATGAGGATGAAGAGGATGAAGAGGATGAAGAGATGAAGAGGATGAAGAAGAGAAGAGAAAAACCCCGACTTGCCCTTTCAAGCGTGGGGGAAGAAGAAGAAGAAGAAGAAGAAGCCAAAGCAGCGGTGAGGCGGCGTCCACTGCCACGTCCTTGTCCTTTGCGCACGCACTCATACACTCATACTCATACACTCATACCCACATACACCCACATATACACACCAGGCGACGCTACGGCGACGCACTGCGGTGTCATGCACGCGCTTCATCCTTGTTCCTTGCGGTTATCATTCTTGCTATACGATGTAGAGACGATACATAGTACATAGTAGATGAATGTAAGATGAATGTAAGATGAATGTACATGAATGTAAGATGTACATGAATGTAGATGGATGGCTCTCCGCTACTTTGGCGCCTGGCGGTGTACTGAGTCGTTTCTTTTCCTGGACAGATGATTACATGCATCGGCCCGCTGCCGAGTCGGAGTATCACGTAGTTACATCGAGTGCTTATTACAGAGTTAGAACAATACCAACAATAGTTAGCACAATAGCCCATGCCGTTGACCAGGAGAGTCCGCTTCCCACGGGCCAGGAAGAGGAAGAAGACGAACAAGACGAACGAGACGAACGAGACGAACGAGAGAATGAACGAGAACAAGACGAACGAGAGAATGAACAAGACGAACAAGACGAACGAGAGAATGAACGAGAGAATGAACCCGCTCTTCGCCACGCTGCCTCCGCTCGACGGGCTGCAGACAGAGACATCCCGCTCGCAGGCCCAGGTCGCCGCCCGCTGCATCCCCCTCCTCGCCGGCGAGGCGACTTTCCTCTCCCTGAACGGCCAGGGGGTGCAGCAGCTCGCCCGCCAGCTGCACGTCGACTACCTGCTCGACGCCCTGGGCCAGTATCCCGCCAGCTTCGTCGGCCTCGACGCCAGCAGGCCGTGGATGGTCTACTGGGCCCTGGCCGGGCTCGCCCTGCTCGGCCAGGACCTCTCCCTCTTCCGCAGCAGGTGTGTTTCCTTATACATACATATATACGTACGTGCTGACAGGATAGGGTCGCTGCAACGGCGGCACCGATGCAGAACGGCACAGGGGGCTTTGGCGGCGGACACGGTCAGATGTCGCACTGCGCTTCGTCCTACGCTCTCACCCTTAGCTTGGCCATGGTCGGTGGGCCAGAGGCTTTCTCTCTCGTCGACAGGCTCGCCTGGTTGGTCCTATGCACCGTTCCGTCTCTGTTTGTGTTTGGTTGCTAACGCCCGCAGCTGGAGATGGCTGGGACAGTTGAAGCAGGCCGACGGGGGGTTTCAGGTCAGCGTGGGAGGCGAAGAGGATGTCCGGTTGGTCCCCGTCCTCCCTTCTCGCTGCTGCTTCCCGCTAACCTGCCCAGGGGAGCCTACTGCGCCATGGTGATGATTGCCCTGCTGGATATACCTCTCGAGTTGCCACCGGATGCCCCAGCACGGCAGTTTGGACTCGACTCCTTCACCAGCGGCCTGCCAGAGTATCTCGCCAGGTGTACGTCCATACCCATAAGTGCATACACAAGTGCAAGGCTAACCGTACCAGGCCAGACGTATGAGGGAGGCTTCTCAGGAAGCCCTGGCACAGAGGCCCACGGCGCATACACATACTGCGCACTGGCATGTCTCTGCATCTTGGGCCATCCCCGGGCCATGATCAACAGGTGCGCACCATCCCGTTCTCCCTCTCGTCAAGTAAGTTTTCTAAAAACGACCACAGGTATACCGACCTCCCCTCCTTGGTCTCCTGGCTGTCGGCAAGACAGTATGCCCCCGAGGGCGGCTTTTCAGGTCGCACAAACAAGCTGGTCGACGGCTGCTACAGCCATTGGGTCGGAGGATGCTGGCCGCTCGTCCAGCAGGCCCTGGACGCTGGCTCGCTATCGGCTCCCCGCAGCCTCTACAGTCGCGAAGGCCTGTCCAGATATATCCTCAACTGCTGCCAGTCGCAGTACGGTGGCCTGCGTGACAAGCCCGGAAAGTATGTCAGATGATGTTCCCCCCCCTTTTTTTTTTACTTCCTTGATAAGAGGCTGAATCCTCGTATTTAGACATGCGGATTCCCATCATACATGTTACACGCTGGCCGGATTGAGTAATGCACAGCACCAGCACACCAATACTCACCCCCAGCCTGAACCAGGTGCCGCCAACCATGACCCCTTCGAAGCCGCGTTTTCATGGACCTGTTCGCCTGCGCTCGCCGACGGCAGTGATCCGGACACGGTCTACGAGGAACAGGACCGTCTGACGGCCCTCCACCCTCTCTTCGTCATCCCGCACGCTGCTGCTGAGGCCATACGCTCGTTCTGCAGGGCCAATCCCATCTCCATCCCCAGAGAGACCGTCTGAAACGTTGCTTTCTACATAGTGCTATGCACGGGTCGGTCTCGATATTATGTGCATCCATGCAGCGGATGCGGAAGCGAGTGTCCTGTCCGACTGGGCATTAACCGAATATCATGAGGGAAAAATGCACTCACGCCGTCTGCTCTTCTTTGTCTTCTGGACGAATCGTAGAAGCCGCCTTATGCAGGTATCCTGCCGACCTTACAAACGAATTAGTCAAGGTACCTCCCCATGTACAGGTCTGTATCCCTCTTCGTGCATGTATGTATCTCTTTCCCGGTTCAATGCCCTGCATACCGCATCAGGTCGACTCTACAAAGAGATAACCCACGGCAAAGTACTCCATTCTATGTATGTAACCTATGTAACTGTGTATATCAAATCTCTTCATCCCTGTACCTGCAACTGAAACAACCCTTGTCTATATGCGCCCGTCTGCCCTTGCTCCCGCCCTCAACCCTGGCCTACATAGCTCCGTTTCTCTTCAGCGGCGATGACCTCTTCTTTTACCGCCAACGGATTTATCAACTTGCCTCTCCTCCTGAAACGCATGAAATATTCCATTCCTCATTATCAATATGCTAAATCTCCACTAATTCCTAAGAATAACCATCCGACTAGTCAAATAGCCACTATCGGCCTTCCTTTTTTTTATTTTTCCCCCCCTTCTTACAAAAAATAAAAGCCGCTTGCCAACTCATCAGTGCATCAAACATGCCTGTCACTGGGAACAACGCATAACTCGCACCAAGTTTCCCCCATCCGTAGCTTTTGACGTAAGTACTTCTCATTTCTGCCGTCAACTAGTTAGTCGAAGCTGCGAGTAATACATTGCTGACTCCCTCCCAGACCTGATCCTGTCCTGCTCGCCTTCGATGCAACTCAGCTTCCCGCTTCGTCCTTGGGCGGTTTCGCCAGCCAGTCACCTACCATCCACGGGTGGAGACATCTGTACAGCCATGGGACATCCTCCAGAATGATTTGCAACGCTGGCCAACGCACGTCTAAACTATTACGTGCATCCGATTGCATCTACAGTGGAGAACAGGAAAAGGGTTAACGACAAGGGGGAGACCCAAGGAAAAAGCCGTTATCGTCTTCAATCAAGCAACTCTCCTTGGTCTTTTTTTTCAACTGATACATGACCGAACTTTACTCGATCTTGTTTCGTTTCTCCACTGAAACGGGACATGCAAACCGTACTATGTACACTTGCATGACCTTCTTTTCGCCTTCCCGCTGGTTCTTCTTGATCAGGCCATGCCACACACACACACACAGAAACAGACAGACAGAGGGAGGGAAAACGCTTCGGTAAATAGCCCCCCGTAACTTGATGCCGGGTATCCCATCTCAGTGCGAAGGGCAGACAACCCTCGTAAATACATTGGCAGGATATAGAAGATCTTGCATAGCGCAGTGCATCGCATCGCATCGCATCGCATCGCATATCAACCAGGCAAAGCACAGGAAGATATAAAAACCATGCAACGCACCAAGATATAAAAATCATGCAACGCACCAGGCTTGTTCCCAGGCGTCTCCTTGCCTGCGGCTTTCGACCAAAAAAGCTGCCAAATGAACCCAGAGAGCCAATCCCAGTGGGTTTTAGATCGACGGCAAAGCAGGCCGTGATTCGCTAGTGCCGGGGGGGTTACGTTCTCGATCTTTCATCTTCTTCACTGGCAAGAAAACCTGCCAACACATCAAAAATCCAAAGTGGAAAAGGAAAATGAAAAAAAAAAAAAAAAAAAAGCAAGAAACGGTCAAAGTATGCGGAGAGAGCGAGCATGTTCCATCCAGCTCCTTTCAATGATGGTTGAGGCCATATTCCTTCATCTTCTGGTGAATTCCCGACGGTTATGAAGGCGATATACCTCGTCATATCACAGCTATCAACATCGCCCCCCCTTTTTTTTTTTGATAATCAAGGCAATGAATGATATCAGCATCATATACTCGGGTGTCCAAGGATATATTTATACATGCTAGCTAATTCATCATAGCCCCACCCGTTTCTCCTTTTGCCATCTCTTTTTGCAAGGTTTTTTTTTCCCTTCTCTTCCTTACTGTGCTGGGTGGATTCAAAAGCGAGGCCATCCTTCGCTCTCTAACTATACATATTGAACCCAGCCGTCTAGAATGGCAGGAATTCTTCCTTTTATTTTTAGATAAGAACTGACAGGAGCATCTTTCTCTGTACAAGAGTATCATCCCTAACGCAATCGTTCCTGTAGACACCCTTTAAACCCTTACAACCTTGCTTCCCACACACACCCCCTTTTTTTCTTTTCTCTTCGTTTTTATGTTTAATTTCATCCCGAAGCTTTAGTTCGTTTACCAATTCTCCCTGCCAATTTGCTCTATTTCTACCTGAATTCGCCCTAAAAGAACCGCCTCGTCTTTGTTTTTCAATGCCCGTGTACTACTAGCTGGCAACCTGTTGGGCATCCATCAAACCCGGATTGAGACTTTCGTCCGTCCTCCATTTCTTCGGTCAAGAAACGAGGAGAGAAAGATATACAAGAGAAAAAAAAAAAAGAAAAGAAAAGAGAGATACACCCTGCGGCCGAACCGGATTCGCGGATAGGAGATCGTGAGACTGGGAGAGTCGGGCAGCACGGAGGAATCGAGAAGACGGGCCAAGAATAGTAGTATTCCTGCCTGAGGAGATATTCCAACGATACCCCCCAAAAGCTGTTCAGGGTACATCGGCTACTTAGCTCAAGATGTACTACATTCTTTACCTTGCGAGTATGTTGACTTCTTCTCTTTCTCCTTATTGAATGAACACACACCCCTGACCCAACACCCAACTGCCAATTCATCCATTCCTTCGTACCAAATACCGGGATTGCCCAACTATCCAATCAATTGCTCGTTTGCTACCCCTTCCGGGCACCTGATGTCCTCGCTTTTCCATTTTCCAGCCTGTGATGATGATCATGCTGTTTGGTGGGATGGCATTGTGTTTCATGCAGAATATCCAGACCTTCAGCCACTTGTTTGGGTGTCTTGCTGTAGTAACGGGGGAGCTGTCGATGTTCCCGGTGCCCGATACCTATTCTAAATCCCTAGTCCATGTACTGGTTTACTCCCAGTTCAATGCCTGAATGATCAAAGTTGTGTGACCCTATGGCTTCATGATAGACTTTTTTTTTTTTTGACGTCTAGAAAGTCCTGCAACTTGTTTTCATATCTTTCCTCAGAGCCAACCAGCCCAATCGGACGGGCAATCATAATATGGTATAAACAGCCAATAACATGTATTATGTTCCTTGCAGGTCTTTGCCGCCGCCGCCGTTGGCCAGAGCCCCTTTACGAACAAGTAAACGGCTCCGGATCAGGATATACATGCGTGGTTCGAGTTAATAACCGCGAATATCAAACCGATGAAGCCTGCCAGACGGAACTGCTCGCTCGTGAGAAGGCCGCCATGCGAGCTTATCTGATATGCCGGAATTTCTCAGTCAATGACGGCATGTACCCTGCCGGCCACGACCATGGAGGCATTGTCCAGGGCATTCCCGTTGCCATTGGCACTGGCCGAAGAGCTCGATATACAGATGATACCGATACATCCACAACCAGCAGTGGTGGAAGCCGAAGCGGAGGTAGCAGCCCTGAAAGCTATGACAGAGGTAGGGTGCATCGAGCCCGTCAGGGGCCTGCGCCAGCCATCGCCCTGGCATATAGCTCCCGTTAATTGCATGAACCAATGAATCTAACTCGACTTGGCTCAAGGGATTACCATCACATAGTTACACCTCTACACGCCTGCCAGGGTGAGAAAAAGAAAACGGAAGGGAAAAATGGAGAAAAAAAGAAAAAACGGATATACTGCCTTATCGCACACATACCTCCGAAATCCAACATCTCTCAATCACACTTTTCACACACAGTTACACGACCAAGCAGCACAAAACAAACATATGTTGATGACAGCTTTTATCGCCTATGACTTTTCACGATTTTTACGGCTTGCTTTTTCTGTGCCTTGTACCGCCGTCCGTATCTTGCAGTCGGTTCGGATATGACGGCACCTATTCCTGATACTGCCTTGTGACGACAACCAAAAAGAAATATTGACGACAAATGAATGATGAACGAATGATGACTGAACGACTTTTTCCTTTCTATCTCGATTTTGTTTCCTATCTCGCATTTCTCATATAGAACCTCGCCCCTTGAAATCCTTCTCTCCAGGCAAAGCCGCAATGCTCCCAAGCATGGAGAAGCTTTTTTTTTTTTTCCCTGTTGCTTTCAGCGTCAATCCCTGGATAATTTACCGCAGATACCGAAATCTTTATGCCTTGGTGGATATTTTATTTTCTTGCTTACCTGCTTGTTTCTCTAGAACCATGAAACTTCTTCCCGTACATCCTTCATGACTTGACGATTTTAATGATGAAGACTCTCTGGAAACATTAATGCTATATCTTAACATGGAACTTCTCCATGCAAATATCCCTTCCATTCGCTTCCCTAGAAACTCACACCTCGGACTAGAACTGGTAAAAGCACTAGCTTGGCAGCCACATAACGAGCTATATGGAGTCTGGAGGACACACCTTCTGCCTCCATGTGATGTGTAACAGCGGAAGATAAATGAACTCTACCCCGGCCATGTTGGGCTGAACGGAAGAGGGCTTTGGTTGGCTAGTTCCTATTCGTCACAATTCTCCTGTTGTGTCATATCAATGGAAGGTTTCATCCGTTGTTCCTTTTGTCCTTCCATCGGGGTAATATCAGCCAACCACTTGCAAATAACAAGCCTATAGCCCAACTATCGGGATTCTTAATTGGCCCTATACTCGTTTAATATGAGGAACTAATCCTCAAAAGTACTCAGCGGATAGGCATCGATTAATTAAATGTGTTATGATCAGAGAATAAGCTGGTTTGTATAAATATCTTCTGAAGGCTTGTAGATGCTCTAAGGCTGTTGTCTGGGCTATTTGATGTTTGTTGTTCGCTGTGTAGAAGTTTTATAACAGCATCTATAGATGGGTGAGGTTGGCTTTCCCTTTTGGGAAAGTCACTCGGATAGCAAAAATATTTTCCCGGTGAACTCCACGTGATGTCCAAATTGAGTTGATGAATCAAAGATTTTGTTATCAATTTCATTGAAAGACGACGAAGAGAAGAACTGACGTATTGTGTATCTGTTTGTCCGTAGAAGTGGGATGGTATCCTGTTTATTCCTCCAAACTCAGTTATGAAGCCATCGTTACATTGACACATCGAATGTTGAACAACCCCCCTTCAAGTGATACCCTGAACCCTGCTCCCTGGCGCTGTCCCGTCATCGTAAGCAGTTTATGTATACCCCCAGTCCATCCCACAACAATGCCAAACGTCAATATCAGCCGCTGAAATCCCTGCATCTAGCTCCAAAGGAGAAATTGGTCGCTGGCGATGAGAGTACTCAGTACTTGCATTTCATTGGTGGTTGAACGACTGTGCCAACACACACGGCGTTCCGGTTCTAGAAAATCCTAAAAAAAGGGATATCGTCCAGGTTCGGTTTATTCCCTTCAGCCAGCCATGATCTGGTTGCTAAGATCATGGGTTCGCGCACTGGGATATTTTAACCCGCCCCGTATTCATATTGCGCAATGCAGGAGGGTATCAATCGTCGATGAACCCAATTTGGTAAAAGCAAGGGAATGAAGATTTGGCAAATCACCAGGGAAACAGAAAAGTATGGGAGAAGAAGGAAACGCTGGCACTAGCTGATATCGTGAAATCGCCAAAAGAAGCATAACCAAACGAATGATGCATGCGGAAAATAAGAGAAAGAGATTTCCAATCTATGAAACTTTTGCAATATTAGCCGCCCAGGCCGCTAGATATGCTGATATGGCAATGAGGAGATATCGATTCATATTTAATTTCTGATGGGGTCGTAATAAGTCGACTTTGTCTGTGTTTCAGAACCTGAAGTTGGACTTTTCGAGCCTTTTCGTCGCAGCCGGGCTCATCAGAGACCAAGTGTTAGTATCTTTTCCTTTGCTCAAAATATCAAAGGCATAGGCTATATTGGACAGGAGAAAAGGGAGCTGAGACTTACCGGAACTGCCTCCACTACTACTACCACCACCACCACCACCGGAATCTTTCTTATTCTGGTTACGATGGCGATTGTTGCGTATATCCCGTGAACGGAATACACTGTACAACAGCCATCCAGTAACCCAATTAGGGCCGTACTCCCCAGGAGTAGCACCGCGGTCGAATAGGGGTCGTGTCACAGGCCCCGAATTTCTCCATATCTCCATCACACCCCACCGCTGTCGGTCGGGGCGGATATAGTGCCAACAGAATGGCGGCCGCATATTTGGGTCGGCTCGATAATTATCGAGCAAGTCAGAATTGCTTCGATGCATATGGTTATACACCACAATGGCTTCATCCTGATAAGGGGAGTTATCAGCAATCGCGCATTATTTGCAATCCCCCTCCTGCCACCCTGCATTACTACGCAATAGTACTGAAACTTGTGGTTGGTAGGTTTCCTCTCCCTACCAAATTGTTGGGTCACTCACCCTCATGGCACGGTAATATGGCTCATGCTGAGGATTATTTGAGTCCAAACCAAGTGCGCGCATGAAGTCTTCTTTGGATGCTCGAGGCCCAACAGGCACTGACATCTTATTTATGGGAAATCAATGCAATGAACAGCAAATCAAAAGCCTCTTTAGGTGAACTAGGCCCCAGGCCTTCCACGTCGTTCAATTGGAGTAATGGGTGCTTAGGGGGAAGAAAAAGAAGCGTTAGGTCAGGAATAAATAAGGGAGAATAACAGAGAGGCTAAAGAGATTGAAGGTGAAATCTTTAAAGCTGGCAATCCACGGCGATCACGCGGTTTTATATATCTCCAACCCAGCGCCTCCGAAGCATTGAGCTTAGTACTCTGATAGCAAACATTATGCATCTTACTACTTGCTTTGTAGCCCTGACTAGTATTTTCTCCAAGCTTCGATCGAAAGGGAAATGGAGGGTTGAACGCGAATTCAACAGCTATATGTCAACGTCACAATGCAGTAAGTTTATCGTACTCGATGCATATGACAAAAAAGCAATATAAATTCTATTTATCATGTGCGACTAGGTTAACCCCAGTTTCAACCACACAGCGGGCCTGGAAGCTTCGGACAAATTTCGGATCCCCTGACACCATAAAAGGAATAATTCGACAAAATATACCTCAAATGTCGACTTTGCAGGGCAGCCATGCTGATCAGTAACCACTCCATCGGAACGTCCCCTCTGGAAAGCATGGAAGGGATTGGCTCCTCCGCCGTAACAAAATGGGAAATGGGGCATTGCTCGGGCCAGGGTATCTATAACTTCCTCTTCGGACAAGGCTATCGTTCACATGAGAACTTTATGACGAAATATAGAGCCTGCCTGGGGCAGTATTCCCAGCAGGTCGTTCACAGTAACCATCCTCGCGTGGTTATTCTTCTGCAAAAGCAGTTGATTTGAGCCAGGTGGATGGGTATGACAACTTCTCCCAGTGGTACAGTGTCGACCGCTCGAATTCTTCAGCTATTAATATTCATGTCGATATTATCATTATCCCGGCTATTCGCAAATATCGTTGTTGACGGGGAAGGTGCATAGTGGTAGCCTGGGTCGCTGTGAGACAATCAAGTTCGTATATTCGTGAACCCTTAACCACTGCCATTTTGTTCGACCATTTCAAGTCGTTTTTGGTGACACTTCTTGGTGATTCCGTAAATTCCGTCAACATGAGATGACTATCGGACAAATACTATCACTTCGAGGCCCAATATGCTTATTCCGGACAGCCCATTGTTCAGACTCCAGATCCCATAAGCCTGGCGCGCGATATCACTTCATCAGGCGGGACTGGTGTGTCGTATCCTTCAGTATGCACGGCATGCGTGACTCTGTTCTCTCCCAGTCGTTTGGGACAACCTATCTATCCGGGTACCTACTTCCTTCTTATCTCTTGCCGGCACCAGGGAACGGCTGGCGTTTTAAAGCTCTGCGGATCGGATCAGCCCGCAGCATGGGTAAAATTTTCGCGCATTTTGCGGTTGCGGGATCTCAAATTCTAGCCGTTACTATCAAACTACTCCATTGACTATTTTTTGTTTTTCAATAGTCTGAATGCCTATTTGGTCGTCGTGCTTCAATTCCAAGACCAATCAAAGCCTGTTTACGGTTCGCGTTGCGTATTGCCGTTTGTCTAGTGCAAGCCTCCCTGCTTATCCGGCTAATGCATTATTGATACCAGAAACAGGGAGGGCGCAGTCTGCAGGGAAGCACTGGAAAAATTTGCAATTCTACATGTGAGTGAGATTCCTGGCAATTCCGGCCTTTCAGTTTGTTTAACAGTGATGTTACTATGTACAGCGAATGAAAAATGGACCAGATGACCCCGTGGACGGGGGATATTCTGTCTTGTCTGTTTCCCTGGGAATTCAAATTAGAACTCTCTCAGTCTACAGAGCTACTAGGAACTACAGAAAGAATGGAATGTCAACCTCGTTTCAAACCCCGTCTCGTTGATTTGGGTAACCTTAACCATCGTATCGAGGTTATAAATAAGATGCCAGGGACCATGGGTTCGAGCTGTGTACTTGGTTATGTGCATGAGATTCTGGTGATTAAGCGATAACTAATGAAATAATGATCTCTACCCCGGCCTCTAACCGCAGTTATTATATATGCGGCCTCATAAGCCGACAAACATCCTACCTCCAATCTATCTAACTTTTGGCTAAGCAGCAGCCCTTAGAGGCTGTCTCTCTGAGGCTAACTAGCACATATGCAGGCGGGCCCTTACTCGATGAATGGGGATAGGCTGTGTGGCAATCAGGACACCTTTCAGATTGCCCCTTACGCCTACCCCGTATACATATGCTTAATACTTTTTACCCTTCCATATAAAACTATCCCTGTACATGCTTTCCTCTAGGGTTTGCCCTTGGACTGGCTCTCAGACTTAATCTTAGCTAGCTCATTATATCCCACTGCAGGTGCCTGTAATTCTGAAATGGTCTGCATGTAACGGGGCGTAAGGGGTGCAGATAGGTGGTATTTGTCTGATTGTAGGGGCTGTTACATTGTTCGAAGGTGAACTGGGCCACTTGACCGTATTTCTTTAGACAGACTATCGGGTAAAGAAACGTCGAGTAAGATGGAGAAATAGTACCATGTATATATCTATCCTGGAGGTATCTACATAGGGTTCTGCTGGCTCTACTAGCACGGAATTGGACATATATCGGTCGAAAGGAACAGATCACCTGTAGGAGTACTACTATGTATGTTCCCAGATTTCGAAGCCAAAGCATGGGGGTTGGCTTTGATACTCTTATTTTTTTCCCGGCTGGATCCTCGCCACTATCCCTGTGTGTCAATGACCAGTTCATTCTATTCGTTTCCAAGAGCCTAAAACACCGCCAGGATCGAATATTCGCCCCCGGGAGCGGCCATGTTCCTTCACTCAACCCCATATCCAACCAAGCATTTTCTAGATGGCAAAATCAACCAGCCTCCTCATTTAATCACAAGTTGGCAAAGTGCTCGAGCCACCGCTAGGCTAAGAACTGTATAGTTCATTGAATGACTTAATATCCAGCCACAGGTGTAATTCGGCCATAGCTCGGAAATCCCGTCCAGCGAAGGTTATCGGTTTAAGTTAGGGATCTCATGGGGTACATCCACTACCGTAAAGAGGAGAGTAGATACATAGTATGTATACAAGAAAGTAGCCAGTAATACCACTGGAGAGCATTTGGCTGTACTGATTTTCGTGTATTTGATACGTTGCACTTAGACACAGATAACTAGTAATTCTAGTGTGAAATCCCTATGATAAGACGGCTTGTCTGGAGTAAGAGAATGAAGCAAAGTATAGAATCTGAGGGAACATTCGTTAGTGGAAGTTATGACGTAGCCTTTTTGGCGAATTTATACGTCAAGTGTTATTATAAGGTACAGTTGGTGGCTTCACGATCTGAATTGAAACCTACAAGAGAGAACCAATTAGGGGGGTGCTTCGATTAAGCGATTGGTAAATGGGCCATTTACCTCTCAAGATCTTGGATCGAGCGATCGAAGGCAATGGATATGAGGTTGTGCACGCGATCAACGTTTTCTTTTCATTGATGGATAAAGTTGTATGACGGAGCGGTCCCTCCCAGACCTAAAGGCTTGCATCCACTTCAGTCCGCCCTTTCATACACGAAGTAGGGTATATACACCTGTGACTATGTGGGGACGACGGGAGGGTGCTCCCTTCCCTTGCCGCGTAATTAGTTATACTTAAACAGCACCAGATAAACTCCACAGGCCGCATGATATTTCATCATCAAACGCACAGCTGGGACCTGAGCGCTGATCGGCCCCAGTTGTGTGGCTGAGAGTTGTCTTATCTCCAGTCTATCAATGTCGTGTACCATTCTCACACTGCTGAGCATTGTTTTTTCATAGTATACATATTACTACGGTTATAAGATAGCAAGGCTCGTTGACATTGAATAGAATTAGTCAGAAAAATAGGGCTGTGCGCATGGACGTGAAAGAAGCGATGTGGGTCGGTGGAGATGTGGCAGAAGGCAATATCAGGCGCTGAGATTGTATTGGTGAGGATGGTGGACACATACTGTGGATAGACAAGCTGCAGAAAGCTCCAGATCCGATGATGATTGCCCTTGGTTGAGGATGCTATCTTTCTTGACGCAAAACCATTTATGTATCCTGGTTTCATGTTGGTGGCGCAGCTTCTTCAGCTAATTATTTCTGACTCTCCATAAGTTCAATTAAAAACTCGTGGATTCGTCTTAAACTGATAGCTCTGAATAGATAACCCCGCTAGCTCTCCGGTTTATCAAAGCTTCTCTTGATTAGCTTCACCTCCCAGTATCAGCTGCAGCATGCGCTTCCAGGCATATCAGGAGTATAACCAAATGCTATCTCGCTCAAAAAAATGGTTAAAGATTGAAGGTTTCTAAACCTCGGCCCATCGGAGCTGATAATAATCGATCTTAAGCCGACCGTCTCATGCGCATCATGAACTACAGACCCGAAAAGACATATTTTAGCAAAGCCAAAAGCGTGGGTTGATCTTGCTGCAGCCTACATAGACAAGTCATGCATGAAGCTCCATTGATATTTTGAGCAGGGGGGGTGTATTGTGGGTGAATGGGAAGTAGTCCGGTTCATTTGAAGAGTTTCCCCTACATGCTTGTAGATCGGCGCTGGAAAGCAAATAAAGCTTTCCACATTATGCATCATGCAGTCGGGGTCTGCCGGGATATACACAAATGAGCACCAGGTTTGGTAGCAGGAATTAGAATATTCTATGCTCCCCGAAACCTTCTTGATGCCATTCTATGTTTAGTATCCACAATAAGAGTGAAGGCTTGTATCAAGAAAGGAACGGAGTGTAGCTGTTATTTATCGATCCAGGAGCTAAAATTTGATTATCGTAACCATGGGTGGATTGTAAGTAGAAAGCGAACAGTAGTTAGGTAAATGCCCTATATCGTGGGTATCGTTGTTGCTAGAGTAACTGCTTCAGCTAAGTAGGATGAAAGCTAATATTGGGTATAAGGGCTTGGGTGAAGCAGGTGGGAGTGTATAGCTAGTACATAGGAATTAACTAATATAACCATGTACTACTTTGCGCCTCAGCACAATGTTTAGCGGCCATAAGTTATATTCAGCAACAGCCAGACTTGATGTTGTTTTCGTGAAGTTGAAGTTGAAACAAAGTAGGTTGGTGGATGATTAGTCATCATCCCGAAGAGGAAACTAAGACTTCGTTTCAATCCAGGCGTAAATAAGCAGGCCAGCCACATACTGATAATAGCCTAAACACCCATAAATACTCCTTGTTCCCATAATTGCTTCTGAGGAACTTCAGCTGTTCATCTCAGCCCATACTCTTTATTCTTCTTCCCATGGCGAGAATTTGCTGCTGCCACAGGGTCAATGCAATATATAGGGCTCTGATCTTTACCCTTGATACTGTGTTATAATAGTGTTCCGTCAGAGTCCGCCATTCGGCCAAAAGGCGGGCTCGCGCTAAATGGCGACAGAGAGACTGATTATATTTGACATATTTCTTCCCGTTTCCTTCACCATCCATATGGTGTAACCCAAATACCTCCTTAGTCTATATCCACATCATTATCTTCGCACAAGACACAGGGTACAATCTGGCACCTCATGCTTACTCCACCATTGTACGGGTCGTAAACTTACCCTTATCTCCCCACCATTCTCAGCCTCATTAAAATATATAGATATTAAGTATTGATTCGTCAAGCCTAAAACGACTGCTACATAGGTTCGTTGAAATCCACCTATTTTGAAATTCTCATAGTGGCGAAGTGACAGAGGCGACATACTTTGACCCATAATAACCCTTATCAATGAGTTAAAAGTGGCGACGTAATCTGCTTGAGGCGGATAGAAAAACTATTGTAGTTTCCGGAAGCTAGTCCGTTATAATAACATATAAAGGTTAAATGTTGGAATCTGCCGGAATTTCTTAGTACCATGACTGTCTAGATGCTTCGCCCCTTTGAATTTTATGATACCGTTGGGGATTTAACCTTAACAAGGCTGATGTATTCAGGATACTAAGACGTTGAAATTTCATTAGACTATAGTTAGATACCTGAGATGCTCTATCGTTGTAGTAATAAGTGCGATTATAACACCATAAATTGGTATCGATGGTCTCGCGCTTGTTCAATCCTGTTGGATTCTTATGCACGCAAACGCTCTAGTCGAGACAATACGTCCCAGATTCCGCTTCAATGACAGCATTGTAGGTATTTCTAGCTAGTGTGGGATTCCTCCTAGGTCTAGATTTGGGGGCACAACGTTTGGATTAGAAGGTAACTGGAGATGCTGGTATCGAAATTGCTGGACAATGGCTACTGATAATCGACAAACGTCTCGACTGAGAGATCAATGCCAAAGCCAAAGATATGAAAGAATTGCATTTTAAATGTTTCGAGGACAGAGTATGTTAGTATTCACCTTTGTCAAAATAGATGAGGAGAATAGAAGGATAGCTTTGGGTATTTATATTCAAGCAATACCCAAACTTGGTGAGTGTCGGATATGTAGTTATACGTGATCCTTGAAATGTGACGGAACCTCAATTTCTGTATGATGCTGTCACTCGTGTCTATTAAAACATTCTATGTAAGTCATGCATTAAGCTGTCGAACCTAGACATCAAATATATATATATATATATATATATATATGAATCGCAGGTCAGCCGAGACCCTGTGTATCTTATCCCTAAGATACAAGCTGTATAGATCTCTCCATTTGATAGTGTCTTGATATATCGAATAGTCTGTGGCGCTAGCTAAGGCATACCACCAAAGAAGCTTAACCTTATGGCGTCCAGCCTCAAGAGCGTTGAGCCTTAACTCTTCCGTCATCGTCAAAAGAATATATATAATATCCTCATATCCTCCTAACTTTCCTTACCTCCTTTCTTTCTTTTTTCTTTCTTTTCTTCTTCATCTTTTCCGTCCGTCTTTTTATATTCGTTTCAGGCGTTTTTTCGTCTTGGTGTAAAGTAAATACCGCAATCGTAATATTACCCATACAGTTCCTGCGTCTTAGCCTGTTTTGGAATGTCTGATGTTATTCTATCCAATGGGAAAGAAGCCGCGTGTTACACTACGCGTATTTAATACTGCCGAAATACCGGGAAATCGACACAAGCTTTTTACGAGGCGCTTTCCTTGGCGTATTTTCTCTTTCTTCGTCGCTTTTTCTCTCTCTCTTTCATCTCGCTTGCTTCTTCTGCTCGTCAACCAACCCAACCTCCACCGGTGCCCGTCTATATACCACTTAGAAAGGGGTCTTTTGAAGGCGATTAGGGCAATTAATCTTGATACCTTCAGTTCTCTCATAGGATACACCTCTAGAGCCCAGCCACAGCCACTGCAGTCATGGTCTCGTTGCGCAATATAGCTCTCTTTGCGCTCACCTTGGGCGGCGGAGTTACTGCGTCGAACGGAGCTTACTTCAAGAGAGCGCCTGAAGGTATGATACTCTTGCTAGATATCGTTCCCACCTACGGGCTAACGTGATATCTTTGCCAGATATGTCTACGACTGCTGTTACAAAGACAACCGCAACAACTGAATCTGCTATGTCCATAACTACAAGTGGTGCCGAATCTTCCGTGACTTCGAGCTCTTCTAGTTCTACAAAGACCCCTACACCAACATCTAGCCCTATCGATGATTCGGAAACCCAAGGGTCAGCAACGGAGGAGCCAGCTCCGGAGGCTACTGGAGAACGCCCAAAGGAAGCTCAGGCATGCAGCTCAGAGAATGATCTTTCCGTCAAACCATTCTGTTCGCCTCATGATCAACAGGAGGTGTACGCTGAAGACACTTACTATGGTATGGAACAAACAAAAACTTACCGCTTTTCAACCAGCCCAGTTTTGTTATTATATTGGACTAATATGCGTTATCGTCTTTAACAGCAACTTGGCTTCCTTCACTTCTCGACCCCAATGCTACCGTCAAGGTTGGCATGGACTATGTCAACCTCACCGCTAACGAGGGGCCATTAGCGTTTATCTCCAGCAAAACACCAAGCAGTTATGGCTACGTTACCATTACCATGAAGAAGGACTGGCTTAAGGGCGAGAAACGCAACAACCTGACCATGTATCTGGATGAATTATTGCCAGGCAAGGACAGGATCCATCACATCGGCCCTACCATCTCCCTCGTCAATAAACCACCAATGCACTATCCACCACCTCCCCCAACACCAGCACCCAAACCTCTTGGGCTCCTTATCGGTCTACCTCTTGGTCTTGGTGCTGTTGTCCTGATTCTACTTGGTCTATGCATTGGTATGAAACAGCACCGCCGTATTGGGTTGAGTAACATCATGGGCAGACGCAATAAGGGTTACGGTGGCAGCAGAGCCAGAGCCATGAGAAGTGGCCGTGGAGCTGGCGGATCCATCAGATTGGATGATATGGAAGATAACGGACAGCAATACTCCGACAACTCTGAACCGCTTCCATCGCGTCAGCAAATAATTTCAGACACAGAAACTTTCAATGAAGTACAAAGACGCGAGGGCAATGCTTTCAGACAGGAGCTGGCCCGCTTGAAGAACTGGAAATGATTGAATAGATCCGTGGGATTTATAGGCCTGTACTGTGTATAGTCGCCTCCAATAACGACTGGACGGAGTCACCCATGACCTTGACTCTTACCCATATCCTGTTATCCTTGAACACTCTACCGTTGGGGATCGATTGGTATGTGACGATTGTACTCGACACCTTTAGCAAAAATGACTGACTGCTGCGCTTGTTATTTGTTTATACTGCTCTGTTTTGTTTATATTGCGTTCTTTTGCTTTATATTGCCTTTCTTGGGGCTCTTTCTATTTTAGACCACTACTTCTTACGGTGTATGCACGATACACGAGAGAGATGCATGTTCTCTTGCCCGCCTTTCCTTTTCTCCCTCATTCTGGTACATGGGAGCTGTATAAAAGATTATACATGCATTATTAACGATTAGAATGATACACATTACCTTCATATTTAAGGGCGTTGGTTCTGACACACGCTAGCGTTTTCGCTTGCATCAGATTCGATAGCTTCCGAGGTCCAAGCACGAAGATAAAACAGAACAGATTAAGCGATGATAGAACGCAGACTCTTATTCATGTGTATACCTTTTTTTTTCTTTTGCTGCACCATCACAAATGCGAGGAGTATTAAAAATCAATATGCTGGCTCGGACTTACAGGGGGTAGAGGTCACAAATCACGGTACCAGAGGGGTCGAACGAAGAGATAAAGAATGTGGGAAACAAAAAGAAATAATACTGCATTAGTTATGCACGAAGGTAATAGAGAGAAGGAAAAAGCCGATTTTTTGGGTCTAAAAAAATGTGAGTACAAACGTGATGTAATGTAGGACGACTACAGACAGGATTTAGAAAACTGGCTGAGCAGAAAAATCGGGCGTGAGGCGACAGATCATGAGTCGCCGTGAGATAACATGGTTGAAGCAGGGTGCACGCAGCGTAAGGCTAAAAACAGGCTGGAATGTAGTAGTTACTCCGTTAAAGGAACCATCGACACAGAAAAGAGATAGGTAAGGGGGGAGTGGGAGAGGGGTAAAAACTAAATAGATACGAGGAAATCTATTCCGCCGTATCATCTCCATAGAACTGCTTAAGAATCTTAACAACTTCATGATAATCCTTCTTCACTTCCACCAGGGCTTTCTTGATGTTGGCCAAGGACCTGTTTTTGTCTGGTTCGTTGTGGTTGCCGGACTCGTCCTTTTGCTGGCCGTAATTCTGGATTTTCTCGCAGGCATCTTTGACCTTGGTCAGGCCTAAGGTGGCGGACGAGCCCTTGAGAAAATGGCCTAGTTGAGATAGTTCGGAGAGGTCCTGAGAAGAACTATACACGAATTGTTAGCCAAACATAACTTTCTTCGGGCGGGTGATGACATCATCAGAAAGATAAGATAGGGGTCACGGGATGATGTTATTATGACGTCACGGTATAACACGTCAGGGAGGGGAGGCATATCAAGGTCAAGGGAGGGAAAAAAAAGAAGAAATGGGGATGGTAGTTATTTATGAAGGGGATAAAGGGCCACTTACATGGCTGATTCCATTTGGAAGAATGTGGCTTCCGCCTGGTCGAAGAAACTGTACACTATACTCCGACTGAATTCTCTGTCTTCATCCTCATCGTCCATTTCTAGTATTTGCTCAAAAGTGGTTACATCGAGGGCCCCATATTCCTCGAGGCTCGATATGTTATTTCTCTGCATCGCGGGCAACTTGTTAGCTATAGTTAGAAAAACAAAGATTGGGGCATGGAGAGAAATACCGCCTCTTCGGTCTGTGCGGATGGAGCCATCATGGATGTCCTGGGTTCAGACTGTACAGGATCGGAGGGATGGTCCCAAGGTCTCATTGATATTGTAGTTGGGAGAATTTTGTCTTTCTTTTTGTTGGTATTTAAGAAGTAGGTAGGTGTGACGTTGACAAAAGCTTTGCTAGAACTATCGAAAACCAATGCTATGGTTCGGGGTTCGATTTTGTTTTAGGCCTTTTTCTACCCGTAGTTGGTCGAGTAGGGTTCCTGGGATGATATAAATTGATAATGAGAGCTAACTGGTACGCAAAAATCGGTTCAACGGTGTCAACTTCTTGCTCTTGCTCTTCTTCCTTTTTTCCGGGGAATGATTGAGAGGGACCTCTAAACAGGATGGTTAACTTTCACAGTACATATGGGTGCCACCATAAGCAGTTGGCGGATGGAGAAAGCAGCCGTAATACGTGGCAAATGGCAGTGGAGGTGGCTCCAGGCATAAGAAGGTGATGTTCCTATTAATGGATACAACATGTGATGCGTGTATTCTGCGTGGCTAGACTTGGGCAAGGTGGATGATCAAGCCGTTACCAACCCGTGAGGGTACAGGTCCAACCAGAAGGTGTCTGTTGGGGCATAGCACCAAAGGGCAGGAGACAGTTTCGAGATTACTGCCAGCAAGGGGGTTAAATGTTATAGCTGGCGGGTGGGGAAATGTTTGGAGAGTTGTAAACAAGGAAAGTCTATATTCACCTCAGTTGACAAGGGGCTCCTAAGTATGTAGATGTGTACTTTTGTGTTGTACAATGAAGGAAATGTATCTATTGTAGAAGTAAGTAGATGTTTCTCGTGGCTGATATAAGTGACTGGACACGCAATGTAAGCAGAGGGTTGTTTCCTTTTCTCGGTATAAAAAACAACTCCTAATACAAAGCAACTGACAGGTATAAAACAGTATCTAAAGAGAGAGAAGAAAGTACAATATGAATCAAAGGGTTTTGCCTTTTCAAGACATAACTGGTCTGGTGTCAACGCAGCATACAGAAAATCACTCACGGACAAAGGTCTGGGATAGCTGAGGAGCTATTCAATTCGAAAGAAGCTGGTTTATCCGCACTGACTATTCCGTCAGAAGAGTCCTAAGGAGATTTTATACGGCCTTAGAGTTTTCTTCTCTGCGTCCCCTTGCCGCTCTTTTTATTTCCATTGTTTTTTCTTTCTTTGCTTTTTGGATAGAATATGCATACCGATGATAAGCTTGGAGGGATTAAGGATTAGGCGCCTAAGTGCGAGATGCAAGCCTCAAGATCCTAGAACCACGTTTGGTGAGAATCCTGTCGAGGAAGCCCTTGGTTGCAGTGTATGTTGGATGGCCCAGACACGGAAGATGGCTGGACAACTGCTGATCTTCAATCCTTTTTCTTTTCTTCCCTAGAAAGAGTGGAAGACACGGTAACCAAGCTTCTTGGATTCTTCTTGGACTCCTCTTGGTCTTTTCGCTTGGGGAATTAGCCCTCTGGTCTCTCTGGCGTCGTGATGTGGGCGGTTTATAGCGAGTATCTGGCAACGCAAGATGAAGCACCTTCGAAGAGGACAGCTAAGACAACCACTGCAGACGAACACTGCAGGCTGAGTGAGAAGAGGGAAAAAGGTGTGTGAAAAGGGTGCAAGATGAAGGATGGAGGAAGAAGAAGAGAAGGAGGAGGGAGAGGGAGAATATGAGAAAAGAAGAATTATGAGAGAGAGGAGGGGAGATCGCCAGTTAGTCGAGCGGTGGGGATTGAGGTATTACTCCTAACGCCTAAGACCTCATCCTACACTCTACGCTTCTACCACATACAACCTACAATGTCTACAATGTCTACCCTCTACTATGTGCAGCTTGATTAAATGGCCTTAACTTCTTCTCTACCACTTGAAGATGGTCCCATCCATCTTCAAGCTTCCAACACCACTTGGCTAAGCTTGACCTGGCACTCATTCGGCCTGGTTCATTACACGGAGTACTCTCTAATTCTACCCGAACTACTCGCGAAATCCATAAAATGAAATGTCTCCCATCCTATAAGAGACAGCTCTGACCCTGGGAATGGGCCCTGGCCCGGTGGTTGCACCTTTTTGCTTCTCCACACGGCGTTCCAGAGATCAGACGTACCGGTGCTTGAACATTCCTAATCCCCCCGACCCAACAAAAGCTTGGGCGTCAATATATAATATTAGCTGGCACTGCATGATCTGTGGAGGAAGGAATTGAGGCCGCTTGGGGTACAACCAGAGCCTAGCATTCAACTATCTAGACGTCCGGAGTACCCCTTCACACAAACACGAAGGGGGGTAAAAGGAAAAGGGGACCAAAGAGAAATGCCCCAGCAGCTTGTTGATCAACAACTCAGCTGGTCGCACGGCTTTTTTTCCCTTTCGTCTAGCCCATCCACGTTGGACCTGTTCTGCACGTCAATCAGCAATTTGGCAGAGCATGAGAGGGAAAAAAGAGAGAAAGAGAAAAGAAAAAGAAAAAGGGATCGGGGCAACTTCGTGTGGGGCGGCCTTTTCTTGGACTTCACATTATCACACGTCCTTTTCTCTCTCTTTCTTTGGGATCAACATAAAACCATTTACCGCCGGAAAGGTCGCGTGTGGTGAGCCGCTTGAGACGTTAAATGTATGTCTCTTCATCACAGGCTAGGCACGGGAAGATGCAGCGCTGACATGCTTGATTATCAGCTCTTCCGAAATCCTCTGGACCATCATAATCACTCTTCCCCCTGTGGCATCTCTCGACCTTTGCGCGACTACATAAAAAAACAACCAGAAGAAAAGAAAAGTGTTCAGGGAGCCAGAAGAAAAAAGCAAAAGAGATGCCAGGCTCGCTATCATGCATGATGACGACAGGACGATGATACCCTCTTTTCCGATCCAGGGGCCCAAGAGCCAATGGAAGAAAGCCGAGAAGGCTAGCCTAGGATCCATCTCCAGCGGAGCAAATTGGATGGTGCACGCAAAGCGCCTCTTTTATCCACCAAATATGATGTAAACGACTCCTCTCCTCCACACCTCGGTTTTCTTACTCTTCGATGTCGAAGACAGACTTTTTTCCCGCAGTCTTCGTTCCCTTCTGTGATAGCGCGGGACAGTTGTCAACCTCGGCGGCAAGGGGTTGACATAGAGAACAATGAACCTAGGACCAGCGTTAATGCAACGAAAGCGACTGCAATGCATATTTGAAACGTTGTGCTGCATAATCTCGACTCTCTCTTGTCTCTGGTCTTTTTTTTTACCGTAAATGTCATCGTTCAGTGTCCGATTGTGACGTAGGCCAAGGCTGCGCCGGTGCACTGATGATCCCTCGCTACGAAAGGTTAAAAAATGAACACGCCCATTTATTTTATATTTCAAACCTGCCTTTCTTTTTTCTAGCTATCTGGTCGCAGCACCAGTGGGATAATTAAGTCTATTCTTGCCTAAAGAGGGGTGAGACCATGCAAGTGCTGTTCCCCAAGGACTGCTGGTCCATTCGGAGGTGGAACCTGTCCAACGCTGAACAGGAAAAAGGAGGCGCTCACGCTGGTGGATATTCGGGGACAGTTGACAATCTCGTAAAGGATTCCAGCAAGCCCATTGGGACTAACGGAGCAGCGACGTTCTAGGCCCTGTCAGGACATGCGTTCGGGGCAAGCGAACAACATGGAACAGACCTACAACGGTACTTGTGGACGCAGGAATGCATGTAGACTTACCGTCCGCTTGCAGGGACAGCATGCCTTGTCTGCGTTCATTTCTGGGGTTCCGTGGCCCCCTTTTGCCCATTTAAATTGTCTTTTAACCTCGATAGCAAGCAGGCTCACGGCTTGCATAAAATGACGGGTAGCTATCTGTAAAATGTACGTACATGGGTTCGATGAACGAACTGACGTACAACGACGTCTCAATTGCATATCATCCTAGCCGCCATCCAATTTACGAGGGAGATCTCCCCCCTTTTCTGAGATGGCGGTGGGCGAATTCAATATCATATTCGGTGGCTGGACTGGGGGTTATCCTTCCATCTCAACCCTCTCTACCTTCTGGGAAAAAACAATAGCGTGCTGGATATTCCTGTCCCGCCATCTGCAGAGTCTTATCCATGGGGATATTGAATGGCGCAAAAAAAAGAACATGTAGCCCAGTACCACGTATCAGCTACCTTCCGCATGTGTTGTTAGTTTGGCTACTTTGTAATGGGAAACGCTCAAATAGCTAATCGCCGTTCAAGGACGTGACGGGAGCTAAATCGATGAATCCTACTCGGGTCTCCGAGGAGATATCACTCTCAAATCTTATCCAGCCAGAAACGGCTGAAGATGCTGACTCCCCCTTCGTTCTCGACCTACTGGCTGAGAGCCGTCAACGTCATTTTATTATCGGCTATCGATAAGTGAAGCTGCGTGTATGGTCGTTGAACCAAGACTCTCTTCTATAGCTCCGTGTCGACCTGCCATCGTCGAATGAAAAAGGGGGCTGGGGCTAGGCTATGCAGCATCCCACTTTCACTTGGGAACTATATACAAAGTACACACTCTCTTGAGTGGGCTCTTGTCGCTTCTTCCGGGCTAGATGGCCATCAGTACTCCAGGAATGGATACCGAGAACGGATGCAAAAACTCGCAGTAGTGCATGTTCATAGCGGCTGGGCTAACTCTCAGGGACGAGACTTATCCAATGTTTATGCTTATGTGTCCAATTTTAACCAAGGATTTTCGAGGCGAAAAAGAGGCTTTCATCGGCTTCCCCGTGTTACATGTTATTTTAATCATAAGAGTACAATCGGCAATTAACCCTCGAGAACTACGTTAAACCGTCCTGGAGGGGAGGGGGAGGATTTAATATGGGTGAGATTAATTGAGCGGAGTATTAATGTGTTTTCTATGTTATCAATAGAGGTCGGTTTAATCCGGAAGATTTAATATACTTGCTATTATACTCCGTAGAATAAGTAGAGATGCATACAACAAGATCGTCATGGGTGATTTTTGACCGGACCAAAGGGCGAAAAACTGATGACAAAAGAGTAAGTAAAAAAGAATTAATTGAGGACCAGGGTAGAGGGATGGATGGCCGAAATCTCGTATTCCACATTTTCTTCCTTCATTCCCCTCGATCCAAGTTGCTTGTACCGCTATCTTTTGTTTTGCACGCCTAGCCACCGTTTTATGCTGGCTCCCTTATGCTCAATGGTACCATCCATGAGCTTTTCCTTTTTCTTTTCTTTTTCCTTTTTTTTTTTTTTAACTCGCCTTACCGATACCAAGATGCTACATATTATGCATGCGAGGCGGGAGAATGTTCTCGTTGATGACCATTTTCTAGGCTTGCTGCAATATCCGCCGATTACGCTGAAACCTCAACGCCGTTCTCTGCCATCTCCTTCTCCTTTGCAGCAAACTCTACCCTCTGGTCTTCCGTAAGCTCCAGAAGTGGCTTGTTCTCGCCTAGTTTAATGTTCCTGTGGTACGCACGAATGATACTGTCAGCATCATCGACAGCGATGGGCCGGATGTCGGCGAGAGCCTTGATCTTGGCTGTGCATTCCTTGTACTGAGCATCTGTCATGTCGAGGTTGAGCTGCTGGGCTCGAGATTTGATGGCATTCCAGCCTGTGAGGCGTGAAGCGAAGTGCACATAACGCGACATGCCGAAGTCGGCCGGGTTGATGATCTCGTAGGTGCTGGGGTTGTTCAGAATGGCCTTGGCGTGGATACCGGCCTTGTGGGTGAAGGCACAGAAGCCAGTGATGGGGTTGTTGAAGGGAATGTTGACCTGTACGGCTTCAGCCACAAGGTCTTCAATATCTTTGATCTTGTCCAGCTTATATTTGCTGAGCACATAGTCGCGGTCGGCAGCAATCATACGAGCCATTAGGCCACCAAGAGGGGTGATACCGTTTCGCTCACCGATACCTAGGACGGAGGTATCAATGTGCGTGGCGCCTCCTTCAAGGGCACAGTATGCGTTGGCAATCGCACAACCAGTGTCATTATGCAGATGAATTTCAATGTCACACTTGACAACACCGCGAAGGACACGGACGAGCTCGTATACCTGGCGAGGGGATGCACAACCGACAGTGTCAGCGATACCAACACGATTGACACCTACCTGATCGACAGCAGAGTATATGGAAAGGAGGTCGACCAGGTCAGATCGGAATGAGTCTTCGCTCGAAAAGCGGACTTCGATGCCCTTGGACTTGACGAAGTTGATAACTTCGATGGCGGTGTTTTTGATGTAGGTCATGTCCTTTCCGTGAGAGTGTTCACGGAGGTAGGAGGAAGTACCAATGACAACATCGCTGGTGGGGGTTAGCTGGTGTCTTGACCACACGCTATGTGATAGTTATGGGCAGGGCATTTCTTACACTCCATCGACACCGGTTTCGACTGCTATCCGGGCGTCATCCATGTGACATCTGATATGTGTGAGGATCTGTATCCTGATATTAATACACCAAGGAAAAAGAGGGGTTCATTGCATTTTTCGGCTAAGGGGGTATGACTGTACCTTTGCCTTCAAGCCCAGCTTGCAGATGGCTTCACAGTCTTTTCTAGACTGCTCGGAGGCACATGGCGAGGTGAGTTCAATCTATTAATGCATTTCCAGTCAGTTTTATCACATCAATGCTAGGCGAGCTTCGACATATGTCTGAGTAGCATGACTCACATAGTCGACGCCAAAGTCATCCAGCGCCTTTGCAATTTCGATCTTCTTCTCAGTATCGAAGAAAGCATTGGCAAACTGCTCTCCCTCTCTTAGAGTACTCTCAATGATCTTAAACCTAGAGACATTGCTGAGGAAATCTGTCACTCCAGCATTGTGACCGTAAGGATTCCTCGAGATGTGTGGGTGAGGGTTTTGGCGGGTCTGAACTGCGGTGAAGCCTTCATGGTTACCTGCAATGAGATAGATATTAGTAAATGTCTTTTTCTCAAAGTATCATGCGGATTGTTCCCAATTCTGATATACCATTTGGTGCGATTTTGATGCCATTGGTATCGTTGTCATCGCTCGTGTGGCTACCACGAGAGCCGGTATCGGTGGCCATTTTGACGTGGGGCGTTCAAAGATAGAGTGAAGATGAATTAATTTGAATAGTGAAGATGTAAGGAGAGATCACCTTATTTTATGATCAATATATGACCCAGAAAAAAGAGGGATAATTGAAAGTCTGAGCAAAAAAAGGTCAAGAGATTAAATATGGTCAAAGTATGACTCGTTTCTTTACCTCTGATAAGCAAATCCATGGTGTAATTATTCACAAGAAGAATTTTCCGTATCAGCGGTACTAGTGTATGCTGGCTACCAGTAAAACTCCGTCTTTTGAGAAACGGCCGCGGTAGTTGGCTCGATTAATTACACATCAATACCGATCACACAAGCCGTGTGCAGTAGAGCCCCTTTGGACTTAGAAATAATAGGCCAGAAAAGAGCGCTTTCTAGCTGCATCTTCTTCGTATTCATCTGTTTCTTCATCTTCTTCCTTATAATTCCATGAGAAGTCGTTAAAATAAAAAAATATAGAGTCGTCGACGTTTTCCCAAAGAGGAAATAGAGTTGACATGTGACGTGACTAATATATTACTAAGTTATCCTGACTAAGCTCTTATCCATCACGGGGATTACTAAGCCCTTACTAAGCCCCCTTATGTTTTCCCTTTTCGGCCTTCGTAGCATCTTTTTTTCGAATAACAAATTCAAACAAGAAGGAAAAAGAGAGGAAAAACAGCTTCAACCTCACGTCGAGTACTTGTCGCATACGGTCTCAGCTTAATATATTGCTATATACATATATTTAATAAGTTGATAATTCGTTTTTATCCTTCAATTATTCTTCTTCGGCCGTGGTGGCCTTTGTTTGTACTCCAGGACAAAAGTTCTGGACACCTTACACTTTCTTATATCAAGACCAAAGAAATAATATAGCAGCATGCATCTCTCTTCTTTCATTCTCCTACCAGCTCTAGCTGCAGCACAGGAGCAGGTACCCTTTGCCGAGCGCATCCAGGGCTGGTTCAACCAGGCAAAGGAGCTGCTGCCAACCGCAAAGATCCCCCAGGTCACCACGCCCGTTACCCCCCCTACTCCTCCCAAGGCAGCAGTCGTAAGGCCAAAGACCGTCACTCAGTTCAATCCAGAAAACTGGAAGGATATACTTGCGCCCAAGCCAACCCCGCAGGAATGGCTGATCTACGTCACCGGAGGAAATAAGACTTGCTTCGGACAATGCGGACAAGCAAACCGCGCCTGGAAGGTTCGTCGCGCCAATTTTTAAATTCTCTTTTATCTTCAAGTTACCAAATACTAATACCGGCAACCTTTTCACGCAATTTAGGAAGCACAAAATCTTTTTGCTACCTCTGAATCTCCAAACCTTGGCCGCCTCAATTGTGAAACCCAAGGTCTTCTCTGTGCCATCTGGTCCGTCAGCCCGCCTACACTATGGCATATCCAAGTCCCTAGTGCTCCATTAACGGGCGAGGAGAAGCCATCTACGTCCATCCACCCTGTGCGCCTAAATGCAACCACCGTTACCGCAGATGAAATCTACAAGGTACACTCTGAGAAACTATGGGAGAAAGAGCCTGAGCTCCAGACTATGTTCCATCCATTCAATGGATTGGCCGCTGAGTACCGTATCAATGAGCTCGTTGGCTATATCATCTACTGTTTAGGCATGATTCCTAGCTGGGCCATGATGGTCGGTATCAGTTTCATCAGCAGAACCATGATGTATGTCTCTGTTCCTTTAACAATGCAGTACATACATAAGAAGGTACTAACTCGATCGCAAAAATAGGAGCCGCCGAATTGGCCGTCAAGGTCCAAATGCCCCGGGCGGTGCTGCCCCTGCTCCCGCCCGATAAGCCTATCCCTCCATGCCCTTGTTCCAGGCAGTTAATCCGAGATCAGGTGGCCGACTTTACTGCCAGTTTCTAATTTTGTGTTTGTCATCCTAGGGGGGGAAATCAGGTCGGAATAATGTTTCTCGGAGGTAGATAATGGATATTGACCAGCCCATGTATTTTCTTTTTGTATCTACTTGCAGAGGTATGCGCAAACAGCCCGGCAGCCTCATTAAAAAAGGTTGAGATGTATTTTATTCATATTATTTTCCATTTAATCTAACATGAAAATTCAAACGAGAATATATCCCTTCTCAGTTTAAAGTTACTGTTTTTTTTTAGTCGCGTTGACATGAGCTATTACTCAAGCCTCTTAAATCTTTAAAATATCCGTCCTTGAACACATTCTATCCAACAAACACTTTTTCAATCTCAAAACGAAACTCGTCTATCCTTGACTATGGCACTTCCAGTCGATCGCCCTTCATCTACAGCGGCACTTGTCATCGCTACCTCGATCCTCACAGGCGTCATTGGGTATTATATCGGCCAAGGCGCGTCGATAGGAATTTTCTCATCCACACCTAGCCATGCACAAAAGAACAAATCGATAGAAGACGAAAGTGATGGAGAGGAAGACGAAGATGAAGACGAAGCTGAAGGTGAACTGGCTACCTTTGAAGGGAATACAGACGAAGTAAAGCTTGTCCTAGTCGTGAGGACGGATTTGGGAATGGGCAAAGGTATGCCCACGAAGCTTCAATATTTTTCAACTCGAGCGCTATATCATGGCCCTTATACTAGTTTAACCAACTTACATTCTTTACTACAGGCAAAATAGCTGCACAATGCTCTCATGCGACCCTCGCATGCTACAAATACTACTTTAGCAAATCACCCAATGCACCTATTTTGAAACGGTGGGAACGACAAGGCCAGGCGAAGGTTGCGCTACAGACAAAGAGCGAGGATGATTTACTAGTCCTTCAGGCACAGGCGATCAGTCTGGGACTATGTACTCGTGTGATCCAAGATGCGGGACGTACACAGATTGCGAGCGGGAGTCGGACAGTGTTGGGCATCTTAGGTCCAAAAAGTGTAGTAGACTCCGTTACAGGGCATTTGAAGCTGCTGTGAAGTTGTAGAAGTGATAATGATGATATAATGGCCAGTATGATTTCTATAAGGACCTTCGTTGAGATATATTGAGATAGACAATAGTAGCGAGATTGCTGCAGCTGCCTTCCTACAGTATCATCGTCAGTTGGCTGGCTAACTGCTCAACAGATGGATGCTAAAGCGGGTTTGTATGTTGGCTGTCATGGTTTTTCCCTAACCTCACCAGCCGACGGCCATCGGCAAAGAGAGATGGAATATGACGCCCCCAGCAGACCCAGGCCATCTCACCGAGCTCACCCGAAGGAAGCTCAAGGCAGAGTGTGTAATCCCAGCGCTGAAACTTCATCTGAGATCTGTCGACCGGAAATTGACATCATGAGGAAACTCGGTTTGTACCAGGTGGATGGCTCCATGGGTCGTCGAACTGTCCAGCAATACGACCGAAACACACGCAGACTAAATGCTCCCGAGAGAACAGATAGCTTCATGGAACGGGATTGCAGGACACAGATCTGTGTTTTGTTGAAGAAGAAGAAAAAGAAGAGAAAGAGAAAAATATTTTGTCAGGAAGTTTTTATTTCCGGATTTGATAAGCGGAAAGGAAGAAATATTTATCCGTTATTATTACGTAATCCTAATCGACGAAGCTACAAAAAGTTGAAGAAAGATTGATAAATAATTAACGAGCGAAAGAAGATAATACAGCGACTGTTTGTTATACGCTCTTCGCCATGGCGGACGCACTATCTATCGAACAGAATAACAAGATCCGAGTCGCGCTCGGCCTTGCGCCACTTCCCGTCCCCGGCACAGCCAGCGAAGGTCCAACGTTTAAGTCGAAAGATGGCGATGAATCTGCGTCCTCCGATGGCGAGGAGCCAGCAAGCACACTTGAATCCCGAGCAGCACAGGGTTACGAAAACTGGAAAGCTATTCAGGATGAACGGGAAGCTCAGAAGAAGCGCGAGGCAAGAAAAGATGCTATCCGACGAGCTCGAGAGGCCGCGCAGAGGATGGCGAAACTAGAGGGCAAGGGACTCGGAGAAGGCGGTGATGATGCAGAATTAGACACGCGATCATGGCTGCTGCAGCATAACAAGAAACGAAAGAAGATCGAAAAGGAGCGCGCCAAAAGACTTGCGGAGGAACTTGCGGAACGGGAACAGCAAATGGCGGAGTACACGTCGAAAGACCTGGCTGGAGTACGAGTTGCGCATGAAATTGGCGATTTTGATGATTTTGACGAGAGTGGAGAGAAGGTCCTTACGTTAAAGGATACGACTATTGACGAAGATGAGGAGGAAGGGGCTGAGTTGGAGAATATACAGATGCGAGAAGGGGAGAAGACGAAGGAGAGGCTGGCATTGAAGAAGAAAGTTGCGTATGACCCCAATGATATGGACGGTAGCGGCACGATTCTGTCACAGTACGACGAAGAGATTGATGGGAAGAAGAGGAAACATTTTACCCTTGCATCGGGTGACCTTACACCACAGGCCAGGGAAGCCAAACGGCAGGACGTTTCGTCAAAGCTGAAGATGGAGCGTGTGAATCTGGACGGCTTGTTAGAGAAAGATGTTGCGACATCAGATTACATGGATGCTTCAGAGATCAAAGTGAAGAAACCGAAGAAGAAGAAGGCAAAGAGTACGAGACGGCGGCAGGCCGAAGAGGACGGGGATACAGCTAGTACACCCACTGATACCAACGGTGACCGAATGGAGATGGATGAATCACAGCAGCAGGCTGCGCCTGTGGTAGTGGCCAAGAGGCCGCAGGAAGATATATCCTTTGTGGACGACGACGATCTACAAGCCTCTCTAGCTGCACAGCGAAGAGCGGCGTTTAAGAAGAGAAAGAAAATGCGCCCGGAGGATCTGGCACAGCAGCTTAGGGAAGAATCAGAACAGGCACAGAACGAAATGGACGTCGATGGAGCAGAAGCAGACCAAGGCGGCCTAGTTATAAACGAGACATCAGAGTTTGTAGCCAACCTACAACGGCCGGCGCTCATTGAGCGTTTACGATCCGTCTCCCATGAACCTACGGCCGAAACACCCACTAATCCGCCGCAACCAACAGTCGAAGAGACATCGGATGTGGAAATGGAACCATCCTACACCGTTGCCGAACAAGAGGCGGAAGAATCCGAACCCCAGACACAACCGGCAGACATAACTACCACCGGTCTAGAGGAGGAATCAACCCTCGACCAAGGGCTCGGAGCAACACTCGCCATGCTCAGGCAGCGTGGCCTGGTAACCGCCGAAGAAAAGGACGGGCAAAGCATCAACACCCTGCACCGTGACCGCCAACGCTTCCTCGCCGAAAAACGCCGCCGTGAAGCCGAGGCAGAACGCCTTGCCCGCGCCCAACGAGAACGAGACCGTGCCTCTGGCAAGCTGGACCGCATGTCAGCCCGTGATCGCGAAGAGTATGCTCGCTGGGAGAACAAGCAGCGTGACCAGCTCGAGTCCCGGGCGATGGCAGACGTGTTTAATCGCGAGTATAAGCCAGACGTGCAGCTCAAGTACGTGGACGAGTTTGGGCGAAGGATGAACCAGAAAGAAGCGTTTAAGCATCTCAGCCACCAGTTCCATGGCAAGGGAAGCGGTAAGATGAAGACTGAGAAGCACTTGAAGAAGATTGAGGACGAGAAGAAGAGGGAGGCGATGAGTACGTTGGATAGTAGTCAGAATACCGGCATGAACAATGCCATGGGCGCGACGGCGAAGAAGAACCGTCAAGCGGGCGTGAGGCTTGCATAGATTCGTCTACGATTAATATACCATTTCTGTACTTTTATTATTATTACTTTTTCACTCCTAGTATGGTTTATATCCTTTTTCCTTTCGTGATGGCTTGGTCGGCCGTGTGGATGCGATCCCCGGAGCAGAAGCTGATTCTTCCTTCCACACACTTACACGGCCATCTTCACCGCATGTAAAGACCGTCCGTGACTGTAGGATGGTTATTATATGATATATAGAGTAATAGTAGTAGGGGAAAGAGAACAAACCTCGCTGTCGAAGAATACGGAGCGCACTATCTCCTCTCCATGTGCACCAGGCAGCATCCACGAATTCGACTGTTCAAAATGAAACTCCGGCGTGTGCAGAAGTGGTGTCAAGGATAGGCTCCGGTCACTATACTCGTCAATACTCTCTCGAAAGAAGACATGGAAAGAAGAGAAGAGGAATCGTCCTACCTCGTCCTGCCAGAAGCAAGATAGCTCCCTGCTCTATCAACCAGCACCTGCACAACATACTCTGCCTTGAGCACTGGCCGTAAATCACCAAAGTCAACAGGCTTCACTTCATCGTCACAGCTCTCATCGGCGCATGTAACAGGATGCACGGCGAACAACTCGTCGTGAGAGAGCGCGTAGACGGCGGTGTCATGCAGGAACCCGGCACGGTGTATCGAGCTATGCTTGACAACCTGTAGCAGGGCATCTTCTTCCTCTGACACGGTGGTATCATATATATTTACCAGTCCGTCTGTGCTGCCGGATAGAAGCACTGATGGACGAGATGGGTGGAATTGTACCTATATCTGTCAGTTCAACTGATGATGGTGGTGGTGGTGGATGCATACATACCTCTGTGACATCGTCGTTGTGACTTTCGACGTATTGGCTGCGTGTCTTTCCCGGGGATCGGATGTCCCTATATCTGTTATTATCTATATCTATATAATCTGTATATGGATGGATGTACCAGAAGAGCACAAAGGCATCAGGCTTGACCAGCTCTGTGCCAGCGACAATCGAGTGCGACCTGCACGCCAACGAGAGCAGCGGCATCCCTTTATCTGCTTCTCATCAGTATACATGATGATAATATATGGATGTAACGTATAGCAATGGATGTACCGGCGTGAAAGACAGCTGCTGCACCAGAACTGCGGGCGTCCCAGAGCTTGACCGTCCCGTCTCTGCCACAGGTCGCGAGCAGGCCGTCATCGCCATCGACGGGACATAGAGAACTGACACCGGCAGGATGGGTGTCTCTCACTACGCCGTCTGGCAGCAGATTCAGGGTGTTTCGATCAAAGCGACGCAGGGAGTTGTCCGAAGAGATGGCTGCGAGCGCTGGTCCAGACGGACAGAGAGAGTAGATGTAGCTCCCAGCAGGCAGAGAGAGGGAGGAAGACGAGCAGGATCGCAGGGCCGGCATCTCTCTGTTCCTTCATCTATTCATCTATATTATTACAATGATAATAAGGGTATCTTTGGTTATTCTCCGTCTGGTCGATGACTTTTCTTCCTTTTCTGTGCGGGAAGAATGAAAAAAAAACTACTTGCGATCCACCAGCCTACGGACATGACAACGATACAGCTACGTCGACAGAGCATATCTACTGGAAAGCATCTCGACCAAAGATCGAGGTGAAGGTACAGACATGGCACGGTGAGTGACTCTGCATCAGGTTCTGCAGCTGCTTACAGCCTCAAGTTACAGAGTCAGCCACAGCCATCTGGCGGCCCTACCAGAGCCATCGGCATCGCTGCACCAGCTTTGCCACCGCAAGAAGCAAAGAAGAAAAGAAAAGAGGAGCCCACCCCATGCTTGCTCTGGTATTGCAAACTCGCTTACCATGGAACGAACCCCGGGCTGGCTGAGGAGGAGAAAGTCGCTGAACGTCCTGGGCAGAAGGAGGTCATAATGGTACAAAGCAACAAGTGATTACCGACCACGACCATGCCTACCTTTCTCGCTACATAAGTGGACATGACACGATCATCCAGTGGCAGCTCGTCTCATCCACATCTCGGTTTCAGGCATCGAACGTGTCTGTCTGGTCGACAAGTGCCGGATCAGCAGCTAAGGGGGGGGACAAGGCAAGGCCTGCAGCGAGCAAGGTGCAAGGTGGAGGGCGGGCCGGCCCAGCCAACGAGAAAGAAAAGAAAAAAAGAAGAAGAAATGACCAGCGAGAAGGCGAAGGGAAAAAAGAAAGAAGAGGGAAACCATGTCGACTGTCTGATCCATGTCATGCCGGACAGACTTTGGGTTCTTCACAGCATCATCTGGCGGAAACAGGTATATCAACACCCTTATATTCAGCAGAAGGAGAGAGAGAGAGCAGGAAGGAAGCCAGAGACAACTGTCCAGTGGAGAATGAGGGCCGGATTGAAAGATGAAACGGAGTTGGCGGTCGGTGGAGATATATTTATTACTATAGATGTGTGTATATACACATATTCCTATAATAGTTGATAAAGGGAAGATGCATGGTGATACTGAGACGGTGATACCAAGGGACGGCCATCTCAAGGGGAGAGAAAGACAAAGGGCCCTTTTTCTTATCTGCTATTATAGCCCGTCGACCCTCTGCATCCTTTATTATCATCCATCGACTTTATAATCAACTCTTGTATTGTTCAGGTGTAAAAAATACGGGGCGTTGGCTTAGCGCGGAAGTTCTTTTTTCTCTTCTTCCCTTCTTTTTCCCGCCCCAGAAAAGTGTAGACAAGCCAGGGAGCCTTGCTTTTCCTCCTCGCCCTCAGCTTCACCTTCGACACTCTTCATTCTTTGGCACTCTTGATACTCTTGATACTGTCCATTCACTCGTTTACACGGAGAAGTGCATACAGGCTGCCCGTCCTAGGATGTCGAGCTGTCTGTATCCCCCCTAGACCGACTGACCAGCAGAAGACTAGCAGAAGACCAGCAGAAGACCAGCAGAAGAACAGAGAACAGGACGACGAAGAAGATACTACGAAGGATAAGACGAGGAAGAACAAGAAGAAGTAGAAGAGCAGAAGAGAAGAGAAGAGAAGAGAGAGATGGCTGCTCTGGCTGTGCCAGACGGCGGTTTGACGCTGCACCGCGACTCTGCTTCCTCCCAGTTCCTCCGTCTGAATCTCCCCCAGTCGACGCTCGCAGACCTTCTACAGGTCCTCAACGACCAGTCCTCGTCCGCTGCCTCTGCTCCCCGTCTGCGGCTGGGAAAACACCCTTCGCTGCTCATAAACTCCAAGTCGACCCCCTTCCACGCCTATCCCCAGACCACCCGTTCGGAGATATACCAGCATGGCTCCGGCGACGGCGAGGGTGACGGCCTCTACTTCTCTGGCGTCCTCAGCCATAGTCTGGAGGTCCAGAAGGCCAAAGAGGCCACTGCTGCCACCGACGAGGCCCTCACCAACCTCGAACGCAGCCTCAACGCTTTTGAGAAGGGCAAGGAGTCTCGCCGGACACCGCTGATTGCTACCATCGACCAGATGAGGGCCCTGGGCGCCGGGGACAGCAGGTCTGCCACGGGGAGAGAGGCCGCCAGCCTGGCCAGAAAGTCGACCAGCAGAGCAGACCAGCAGAAGGAACGCTTCTTCAAGAACGCCAATGCGTCCAGGTCTACGCCCGCCAGCCCTGCTCTGCTCCCTCTCTCGCCCCTGCTTCCCGCTGCTTCCACCGCCCCCCAGACGGTCGACAAGGACAGCCAGCGTCTCGAGGCCATACGGACACCGCTCATACACCTACTCGCCATACGGCCCGTCTCTGCCAAGTTTCTTGCCGCTCGAACCCGCTGCAACACCGCCGACGTGCTCGCCCTGACGAACAAGCACTGCACGCCCAACCGTCTCGACGGATCCAAGTTCGACCTCAAGGACAAGGCCTACAAGGACCTCGATGTCTGGTCCTTCCCTTATCCGACTGACGAGGAGAGGGCGGAGGTGATCGAGAACGCCATCTCCGCCTTTGACCGGATGCGTATATCCAAAGGTGACCGGCTCTGGCAGATGTTGCTGCCCAAACACGAACGAGGCAAAGGCAAGGTCCTCTCCCGACTCAACCTACGTACCCAGCCACAGACACAGCAGCCTCGTCTGCACGCTCACGAAGAAGGTGGATATGGCACCGGTAACGAGTCGGAGGGCCCCGGTGCAGACAATGCCGCTACCAACGCCACTGCCACAGCAGCCATGCCGCAGACACAAACTACGAAACCGGCGACAAAGAAGAGAGGAGGGCTGGAAAAGGCCCTCTCCTCCAAACGCGGCGCGAAGCCAAAGTCGACACCCACTACGCTTACGGGTAAGGTGACCAAGAAGACGGAGAAGAAGACTCCCGCCACGGGTTCCGCCGCATCCCTAAAGTCGCGGGATGGCGACCGATTCAAGTCTGCCGAGTTTGTGCTCGACTCGGATGAGGAGGACACGGGTAGCAACAGCACCAACAGCAACAAGACTAAGCCTGCCCCTGCATCGACCGCCACCCCGACCGCCCAGCGCGGCCGGCCTGCGAAGACAAAGAAAATGCCCGCCAAACGACAGCCAACCACAACAACAACAACAACCACCACCAATGCAGCAACAGCATCTTCTACTACTACAAGACAGATCAAGGCGACTTCACCGCTTAAGCCATCTCCCCTGGGCTCATCTCCTCCCACCAACGCTTCCGACGTCGACGGCCACGCCCGCACATCGAGTACACAGTCACACTCTCATTCACATTCCAATTCACACTCCTCCAGCTCCTCATCACCTCTAATACACCATCTGCCGCGAAAGGCACCCCCGGCGCAACCGGCCAAGTCACGGCCAACACCCCCTTCTACATCCACATCCGCATCCACCTCCACATCCGCCAAGCCAGGCGCACTCAAACGAAAGACCCGGCCAGTTGAAGATACCCGCCCACCCACCTCCTCCACTGCCATCGGCCTAGGAATCCATGCATCCGAACCTAAACGCCGCCGCCCGTCCTCCATCTCCTCAACAACCACTTCTTCTCTCTCTCAACCTGAATCAATGCACAGCGGGTCTGGCTCTGGCTCAGCATCTCCACCAATCTCACAGACCATCCTCCGTGCCCGGCTGCGCGCCAAATCGGCACAGTTCAAACAGTACTACGCCAAATACCGGATCCTGCACGAGGAGATGGTAGCCCGGTCGCGCAGCGGAATGGACTTTGACGTGGATGTCGAGCAGATCCGCAAGCTAGAGAGACAGCATGCCCACCTGCAGAAGATGAAGCAGGAGATCTGGGACGAGGATCGGAGGTTACGCATGTCTTCGTAGTTAGACCTTTTTTTTTTTTTATCTTTCTACATCTTTTCTCTCTTTTTGTTATATTCCTATTTATCCGGATGTATGCTTTGTCGGGGGAACAAATTACAATCACTTCCACTGTATACCTTTTTCTGTATGTACGAAGTACTCAATGCATAAACACGATACTAGATCCTCAACCCTCGCACTCGCACCGACTCTCCATGCACGACGCATAATGGCTCGCTTACTCTCTTCGGCCCATCGTACGTACATCGCACATCGTACCACCGCCGACGCAACCCTCCACCCTCGCTCCGTCTCACTCCGCTTTCCCTCTCCCTCGCCGTCGCCGTCGCCGTCGCCGTTCTCCTCACGCTCACCTCGCGAATGTAACTCTGCAGATAATCCCATATTAATAACGCCAGCATTAATTATATTGCTGTTATAGTCTCAACTTTAACCTGCCGACGATCCCCGACGTTACAGACAACGCACCACACACTCTTTCCCCCTTCCGTCTCTCCACCAAACCGTCTCTCCATCTCTGCACGCCGGTTCGCCTACCGTCTCTCGTCTCTGCTGCATGGCGTCCGCCTTGACTCTTCACCGCATGTCGACCCTTATGTATGTTCATGTCCGATGCTTCAGAACTCGTGAAGAGGCCGGGATTAAGGTTACCCCACGTGCCACGAGGCGGGACCGGGCGGTCGGGACCCGCGTTCCGGTCTTTTTCGTCACGGCGATACGGCGTTTATATTACGGCGACTTACGCTGGTGATAACGAGGTCGGGCACGTCGACGGGGGCATTTTTACGTGATGCAGAGGAGACGTAGAGTAGGGGCGTAAGCATGTAAGATGTGGCAGTGTAGGGCGCGGAGAGGAAGCAGAGGAAGATGTGCGTTGGTGATGCTTATGTAAGGCCTGAGGAAAGTCACTTGATGTCGGTTGTCACGTGTAATCACATGACTATGTATATTAGTAAGCTTTGGTTTGGCGGCTCGCAGGGTTGTTTTGCCTCGATGCTTACGGCTAGTTTGGGAGGTTTACCCGAGGCATTGCTTGAAGCTCTCATGCCCAATTCGTTCAAAGGGACGAGATTTCTCACCTTTTCTCTCTCGACAACAAGGTATTCTTGGAAAAAAGTCTGATGGCCCTGGTATGTCGCCATACATGTACCTGTGCATGCATGTCTCATGGATATTTTTCCCACTTTTGTAGACTTCCTTGTATATGTTCCAGCCACAGAAGATATGTTTGCATATTGACACCAAAGATCCTGCTGGCGATGGTGTATTAACATAAGATTGACAGGCACAAACTCTCTGAAATGTGCCAAGGGGCTTCGCACCGAAGCTTTCTAACTATAATGTCTTTGCTGACCCAACTATAGTCGATTGGCAAGGTGCGAGCATAACACCACTATTTTCTTGGCCCTGCGTTAACACTGAGAGAGGCATTCAGCTCAGACCAATACAGCCAGGGTTTGTAATGAGTGTATGGGAAAGCCTCGACACCTTTCTTCCTTCGCCAAAGTCTGATTGCCGTCGCAGCTCCGTAGGACTCTATGTCGAGATGAAAGAAGATGTCCCGGATCCCGTTTGCATGAGAAGAACTAGTCTAGATCTTCATACGAGGGAGAATAAAATGTAGGATGCTGAAGCTTTCATGATTAAGTGGTGGATTTGGAACGACGAGACGAATCAGGAGTTGTTCTCTCAAGTCTGGCCATGATAGGATCAAGAACTATAGCTATGGTGGCATGCAAATCCCTCCTGCCCGGAAACGTATGACTTTGAGGAGCAGCCCACTATATGAGGTACATTTATTCTCCACAAGCTGAGACTTTGGTCCTTTACGTATATTTGATGGAAGCGAAGATTCCGCTTCATAGCAGAAGGATACTGACTTCGTTATTCCTCTGACAGTTCCACATCCAATGTATAATAACTCTCACGTAGATGATAATATCATGCGGTATGACAGACAGCATCAGTAGAAGCAGTGCTGGCTTGCTAATCTGTTTTCACTGGCCAAAGTGGCATCAACAAAACAGGTTGAAATATCTTAAACGTTAAGCAATTTCCAAATTGCGAAGTTGGATTATTATTATATAATCATTGTTCACGGGACTGCTGATCAATATATGACTAATCACTTCAAAGTTAGAAGTGGGGTCACATGATCCACCTTACGATTTAAAACATTTGATGGACTTCATTACTTAATAGGTAAATATCGGGATATTTGATCTTCTTAAAGCCAGTTCTATATTCTCAGTTCCTATCTCGATGGAGTCTATCTACATGTGGTATTTATCAAGCATCGGTGATGCCGCCCCGAGTCAACGAAGGGATGACTGATGCTTGACGTACAGCTACCCATATTCTTCATCTTCACGCATTGCTTTCATCGTCAGACCTAGAGCTGTGGGTATCTGAATATATAGGTCTATAGCTGCGGCGGTACGCTGAGTGGAGTTCATCTCAGTGCAATCTCTCATCTCTGTATTTGACCACGTCGATTATTGTTTTTCTCAGTCTTTCAAGCTCCTCCCCTGTCACCACTGGGATATCGATCTCCTCAAGATGGTCATCTTTCTCGTTCACCGTTAAGATGTCCATCTTCGGGTCCTGAATCGTAACCTCCCAATCCTTACCATCTCCTTCATCTAGGTTAAACTCTCTATTCAACTGCCGCTTACCGCTCACAAGCGTTGCTGTCTTTTGGTTGGGGTCGATTCTGATACTAGAACCTTGGCTTATCTCGTGCCCAATCCAATATGGGAAGCTGAATGACCCCTTGCATGCCACAACTTCTGCAAGTGATATTCCATGCTCTCCAGTTTTGATTGAGTTCGTAAGAGAGATAATAGGTTTTCCTAAGCGCAGGACTCGAAAGATAGGCTGAAGTTGGAAAACAAGTAGTGAAGAATTAAACTGATGCCCGTCTTCATATGTAATGAACATACTGGGCAAGGGAAATAGGCGCCTATAACTGTCCCCGGGGCTGTACCGCTGCTAAATATCAAAACACACGGGGATGGACGGCCGAACAGCTAAATGTACGATAGTCATATTATATGGACCCGGTGAAATTTGTGATCTCTCAAACACAGGACGACTATTTGCTCCTCGTATAAGCAGTAAGAATGACTATTCCCCCATTGTGGTATAAAGAGCGAAATAGCACCATTGATATACGGCCCAGGTTGAGATGGTTTTAGCTCGATAACAGGTGCTGAAGGTTGGAAAAGGATCGCCCATAACTGATAGAATCTCAAGTCAAGGTTAGGCTAAAGAGAAGAAATAGTTAGTAAAATTTTGTCTTGGTCCTTGGATATATCATATATTTGAAATATTAACCTACCAATACATCACAAGCTCTGGTATACTGAGTAGGCGACAGCTTCTCACCGTTAATCAAGCTATCCACCAAGGCTGCTGTCAACTCTTCACCTATAGAATTAGTCTCTGTAATATTACCGACGTGGGAATAGGACCATTTCTTTTCCCCTAAGCTCATACGTAGTAGTAAGTCTATTAGCGTTGATACAGCTTCCCGCCTCACCTCTCTATGTAATAAGATGGATGAATTTGCGAGTATCTTCTTCGCTGTAATTTCAAGCAGATCTCGTGGTAGAGACGAGGATATAAAACAAGGCACAACCAAACCCAAAGAATCCACGATATCCCATGAGACAAAGGTCGTGTCATTTGAGGTAGAAACCGTTACGTCTCTGCATTGGGATATAGTCCCTGGGATTCCAATGCTTCTGAACATTTGCCTAAAGCAGGCGTTGTCATGAAATTCTGGGTAGTACTCTGACACTACGCCGTAAAGTCCACAAGCGCTGAGGTAGCCATTCCGCCGGAAAACCAGAAGACTGGTTGCACGTTGAAAGACATCAAATTCGACCTTGCCATGTTGCGGATCTTGAGAAAATGGGTAATGGGCAAAGAAATGGAAACTTCTCCAGAGCATCTGAAGTGCAACATCGGAGACCACAGCTTCGGAATGATTTCTTCTTATATAACATTTGAAGCTCTTTGCGTTCCAGTCTAATAGTTACTATGTTAGCTCTTGTCTGTATTACGCGAAAAGACAAAATCTTACACTTTGCCTGCGATGAGTGCTTGATGCAGTCCTTTTCGAATATTGCTTTTAGACGCTTTCTTTCAGCGATTGCGTTTCAACTAGGAACTGCCTTGGTGAGGTCTCGATGGACCGATTTTATTTAAGCCAGTAGTTAGTCATAGTAAAAATATTGATCAACTGTCGTTTGCAGCGGTCAACAGATAATCCAAGAGACTCCCGAACATTGCTTGAACTGAGGGCACTGCTCCTACCAGTAAGCTACGAAACTTGAGTTGAAAAAAGAAAAATATAAACAGATGAGATGGGTGTAGGAAAAGGAATATGTAGGCCAGGAATCTACTGGAGTGGACACAAGGCGATCAATCCACGTCCGGGCTAGAACAATGTGTAGGTCTTAGATTATCTCCTTTTATATGGGACACCTCATACAGGATGCCCGGTGTAAGACATTTCCTAGTAGGCACTCCATAGTTACCTTCTACTAAAGTACCGGTATTACTAGTATTATATTGATTTCTATTAAGAAAAAGTAGGTTTATTTATCTGTCTCTTAGTTACGTAGATATTTTTTTATCTAACGTTATAACCAGAGACTTAAACTTTTTAAGCATAAAAATGTAGTCCATGCGAAGGATAATCTAAGAATTTTTTAATATTTTAAAGCCTCTACATTACACTACCCTTATACTGCTCTTTAATTCTAGCTGGTTTTTAAAGGAATACTAGATCCTGCCGAGTTGTTACTCCTTTTAACTTAACTACCTAGAGATGCGGTAACTTCTGACTTAGTAGTTAACTACTTAGTACTGTATGTACGTCCTCACTGTTAGGACGAGACGCTGCTCATTACCAAATATAAAATACCTCCAGTTGTTGCTCTGTACGGAGTTGCCCAGGTGAATGCCATCAAAGGGCATTTGGTAGGGAGGCACAAGCTGGTAAAATTCCCTTTTTGTGTGCGAAATAGGCCATCGAAAGCGATTTGTAGGTCACCAGTAGTAACATGATAGGCAGTTGATATAATATCACAGTAGGTTGTATTATCCGCGTTGTGATCTGGAAAGTCCAAATTTCTGCAGATCAATCATCATCAGGTTTTGATTACATGCCACAGCGGGTTTCCTAGAGGTGTTATTAGGCTGTGGAGAGCCATTCTAGGCGTTATCAGCATAGCTGTACTCCGGCGGAAATCGCACAAATAAATCCGGCATCCTTGCATCACAAATGTCAACTATGTCGAGATACTGCTCGATAAGGTAATCCGAGTGGTCGAGTACCGGAAGGTATGGTGATGATGCCACACGCAGGTAGAACATCCATCCTAATAAGGCAATTGCTCCATGGCAGATCATCCGAGTAGAGATTTGCAATCCGTTGACTTTCGTCAGGCACATTATTGGGATCTAAACATTGTAGATCAGTGCTCGTACTGTCTGAGTGGTTGGGTCGAATGATATCGGAGCCAACCCAGTTATATGAGTTGATTATGCAATATCCTGTATCATGGTTATCGGTCATTTGGCGCTGGCTTATATGTAATTGACAGGCTGGATCTCCGTCAGACTGCTATCCAAGCTCCCTCTCAAACTCACGGGATCAGGGGCTATGAGAATTGCTGTATTAATAATGTCCGTTGAATTGTCTATCCACGTCTCTGTAGTGGTTATTATTTCATCACTGTTGACACCTAGTGGTAGAGACATGTCGGTGTCTGGTTGAAGGTATGCAAGGTTCATGCCGTCCAGTACTTGTGCGGGTATCATGCAAGAAGGGGCCTTTCTTTATCGTTTATCTAGTCGTCAGAACATGCGTCTAAGACATTTGAAAACCAGGTTGAAGTCGTAGAAAGACAGCCAGCAGTGCGGAGACCGGTGGCATTGTCCATGTCCCAAAGATAATTGTCCGTATGCCCTGCCATTTGTAAGAGAGAAGCATCATAAGGACCATTGCGTTAAGGGCGTTGAGGCATCCACGGCTGATGCTAAAAGCTTTTTGCTAGACGAGGGGAATCTACAGCCAGATAAAGCTAGACTAATCCGCAGCCTAGAATAGGTAAATGAGCAATCTGTTGAACTTAAGAAATTTTAAGAACAGCCTCGAGCAACGAACCTGTACATGTTTGGACAAAGCAAGGCTTGTGGCCAATGCAATTGTATTAAGTATTGTAAAGAACCCTTTGCAAATCTCTAGCAAATCGAACTGGGACTTACAAAAATGATTGGAAAAGAAAGTAAGGAGAGATTCGTGCGGGATGAAGAAAGAAAAAGTGCAGCTCATAGAAGACGTACTATTCATACTTGCATATGCTCGAAGAAATAAATAGCACATCTCGGCCTCAATTCATCTTCTTGGATATTTGCTTGCCCGGTGGCTATGCACCTTGCTAGATATAGAAAACCCTTGTCTCGCACAAGGCAGACTCGTAAAGAGAAGTAACTATTCTCTCACTTCCCAGTACTATAGCCCACTCCTGATAATAATAATAAGGGCTCTTGGCCGGCGTCTGGCATGTTTCACCCCCTTCTTCTTAGTTAGAGGGGACTCCGGTGCTAGAAAAGTTTGGTAACCTTGGGAACAAACGAGCTACTCACACCACGCCCTGCATGCGGGTCGATGATATTGAGCCCATCTGTGGTATTATTTTAGTTTAACTCCAGCCGCAACAACAGCGGCCCGCGTGCTTAGCGAGCTTAACTAGCTAACTAGTAAACTTAGCGCTAGCTTGGCATGCAGTACGACAAAGAGCTTCCGACATCTCAGCGGCGGTTGGTCCACCCTGGCATCGGACATTTTATTTTGCTCAATTGCAGTGTATGGTTAGATGACTGGATAACCCTCCAACTAACCCTACCAGGCCTGCGGGTATGGGGTTATTGACGAGGTTCATATGAGGTACTCCGTACACATTTGCTAAGCTCCCCTGCGCTTCTGGGAAAGCTGAGCGAGGCCATTTTCAGTTAAATTATGTATCTGCTCCGAGGGAGATAAGCTCAATGTCGTGCTAGGATTAATCTCTTTAGCCGCTTAGCGGCAGTTTCAGGGAGCTCGGATATCTCTATCCTCTTAGCAGAATGGAGTCTATACTCTTGTAGGATGGCTCCACATAGTAGGATTTTACACTTTAGCAATTTTCGTGATAACAAAGTGTTTCTCAAGTTGAGTGGGCCAGAAACTAAAGAATCCAGGCTCTTGAACTCTCCGAGAGTCATATTTGAACTAGTTGCTGCTTATAGTCATGTCACGATACCTGAAATCTGTATTCCAGTGTGTATGCCCAAAGATCCAACAGCGAATGGCCTTGGAACCTTGCCAAGATTTGACTTGAGACTCAAGTAGGTCTGAGCAAAATGCAGGCCCCCAAGGGTGTGATTTATGTCTGGGGTCAGCAGTTTTCATAAAACTCGGAGAGTGGTGTGTGACAACAATCACATCGCGCTTCTCTTCTTCAAGTGAAATATTATAAATTTCCTGTTGCAACCACTGGACATCTCGATAATGTTCAGTATTATGGGCTTCAACAGTCCAATCCTTAATTATGCTAAAATCTGCTACCTTCATCCTAACCCATAGCTGAGAGACTTCCGGGATGTGAGACCACAGAGTACAGCCTAAAATAGTAACTCGTCTGTTGATATCGACTCGATTCCTATTCAGAACAGTGAGTTTGCAGAACAAAGGTGGCTCAACTTCAAGTGCTTTTGCTGCCTGGAGTCCATCTTGGTGGGTGGAGATCTAGTAGAACTCGTGATGAAAACATGGCCAAACTGGGCGCATTGCGCAGCAAGGAAGGTAACATATTCTTTGTAGTTGCGTAGACACCCAATATCTCCAGCTAGGATCAAGTAAGGTGCCGTTCTTGGGACAACAAAAGTTTCGTAAAGCTGGCCATCCTCCAAGTGAAGGTCAGATATGTATTGAAAATCAACCGGATGGAAGGAGGGCTGGTGGAATATTGCTGATTTGAGATTCACCATCACCGCGTTGAGGAAAAGAAGCGCTGATTGGAGCCAACCTGGCGTCAGGGGTAGGTCAGAGTTCTGCATCTGCATCTCCTTTGGTTGAGTCTGCTGTTCTCGGCTCCAGCTTAGTTCATTATACCCCGGAATCATGCGCAACGTTTGTGCTTCCTCTTCTGTTTCGACGAAGATGGTGATATTGTCTGGTTGGAATTCGGATATACGAAATACTTGGCTTGCTATACGATCTAGGATGAATTCCATCACTCTGTGTTTCCTGGTATCAAGGTGATCAAGACACCATGCTTCATCCAAGTTCATGCCGTCCACTAACTCCTCCACACATACTGCCATAGCGTTCACTTTTGATTCAAGGTATCTTTGAGATGCTCCTTGGAGGAGGGTCGCCAGGCGGGGTATAGGGATAGAGGAAAGAGCATTCAAATCTTTTGAATAATCGAGCTGCCGGCTGAACCTGATCTGGTCTGGAGGATACGTCTGAATTTGGACAATATTATTGGGAAGCGGGTCAAGGTGGTAAAGCGTGTCTGGGAGTACTATCACATTGAAGGATCGACCTTCAATGAAGGCCTCGAAGCGGGGATAAGGTTTCAGGTAGTCTGTGTTGCAACTCGATTCGTCCGGCCATGGATGTGATCGAAAGACATCAGCATATGAAACGAGCTGTGATGCTGTGGTTGCAAGGTGGCATTCTGGAACACAAATTTCAATAGCTTGGTCTCTGTTGTAAGTATCTGAAAACTCCGTATTTCTCTTAGGGCCCGACATACCAGGATAACTCGGGGAACATTGTAGTAGTTCAAGGCAGCTTCGTTGACAAGGCAAAAAGGAATGTTGGTAGGCGCAAGGGAGATTTTGACTGCATTAATCACTTTAATTTCCATGATGAGTAGGGCCAACGGCAGTTTAAGAAGGTGAAGCAATATCAGCAATGCCTTTACTGATATTCTTCCTAGGTCGTTCCAGTGCTCTCAGGTTGAATTACACCGAACGTTTCAGCTTCGGCTTTTTGAAGCTTCAGACGACAAATCGTGCTAGGCTACATTTGGCTAGTTAAATAACGTAATCCGCCCTGTGATTACTCAGCCGGAACTGTAGCATCACGTGATATATCGTGAACTTCCTTTGATGTTTCTTTGTACACCGTTTGCGTCATAAACGCTGGCTTCACGACGGCGGAGATTGTTGGTGATATCAGCTGGTCAGATAAGTTCAGACGGGGACGCATGTCCAATTAGTACAGATACCCTCATAATGGCGCCCAAGGGCCCAGGGACAAGTAAACGAAACCCTACGGTTTTGGTATGCGGCTCTATACCGATCCCCTTATGGCTTATGGTTGATATACTAACCTGTGCTTCTCAGGTAACCGACTCTCGAGACCGTCAGACACGGTACTATCCTCTCTCACGACCGTCTCACGCTGGTGGAAACGCAAACGATCATGGCCCCATTGCCGGACCACCCCTGTCAGGTCCCCGCCTCATAACCGTTGATAACGTCCTACAGTATGCCTCTGATGTGCCGTCTATGCAGCAGCGCCGCCAGACGGCTGGAATGAGCTCTGCAGTACGCTCACGGTCGGGTTCTGGCTCAGACAGCAGGCTCAGGTCTGGCCTAAATGCCGCGAGCAACGCTTTAAGTTCGAGCATGGATAGCAGACATAGGACGGGAGGTGGTCGATTGGCGTCTCTACCACAGATACCACCTCGTTCATCAAAAGTTAGCGAGAAGCTAGTCCTTCTTCCCGAAACAGTGGAGGAGGTTGAAGAAGAAGACGAGGACGAGCTAGAACCGGACGAGGAGGAAGATGACGATGAAGTGGCGGATGATGAATCTACACCTTCTAAATTAAATGAGAGATATGAATATCTACGACGTTTGACTGCTGTCCGCGCAAAACAACCAGACTTCACCCAGGATAATCTGACCGCACCACTTCTCGACAATGAGGAGGCGCTTCGCAAGCGGCGTTTTGCGGCCAGCCCTGAGAAGGAGAAGAGTTATGCCGAACGTCTGCCCAAGGCTCGACGAGCAAAGAAGTTGCCTCGTGTCACTGCGTACTGCACTGCGCAGGCGTATAAGATGGGTGCTGCGGCAACTTTTGTCAAAGAACTTCATGATGCACGCACAAAGTTGTATGATGACTGCCTATACGCGGCATACCACCTACCTTTGTTGCCTGGAAGAGATGGGTACAGGGTAAGAAGCAGTCCAATTTTTCGAAGTGCGGAGGGTAAGGTGGTGCTGGATGAAGAGATTGCTAGGAATGAGAGGAGGGATTATCATGATGAATACTATGCGGAGGAAGAAGAACACTCTGTGAGGGATTCGGAACATGAGAGGCATGAGCGTCGCCGTGAACATGGACGAGGCCAGGATGATGATGATGGCGATGGCCATGAGCGTGACCATGCTCACGACCACGAAGTTGAAGCCGAGCAAAGCAATGGGCGACGTCAAGAAGAAAGAGACAGGTCTCCAGTCCGTGGCCATTCATTCCATGTCGAACACCATGACGATCAGCCGTCTACGCAAAACGGTGATATTCGCCAACCTATCTCCCCGACTACTTCCCGCCGCCCCAAACCCTCAATACCGCCCAATGCCCTCTCATTTGCGGAGATGTTCATCTTCAGCTACGGTGTTGTGGTCTTTTGGAATTTCACCGAGCGCCAGGAGAAGGAAATCTTAGCAGATCTCGCCTTCTGCCCATCTCCCAATGACTTGCCACTCAACCCGTTGGCGGAGGAAGATTTCGAAACTGAAGAATTCCACTTTGAATATTCTTCTTCCATCCCTAGACCCCGAGTGTATAATGATATGATCACACTACGGTCAGGCGATCATATGATTAAACTTGCCATTAGCCATGGTATAGCACAGAGTACAAAGCTCAGTTTCTTCGAAGAAGGGATGGCCCGACAGATGGCGGATGCGAAAGATGTGCCGAGACGATTAGCATTGACAGGTCATCTGGGCATGGGCAGAGAAGAAGTCTTCCGTATCATGGGCCGATTATTCAAATCTCGTGTTGAAGTTAATCTCTGTAAGAATGTCCCACCTTTATATAATAAGTTGGAACTCCAATCTCTAACAAAACAACCCCTAGCTTCAAATATGCTCGACGTCCCCAATTTCTTCTGGGACAGTGAACCGACTCTCCACCCTCTTTATATCGCTGTTCGCGAATATCTAGAGATAAAGCCTCGCATTCAAGTACTCAATGAACGATGTCGTGTATTCCTTGACTTGATTGAGATTTTATCCGATTCTATCGCTGATAATAAAATGTCTAGCCAGACATGGATTATCATCATTCTCATCTTCATTTCTATCGTCGTTACTTTATCCGAGGTTGTGTTGAGGTTTGGTATTCTATCGACGAAGAAAGGGGTTCAGGGCAAGATGTTGCTGGCTCAGGGCAAAGGAGATTGTATGCCCGTCAGTATGTAATCATGTTTATTTTGTTTGGGTTTGACTGCAGGTCGTCTGGTTGAGTACCATTTGTTGGACTTCTTTTTATTTGCAAGCGTTGACGTTTAATACCACACATGCTTCTTTTTCCTTGATGTTTAATTCCCTTTTTACTATGAGATGTCATGCACATGGTTGCAAAATATGAGATAGAACCAATTTATATAATACTTGCAAATTATAAGAATAATGGCTTCGATTAAAAGCATAAATACATGCTTCCGTAATAATCACAACCTTCTCAGATGCTCTCATAACTTCTTGGTAATATGGACAGACTGGGCATTGCAGTATGCCATCAGCCCACCCAATCCACCTTCATATCCGATACCACTTTCCTTATGCCCACCAAATGACGACTGGCTGCTTGGTTCGACGTGGTTGTTGATCCATACGCAGCCCGCTTCGAGTTGGTCAGCAATACGTTGGGCGCGGTCCAGATCCTTTGACCAGACGGAAGCGCCCAGGCCCATTTTTGTGTTGTTTGCCTCCTTGATAACGGCGGCCTCGTCATTCCAGGTTACCATTGGGACGATAGGACCTGAAAAGGAAGTTAGACAACATGTAAAATAGGATATTGTAGTATGCTTGTAAACTCACCAAATGGCTCCTCGGTAACGATACGCGAGTCAAGCGGTGGCCTATCAATGATTGTTGGCTCGACGAAGTAGCCTGGTCGGCCGAGATCACTTCGACCACCTGTGGCAACGGTCCATTTCTCTTTTTCAATCTCGGCATATAAGTTCTTCACCTTTTCAAACTGCATCGAGTTTTGGATGGGCCCGTGAGTGACGCCTTCTTCATCTCCTCCGACTTTGAACTGTTTGACGGCGGCGACGAGGGCGTCCCGGAATTTCTCGTAAATAGATTCATGCACGAAGATACGTTTGATGGCTACGCAGACTTGTCCAGAATTGATGAATGCGAAAAATGCAATCTGCTACTGTCAGCTTTATGATCATGCTAGGAGTTAGGAATACACATCACTCACCTTTGGAACAACTTTCTCAATGTCGATGTCCTCGCAAATGATGGCTGGGTCGTTTCCACCACTGCTTGATGCATTAACTTTCAGGTCGGGTTTATTTTCGAAGGATATAGCGACTTACAGTTCTAGGGTAACTCTCTTCAAGGTCTTGCTGGCGCTTGCCATCACTTTCTTTCCAGTGAAGGATGAGCCAGTGAAGCTGATCTTCGCTGGACCGGGATGCTCAGTCAACATAGGCCCCAGAGTATCGTCACCGCTAAGAAGTTGAATAACACCAGGAGGGAAGAATTGCTGTGCTAGCTCGACAACCTTGATATCCGTATATGGGGTAAACGGAGAGGGCTTGATGATGATTGTGCACCCTGACATGACAGCAGGACCTATCTTGAGGGCCGCAATCATCAAAGGGAAGTTCCAAGGAACAATTCCAACAGCCACACCCAGAGGCGTGAAGCGTTGGATAGTCTTCTTTTCTTCGGTTTCTTCGAGGACCACTGGTTTCAGTTCAAGCTTAGCATTGACACGAAGTGATGCAACGGCCGTCTGAATCTCAAATCCTGCGAGTTGCCTCTGTTTGCCCATTGTTAGCCTACCTATAGCTTCTGGGGTAACATAGGGTCCAAGTCAGCTGGTAGCATGCTATCCATTTACTTACTGGTTTCCCCTGTTCACGAATCAGGAGGGTTAAGAATTGCTCCGCATGCGCCTCGATGGCGTCCGCGAAGCCAACAAGGGCCTTCTCTCGCTCTTCATGCGATGTCTTAGACCACAGCTTAAATGCCTCCTGGGCTGCAGCAACGGCAGCGTCTACATCTTCGGCTGTCGAGACTGGTACCTCCGCATTGGGCTCGCCTGTGGCAGGGTTGATGTTATGGCGAGTCTTTGCTGTAGAGGTCAGTTTGCCATTGATGATATTGTGGAACGTGGTGAAGTCGAGTTTGGCAGCCATGTTTGTTGGTCAGAAGCAGTTTGATATTTGTATAAATTTACTCAATCACTCGACTGTTAAGGACATGGGACCCCTTTATGTACATGTCGAAGACGGGCCGGAGCTATATTGTGTACATACGCTGTACTCTGTAACGCGGGGGTCTCCTAGTGGGATGCTTCAGCCCCCGGACTTAAGCAGCGGCGCCGCAAGTAACTAGTAGTGCGACTCGCATCTGATCCTCGCAAGCCATTTCGACCGTCAAACAAAGAGGAACAAATGCCGACAACTAGTCCTAACTCCGTTGGTGACGACGACATAGTGGCCAAACAGGTAGATCAAAGGCTCAAGTTGACCGCTGTAACAGGCTTAAAAAAAAGGTTAACTGTTCGTCCGTCGTAGGGGATTTCTTTGAGGCCCACATCAAACCCTGGTGAAAGGATGGTAGGTAACCTTACTATGTAGACCTGGATATTTATGATATTATCTGCAGGGTGATTCGTGTTGGCAAACTCAGTTGCCTGCTTCTGTATCCCGTACTCTTCTTTTGTATGGTCACTAGTGCGGCTTTGTCTTTTTTGCCAGCAGAGATTCCATGTTTACAAAGTAAACTTGATGAAGTCGTTCTTTTGAAGAAAAAAAAAAGCCGCGGATGGTTTGATGTCCCCGATTTGTCCACGTGATCTTTGGCAGTCATTAATAAGAGATGACTAATTTTTTTAAACTGCCTAGCGTGTTGCGTTATAGCGCGCACTTTGTTTGCTATCTGGCCACTTTTTCCTTTGAACTATCAAATTGCTTCTTGGATAGCAACACATTTGCCTGCATCCGCTACAGCCACATCTGTTATTATTAGAGTAGTGGTTGTGGGCATACAATTCGCAATGATTGACACCCCTTAAACCTGCTCTTATTTAAAATACAATGATTTTGCCTTGGAGATGGCACGTTCTAGCTCTCGCGTTGGGTCAGTTACTACTGAACTCCGCACCGCTTTGCCCGCATAGGGTGCTAACAATTGTCCATTTATTCAGTACTGTGTCTACAGGTCATAACTGCGGGAGCTCGGAATCTACGAGAAGACCTTACCAACAGAGAATCTAATCCTACAGACCTGCCACTACCCGGCTCGCTAGATGTCGAAAGTCCAGAGTCCAAGGCCAGGGGGAGCAATGGCCGGGAACACTCCGCTGGTAATGAAGAAACCCCTTCCATAGCTTTGTTAGCGAGCTTGCCGCCCTTGAGCCCTGGCTGAGACATATTTTGCAGAGCAACCGGATGTTGAGGCGGCGTTGAATATCCTCCGCAGAATAAAGGTCCCTACCAAGAAATATGAGAGGCCGTCTGGTGTCTTTGGCCATGCGAGCTATTACGGCCGCGAGTTGTTCTACCTCCTATTTATGAATGCACCGTCCTCAGATCAGCCGTCCTTGAGTCGATTGCCTAAGAAAAATGGAAAGCTGGTGGAGGCAGTCCGCCTGTTGGAGGGGGCCGCTCGCAGGAACAATTCCGATGCTACCTTTCTCCTCGCAGAGATGAACTTCTACGGGAACTATACACACCCACGGGATTTTGCGAAGGCTTTTCGATACTACGAATCGCTGGCGACCTCGACTGGTAACAGCACTGCGCAATATATGCTTGGGTTCATGTATGCCACTGGGATTGGCGGGGCTGTGGAAAGGGACCAGGGCAAGGCGCTTCTATATCACACCTTTGCGGCCATGGGAGGCAATACCAGGTCACAGATGACGCTGGCGTACCGGCGGTACGTAGGGATTGGAGCTACGCCGGACTGCGACCAGGCGGTATACTGGTACAAGAAGGTCGCCGACAAGGCGATTGCATGGTACAGGTCTGGTCCTCCTGGTGGCATCACCATGCGCCGAGAGGCCTTCCGTTGGGCTGATGAGGAAGGCGGAGTGTATGGCGAAGGGGCCAGTGTGTCCAGCGCTGGCTATAACGCGATGAGAGATGTCCATTCTAGCGCTGATGCAAGCTTAGATGATGTATTAGAATACCTGGATCTCATGGCTAAGAAGGGTGATACTAAAGCTACCTTTGGTCTTGGCAAGCTCTACTACGAAGGATCGCGGCAGCTGGAAAGGAATTACAAGAAAGCCATGATGTATTTCGTGGTAGTTGCAAGAAAATACTGGACAAAGGATGGCGCTATCAACCCAAGCCACCCGCCAGGCATTGACAAGATTGCGGCTCAATCCGCAGCCCATATCGGTCTCATGTTCCTTCGCGGAGAGGGTACGGAGCGGAACTACCAAAAAGCCAAGCTCTGGTTTACACGAGGAAGAGCAAATGGTGATTCGATGTGCCATCATTATTTAGGCCTGATGTACTTGCATGGCTATGGTGTTGAACAGGATGTGATGATGGCTGCTTCGTATTTTAAGGCCGCGGCCGAACAGGATAATTACTATGCGAAAACTAGGTTAGGCGCACTATTTCTCGACCAAGGAGACGTCGTCACCGCATCGATATACTTCGAAGCCGCTGCTCGCCACGGAGGCATGGAAGCACTCTATTACCTCGCGGGAATTGCAGATCGTGGTCTTGGAGGTCAGCGCCATTGCGGAGTCGCTACAGCATACTACAAGATGGTCTCCGAAAAGGCGGAAGGCATCCATTCTGCTTTTGGCGAAGCAAACGACGCTTATGAGATTGGGGACAAGGAACTGGCTCTTATCATTGCCACCATGGCAGCAGAGCAAGGCTATGAGAGCGCCCAGGCAAACGTTGCCTACCTTCTCGACGAAAAGCGATCACTGCTATCCCTCAATCCCATTCTGCCATGGATAAAGAGCCGCCACTCGTCTCTCCTCCGCAATGCCGCCTTGGGCTTCATCTACTGGGCTCGTTCGGCTAAACAGGCCAACGTAGATTCCATGGTGAAGCTAGGGGATTATTACTTTGAAGGCTATGGCACGAATAAAGATATATCCAGAGCCTTGACCTGCTATCATTCTGCTGCCGAGGGCCACAGTGCTCAGGCATTCTGGAACCTTGGCTGGATGTATGAGAATGGCCTACACGTTGAGCAGGACTTCCCAATGGCTAAACGGTACTATGACCTTGCCCTAGAGACGAACCAGGAGGCATACTTCCCAGTCACAATCAGCCTTCTTCGATTGCGCATTAGGAATTTTTGGAATAAGATGATACGAGGGAAGGCTAACACCATCAACGCAGAGCCAGGTATGATTTATCCTTATTCACTTATATCTTTCAAATCTAGCTAACGAGTATCAGACGTAAACACTCCACGTACCTTCAAAGAATGGATATCTCACTTCATCAATTATAACGAAGAAGAAGAAGCATATCAGAGAGGACTCCGCCAACAAGACCCCGCGGACCCTGACGCCATTCTCGATGATGCAGGCAATCCGCACGGTCAGGACCAAGATCTTAACTACTATGACGAGGACGTCCTTGACTTCGACGACGGTATCCTGGAAAGTCTCATAATAATCGGCCTTGTCGCCACATTAGTGCTTCTACTGCACTTCCGGCAGCAGCGGGCAGCACGTCGAGCCCAAGAAGCAAACGCCAATCAACCCCAAGGGCAGAACAATGACAATCAACAACAGAACCAAGGAGCTGATGGTGCTGGCAACGCAGGGGGAAATAGGGGTTTCTTCCCGCAGCCGGATGATCCCAATTTTGCAGCATGGGTTGCTGGAGGCCTCGGACGGTAGTTCGCCGTTGCTCCTTGTTTAAATATATACCCGTTTATTCTTTTTTGTCATTTTTAGCATGCATCATCTGGAGAAATTACACTGTTTATGTGGTCCACGGCTCTATTGCTCTTCCTTTCTTACGGTAGATTTCTTTGATATTGAGAAGTTGTATTGAGTCACTTGTTACGCAGCTTGGGTAGTAAGATCGCCGAAATAGGAAATCAGGACCTCGACAACTTCATTTTTTCGCCTCCACCCGTTTTTTTATTCAACACAACTTTGCGTCGACAGAAGAGCTAAGGGTATACAGCCTACATGTTGACAACCAGAATGGAGTCAGAACTGATTCTCTCTCGGAAACGAAAGCTCTGTGAGGCGTCTTCTACCCTGAAGAAGCCCTTCAAGTCACCCCTCCGCAAGGGTATAGATGTGAGCTCCGCAGCATCGACTGAGTCTACATCAACCAATATATCTGATGGAAGGATGCATACTGTCGAATATACTCTGACTCCATCTTCTCTCTCATCTGATTATGCGTTTAATTCCCCAACCACTCCACCTCAAAAAGATACCTCTACCAGCCAGGCTCCAGTCGTCTCGCCATCAAACACGCCTCGAGCCCGTCTTGCTTCTCTCCAGAAAGAACAACACAGTTTACAATTCCGCCGATGCCGCCAGCGCGAAGAACTAGACACACTCAACCAAGCAATAAACATTCTAGAAAAGCACAAACTTGCCGAGCTCGAAATACTTATACGCAAATGGCGAGGAGTAAGCCGGGACGCAGCTGAGGATCTGTTTGTTCGTGCTAAGGATAAGGTGAACAGGATGGGTGGAGTGAGGGTATATAATGAAAAGACGAGAAAAGGGAAGATGAGGCAGCAGGAGTGGGGTGGATGGGATGATAAGCAGGATGAAGACGATGATGAGGAAATGGGCAGTGACGTTGAGAGGGAGCGAGAGAGAAGGAAGGCGGAGCTGGAGGAGATGATGTCCGTCCAGGAGAAGGAGGGAGGTGAGGCAGAGGATGAAGAGGAGGATATTGATGCTGATGAAGAGGTAAAGCCCTTCCCATCTTGCGGTTGTAGGCTTATTTGCTGACTTGCTCATCCTTACTAGACTTTTACAATGGATATGATGCTGAAGGGCCTTAATGTTGATCTTAAAATCATCGGCTTTGACAAGGACGGCCAGAGATGGACTGATTGAAAGATAGGTGCTACTGCAGCGGCAAGCATGGTGACATGGTATATCCTGAGCATAGATGTGCAGGGAGAACTATACGTAAATCGTGTACAAGGACGAGTATACTTTGATCTTATTATTACTGTTATATATAGTTAATCATTTACAGACTTGAAGGAATCCTTGAAATTTATCTTTTAAAGTTATGCTCCTATGTCAAAGCTGTGAATTTTTGCCCAGTAGTATATAACATTGGTAAGAGCTGCTCAACTATGAGCCTTTGAAGAAGTAATATTGACATAATAGAGCGGCGTTAGCCTCTTCGTTGTACACTAAGGTTGTAGTAGTAGTTTCTCCTTCGTTCCACCAGATTGGAGCAGCGTTGATAGACTATGGTAGTACTATCGATATCACCCGAAGCCATATTCTCCTCACTATGAAGTAGTTAACCATCTTCCAAGGGTTCAGTATCGCTTGGTGAACTCAACCTTGTCGGTAACAGCCATATCGAGGATAGTGGTCGCTCCTTGCTACCGAAAGAGGGTGTAAAGGTTGATTGCTTCAATAAGTAAAGGTTCGCTGTCTAAAGGGTATGTGGTGCTTCTGTTTGATGTATATCGGTAGGTGTTTTTGTTCATCTCCTTATGCACTCAGTTACATAGACTGTCTATGCTCCTTGGGTTCTTTGACTTTGAATAATAGAAATCAAATGGTGATAATTTCGTAGTTCCACTGTGTAATATCATGAATATGAGCTGATCCCTCTTTACCACACCCGCCTCCCATGTTGGCCTTCGGTAGTATCTTGTGGGAAACCCACAGGGTGTAATGGGGTGCGCTGATGCCACATATACCGTTCGACCAAAAGATCATACACCCAGTCATGAGAGCTGAACCACCGCTCCTTATACATGCTTCCAGTAGGCATGAGTACGTTCAATGTCAGCACGCATGACATAGAGCCTTGTGATTTAACAATTCGTTTCTCAGTAGACTTGCCCCTTCTCAATATTCGATAAGTATATACGAATAACTGTGCGAACCAGTATATAAGTCTATCCTCTCTACAAAGTAGTAAGACGTCCACACTGGGGAGAGCGAAAAAGGCTCTGCATTTTATTGGTAGCGATGATGGTAGTGACAGAACAAACCATCCGGCTCTATCGAAAGGCAAACAGACGACCGAGAGCCACTCGAGAAGTGCAAAGGCTACACCATGCTTTCTTTTCCCAGTTGCCGTTTTCATTCTAGAAACAGTACTGGATGTCTGTTTCTCTAATCGAAAAAGGGGTATATGGGTAGGCCTTCCCTACGCCATTGCCGATGATATGTTCGTCCAATACAGCTTATTGCCGCGAAGCCAATCATCACATAAGTATCTAAAACGGCCAACCGGCGCTGCAAAGGTCGCCATATATAATAGGAGCTCATCCTATGCGGTATTCGTGTCAGTTGCGTGAGGAAGCAAGAGATGAAGGGGGTCTCTCGATGCCTCTGATATAGCTTTAGTTTCAAAATAGTCTGTATCAAAGCCAATTTCATTTGGCGGCAGGGCAATCCATTCGTGATATTTGAGCCTAATTCTCGGATAGTAAATCTCTGGAAAGGGTAGACATACTGTTATTGACATTTATCAGGGCAGTCGGCTGAAAGTTATAAGTCTCAGAAGACACCTTCCATTTTTATACCTTTGATATCCCGAAGTGCTTTGAGATGTGTGGCCTTTAGAAATATTAATAGCAGTAGGGCCTGCTTCTATCTTCCACGAGGATAGAGCTGCGTAAACCATTGTTTTTGATGGCGGATGTCGTTCGTAAAAGACGGAGCCACATTCCGACGGTGCAGGTGTACGATCAGCAGCGCTGGATCCTGGATTCGCCGGATCCTAGATTCATCCCTCTTGTCTTTCCGCTGGCAACTTGCCTTGCAAAATAACCCCCACAGGATAATATCGGAGCAGGTGAAGTCTGGCGCTGACGGTGTCAGCACTGACGAGGTGTTTGAAGACGGAGCCGCCGCACTATTGTGCGCACACACATCTTTCATGGCCACAAAAAGATACCTCATTTAATATATTTGAGTGTTCAAGTTATATCTGCGAGGTAGTACCGAGTTGCCCAGCCTGAGCAGGCCACAGATCTTCTCCGCTATAAGTTGGTGTCGGTATCTTAACCAATTTTCATTGTAAAGCATACAGCTTGATCTTTGTTAAGTTGTACACCGCATGCATGCCCACTCTCCACTGTAGATAGCCACTGGTGGTGATTTCTGGCGGCCGTGCCGTTATAATAGAAAGTGTTATCGCTCATCCGTACTCAATACTCGAGAATTCTCCGCGATGAATATAAGCCATTGGTGGCTTATTCACTGCTACCCTGAAAAATGACTGATGACATCTCCTGCTCTTAGAGGTTGCAAAGAACAGTCAGTTTAGTCTAGCAGCATCCGGGGACCTCCGAGAGGAATAAAGCAAAGGCTTTATGTTGCCAGTGTAGTCGATATCTGATATGCTAAAGCAGATTCACAGCTGCCATCGTGAAGGACCCTTTTCCAAGTCTGGATCTTTGTTATAGCTCTTGGATGATAATTATGGGTTGCAGTAATAATACCATATGGCATGGTAACATCGAGTGATCCCTTCAACTTTGTCAGTAATTCGCGTCTGTTCCTGATGGTAACTAGAGATTCCGAATATTCTGCGCATCTGTAACCTTTTTCGAACCCATTCATATTGGTATATTTGACCTGGGGTGTTTCCCACACACCACAGGCCGAGATATTGCCGTATATTAATCCATGGATAATATTGCAGCAAACATGGACGGTGACGGGTTGAATTTTATGCCGAAGAAATGGCCCTTCGTCTCTTGTGCATGTCGTGTTTGGCCAGACCTGTCAAGATTCTGTTCAAGGGTTCTATAAGCAAGACATTTCCAAGAAAGATACCTGAATGCTATGCAGAGATGAAACTGGTATAGACTCCATGCCTTTCAGCGGGAATCAGAGCAGTGAAAATAATTACCGACCGCATTTCCATGGCTTATAATATACGAGATGGCAAAGTTGCTTTCAAGGCGACAAGGCTAATATCGAGGGTACCATTCTAGCATATCCAGTATGGCGTGAATATCAGACTATCATTGTCGATGAGCTGATTGAAGCCTGCTTGTATTTCCTTCCTTGATCCCGAGAGTGCTGCCTCTAGGGAACCCATAGGTTATTTATCAGGGACTGGTATAGACATTAGGTGGGCTTTTCGACTATTGATGGTTGACTTCGGATGGCTGGAGTCCCTATCCAGTTTACCGTGTAGATATTGAGATCCCTAACCCTCTCAAGGTATCGGTATACATATCTGGTGTCTCTTGATGTTGGTAACCGCGCCGTACGGCATTCAACGCGATGCGATATTAGAGATGTGAATGGTGACATGAATTTGTGGTTATCTAGGAGCTCTGTGACGTACTCCAATATGGCACGCCTTTGGTCCATTTGGGTAAAGGGGATATTTCCGTTAGGCGGTAGTATCAGAACTCATTTCGACCAGCCTCCAACCGAGTCCATAGCTAGCAAATATCATATATTGGTGGCACTGCCAAAGAGTGGCAGTAATGGCACGCTCTAAATGAATTTCAGATTCCACCACGGGAAATTGAGAAAACACTAGAAAGTTCCTTACATTTTGAAGAGCTCCAAGTCAGGTCCCCAAAAGAATAATTCAACGAATATGTCTCTCTGGTTGATCATAAAACTTTTTTATTAGGTCTCTCAAGAGACATTATCTGGGATGATTGCTTGCTTGTCTTCTGGTACTCCTTAGGGGTATATTCCTTTATTTGGACTGTGATATGCTCTATAAGAAGCACCATATCCATGGAGAAGATTTGATTCGGTCAAGGGGTGCTCGTTCGGAGCGGAGGCAACAGGCTAAATATACAGAACTGGAAACTCAAAGGGGGTATCACTGTTTGGTAAAACAATTCGGCCAAACGGATGTATTTATGGTCTGTCTGGAGTGCGGGCTGTGCAGTACTCCTCCAGTTAGACTTGACTTTGCCAGGGATGCGATGTGTGAATAAGACATTATCGATTCTGTCAGATAGAGTCTTCATACACCACCCCTTTGGTAGAGTTAATACTTGTAATCAGGCATGGCCAAAATGATCGTTGGTATTGCAGAGTAGTCGGGCTAACCATATCCCAGTCGCCAAAAATGAAAAGAGCAAGGCAGCACACAATATAGCGAAGTTTCAGGGCCAACTTTGCGATATACAGCACCAGTTCAGCCCTAGACGAGGGTGGGACACGTTGAACCATGACGTGCCAACAGTCGAATGTTATAGCCGGTATATTGATGCTCCGGCAGTTATAAAATATTAGGCAATGACTCTGTCTGGTATACGCCGCATCACCAAGGGCAGAAAAGGTTGAAATACGTACATGATGGTAGTATTAGGTTAGAAATTTCCGGGAGACGGCGTGAAGACAGTGAAGTCTCTGTCTGCGCATGAGAACCTGACCCGGCACAAACGAATATGCCTTCCGGATTATATATATATATATATTGTTTGCTTTGTATTATCTGTTTGCAAGTCAGCGATCGCCGTAGATTGAGTAAGAGAGTAGAGGAATGACAGGGCACAAATTTCAAGGTAGCATCTGGGATTTAACGTACCTTATGCCCTTCTTTAGATACTATAGCCTTTAGAAGTTATAATGTGAAGGGATAGTACCCGGTAATATCAAAAATTGTAAACCCCTAATTCAGAGTGATAGTTTGCCTCTGCCATGCTACTTTGGAAGACATATCTCCGCCCTTCGCAGGTAGTGTTGAGTTGTAGGATTGCGTTTGGTGATATAATTCGCATTAAGACCATGGAAAGCAGTCTGATAATAACCCGGAGACGGTGAGGTGTATTAACCAACCCCGGAGGTTAACGGGTAAACGAGCAGTGGCTAGATAAATAATTTATTTCTTTCAGTTGCAGAAGACCAGGCTGTATTCTAAAAGGGACTGAATAGAATCTCCGAACATCCAGCTTATCAGCAGGAGTCTCCACTTGTGCAGGCTCATATGGTGTGCTCCTCGCTGCTGCGGACTGCGGTTCTTCGGATTTTCCTGCGCAGCCTCATTGTAACAGGGATATCTGATATATTCCCCATGGTTGTTTTAGGAACATCTAATCGAGCGCATTTTGGGGATTGATCTGTGCAGGTATAATTATCATCATTAGTATATACCATCGCTTGCACACTATGTCCGCTTTCTATCTTCCGGTTATAGTAGTAACTCAGACTCTAGGAGTATAATAAGTTAGCAACAAATTACTTAGGAATTTTCAGGGAAATCGGAGTAATAGAAGGGCAGTATTCTCTCACAAATATAGCTCTTTTCCACTTCATGTTTAATCGTAAAGATAATACTCTAAGAATTATCTTTAACGGTCCCAGTGGCCTCGGGAACTTTTTGATCCTGAGGTAAATGATTGCTCGCCAATGCCGATGGTTGCATATAGGGGTAGAGTCAAAGAAAAGTGACAAGCTAACAATATCCTGAGCTGGCTAAGGCTATTTCCATCCGCCAGGCCACCAGAAACGTACCCTAGATAGCTGGTACTTTGGTAACTGGTGTCTCATAGGTTCGTCTTGAAATACCCAAATAAGTTGGTGGGCAGCCAAAGGGTAACAGGCAACGAGTAATCCGTCTAGATTGACGGTATATTCTTTGAGGGACACAACCACGTCCCCATGGCTAGCAAAGCACAAGCTTAACAAGCCAAAGGTATGATGGGGGAAATAAGAGAAGAACCTATTTGTCAGAATTAGAAAGAAGAAGAAAATTAGGATTCGGTAGGGAGTTATATAGGCGGAATCTACAGAGGAACGATGGTGTTTGTCAGTGACTTGCATATCATGCAGTGATAAAGGATCTGTATCATTCAATGTCTATCAAGTTAGTTTGCCACAACGGTGACGGGATTTCTTTATTTACTTAATCCAGTTACTCCGCTGAAGAGTCACCTATAATCATCCAGCGGAATCCAGCATAGTGACAAAACCCTGGCAGCCTGCAAACGGGTGAATAGCAAAGACCTGCCGTCACTTTAGCCCTCCGCAACAACATCGTAACTGTTTGACTTATGTTTGGGAGTGAATTTGAAGTCCTTATCCGCCGGGCCAAGGAACATTTCACTGCAGGAAAGTAAGACGCATTAGTGACGACTGTTTCAAAGGAGGCATGTTTCACATAGGATAGCGGTAAACTGTTTGGCAACTTACGAAATTTTGATCCAGTCGAGATAGTGGTCACTTGCGAGCAGTGTCTCTAGCTCATCACGGCCTCTCCATGCGGGAGGCCGGTCATTGATCTTAGGTGGGAGATATTCAAGAATTCCAACTGGAACATATCGACAGGTAAAGCTCAACCACTCCAGCAAGAACCGTCTCGTAGTTCCGATGCCGTGCTCATCAGATCCCCATGCTTCAAGGCCATGCTTAACGAAACGCTCAATATAAGCAAGTCGTTCGGAGGACGACTTATCCAGGTACTGCCCTGCTTGAATTTCTTCAAAGATCCAGGGCTTGATCAGGGCGCCTCGTGCAACCATCACACTATCTACGCCAGAGTTGGTGATGGCATTATTGTAATCTGCATGAGAGTAGCAGTCACCATTTCCAATGAAGTATACTTTCCCAGCTGATGGCAAGAGTCTCTCATCCGGCTCGCGGACGGTGTCCACGACCTCATCCCTCTTTACATTAAGCCTTTTCACCAAGGCTGAGCATTCAGATATATATCCCCAATCGGCCTCACGGGTGTATCGTTGCTGGCGGCTTCTTCCATGTAATGTGAGCGCCCCGATCCCCGCGGGTCCCTGTCCAAGCTCATTAGACTCGTAGCCACCGATAACAAGACGCTCAGCCAGCTTAAGCGCAGTAGGATAGTTATCCTTTGTGCCCATTCGGATTTTGGCAGTAATAGGGACCTCTCCAGAGACCGAATTCATCCCGCGAAGAATCTTTTCTAGCTTAGACGGATGTTCGAGAAGTGCAGAGCCGGCTCCGTCGCGATAAACAAGATCTATGGGACAGCCACAGTTTAGATCAACGACACGAAGATGTGGACAAAGAGCGGTAAGTATCTCGGTAGCTTTCAATGCCTGCCAGGGCCTGTTTCCTGCGATCTGGGCTCCGAACTTGAGGTCACGAGAATTATCGTACCCCTTAACGACAGGTTGCTTGGGCGATATCGTTGGAGGTTGGATCTCAGACTCATGGGCCTTCATCAACGCCCATTCTCCTTTGGTACCTTGCATCAATGGCAAGCTCATTGCCATTTCAGAGTACGTGAACTGAGCACCCAGTTCAACACATAGTCTCCTGAACGGTAGATTCCCCTGAGTAGTCAGCGGCGCCAACACCGGCGTCTCTGGCCCGAAATAGAGCCTCCTCTTTTCCGACGGGAGGAAAGGCGGTTCCGTATATCGGGCTTTATTTTCTTCGGAGCTTGCCTTGGCCTCGCTCTCGCCTTCACCATTGCCCTCCGCCTTGCCATTTGTGTCCTTGCCTTCTGTATCCTCGTCGTCCTCAAAATTTCGTCCGTGGAAGCGCTCTTCCAGTTCCTTGGAAGTTACCGTGATCCAGTCGTTAAATGCATCCGCCTTGGGCGTGAGAAATTTCTTCCGTGTCATCAACTGTTTATTTTCCGTTGAAACCAGATTCACAACACCCAATTCCGTAGCATTGATCGAAGAAGTGGCAGCGGAAGCCGGGGCTGCTTTCTTTTTCTTCTCTTCATCTTCAACCAAGACCAATTCTTTACGCCCATCCTCCAGTTCTCGCTCAGCCATATGAGACCCGACAAATCGACATCTCCAGCCTGCGGAGCAAACCCCAAATGCCTCCCAAACGGGACATATTCCCCCAAATGTCTTCAAATCCTCCTTTTTGTGCTCTTTTAAGTATTTGCGGAGATTGTGCTCAAACTTGCAATTGTCGCCATACTGGCATGGTCTCGGCGAGAATTCCGGATTATGAGTAATAGTCCCACATAACCCTTTTTCATCATGCGATCTCTGGAATCGACGGTTGGTATTTTTGCCCTTTTGCTTCTCGCGGCGCTTTTTGCCTTGTTTGCCGTCGCCGTCTCGATCGTTGTAGCCGGCTGCCTCAGCTGCATCATCGTCACGCGCTGCGCTATCATTGACAAGCGCATCAGAGCCATCTTTCGGGAATGTCATAATATATCTATATTCGATTACAAAATATTATTTTGATTAGCACCGCGTTATGGTGAATAGCTTGAGACGAAGCGGGGGAGAACGGTACTCTGCTTTTATCGGCGCCAGCCCCCTTCTTCGCTCTGAGCAATCTTTGGGTTTCAAAGAAGTAGCAGATGGTGCTTCTCCATCCAATTTCACCCTCTTAGACGGTGGTCCTTCAATATTGTCGCCTGCTTCGTCCGCAGCGCTCTCAAGTGGTCGAACTTTGGAAGGCTCTGTGGGCTCTGACGCACTGGAAGGCGCCGGATTTTGCACGTCAGGAGCCATATTTAATGTAGACGAGACTAGATGGCCCAGTGATCCAGGCCGTGATCCCGCTACTTAAGAAGCTGAAGTATAGGGTTGAAAGTTGAAGATGTTCGATTGTTTGAAGGGAAAAAGAGATTTTTTTGGACTGAACTTTTCTCCAAACCTTAAATATTCCGAGAACCGACGGCGTAACAGAAATTATATATAGGAGATTGTGGTAGATGAATAAGTAGCTAGAAAGCTATGCATTGAGGCATGCAACCATAGAGTGATCTACTTTACTGCCATCTACGGGTGGCATGCAAATGAAAAGAAAGAAAGCCTTGACATCCCTAGTCCTGTTGTGAGGGTATCAAAACAATTCCGTAGTTAAAGAAAAAAGAGACCTTCCCAAGTAAAACTCCGGCAAATGTCAGTATAGTCATAAATAGTTCAAGACAGTTCCATGCCATCTTCCTCATCAATATCAAGATCATCATCTAACACTCCAGGAAGGGCCGCTCGCGGCCGCTTGGGGCTTGTCGTTTCGAACCTTTCATAAGCTAGAATATCACGAAGCTCAGCCTCATGGCCAGGCATGATTCGGGCCTCGGAATCCACCACCTCGCAGAGATCAATCATACTCTGTTTGCTTAGGAGGCGGAACCCTTCACTGCGTACGATTCTGCCCCAGTTCGCAAGGCAAAAGGACGCGGCACGGCGCTTGAGCCAGTCTTCGTTAGTGCGGCCTGCTCGTTCCCATATTATGGCGGCATTGTCAACGTCGAGCTCACGGCTAAGACGATTCACGCAGAGGAGGCGAAGTTTTGGCAGGTCATATAGGTTTGCCATTACTAGCATGCCTGCAACTTCAAGTACGCTGGGGCCGACTTCAGAATTAGCAGATATACTATCCGTGTACAGATAGTAAAGAAATGCTCTGACGACACGGTATGGCTCCGGAATATGCATTTTGTTCGTGTGGTATTCGGCCATTTTGGCAGCATAGAGCCGCTGGAAGTGAGGCCAGCGAGCATGAAGTATGATCCGATGTACGTGTATAGGAGGAGATGTGACTGCATTGTCTGGTAGAAATTCGGACATTGTATCTTCAGCTCCTGGGGAATGCACGTATGAATCTTCGGCGTCGTCCACGTCAGCAGTGATAATGAAGTCTGACCCACACCCAGACTCCGGGGGCTGGTCAAAAACCGAAGCAAGTCCAGCACCCAAGTTGGATAGCGTGTTTTGTCGTTCGGATGCAAGGATACGATTCTGCTCTGTAGCCTCTCTACCCAGTACGCCATACTTTTCAAGGTCGATAGTAAGAATCGTATCCAGACGGTTATCTTCGCCGACTGCCAGGTTTCCAGAGCTAGAGCCAAAAAGCCAGGCCTTGCTTCCGGCTTCATCAACCGTGCAGTATTGCCAGCGATTCTCAGCAGGGAATATTTCCTGTCCGCTTGCTAGCTTCTGCCACCGTAGGGAGTCCATCTCCATGGATGATAGGTTACACTCCCAGGACTTGACCGTTTCAGAGGGCGAGATGAAGTCAAGAAGAATACCAGATGCATAGACGTGGAAATGTGTGCCGGAGCGTAGAGCCGGTACATACGGCCCTGAGTGGAATTTAAGGGAAGAGATTGCTCCCGGAGCAGTTGGCCTGCGCCGAGTCGCTGAACGAACTTGGGTGTTTGCAGCGTTTGGTGTGTAGCCTGGTATCCGCCCAGTGGATGGTGGAATGTAATATGGATGATCTAGAACCTGTAAGCTGTTGCCTTTTGTCTGCTCTGGAGGGATATGGCAAAAATTTACCTTGTTCTATCGAGTGTACTCTCTCAAGCGTGGGGGTTCCCTTAAGATCCAACCACCACAGGTCGGTGCACCGTTCCATGTCTGCACCTAGTCCACCAAACACCCAGAGCCGGCCACCCCAAACCCACGCAGCATGATCGAAACGGGCCACAAACCTCCATGACCGCGACCATGTCCATGTTTTGAGGTCGAGGTAACAGATGTCATCCAGTATAAGGTTCGATTCCCCTGTTACACCGCCGATCACGAACAATTTATCTTCGTAGATGACAGACGCATGTCGAGCCCTTCCCCTGGGTGCGATTCCACGGACCTCTGGTGACGTCCAAGTAGATGTTTTGATATCAAATACGATGACATCAGAGAGATGTTCAGGGTGCTCATTCTCCCCTCCGAAAATGATCAGCTTGTCGCCCTGGTAAAGGGATGCAGTATGTCCTAAAGAGAAAAAAGTACCCCCTTGTTAGCCATGTTGTATGGGGGCATAGGGATAACCGGAGGAAACGGAACTAACCCATGCGAACTCCAGGAATGTCGCCAAAGTTATCAACCAGCCCCCATCTCAGGGTGGTGAGATCTAATTTTAAAACGTGGTTGTAGACTAGAAGTCGGCGGACAGGGATGTTAGAAACCAGGCGTGCTTAAGCTATAAAGTGACAGACCAATGGGATCAAACGAACCTTCGTCCGTCTCCTGATCGAACCCCCCAAACGCATAGATCTCGTTATTTCCGCAGTACGTTATGGAAGCGTTTACAAGACAAATGGGCACTTGGCCAGTGGCCGTCTCCAGTTTAGGGCTGCTACCGTCACTGCTTCCGCGGCGACTCTTGGGCGGGCTGGTGGGCATTAGGTAGGTCGGCGTTGAGGTACCGTTGAGGTGCTGGGCCGGAGTGTGTGAGTTGGAGGGCCTATTCAATCCCGGAGTTGTGTTATTAGACCGACCAGCAGCGTTGCCGTTTAACTGGAGGTGGGCTGGTGGGCGAGACCCAATCCCGTCTGGGGTCATGGAGAACGACATGCCGGATAAATATTAGACGGTATAGCAATTACTTGGGAGAAATTGCATGCAAAGTATCCAATAAGTGAGCGTATACCAGAGAATTGGAAGCAACAGCAAACGAGTGTTAAAGTGTTTCAAAAGAAATAACTTGGGCTTCTTCACCAAAAAAAGGGCGGAAAAAGATGATATCATACGAAAAAAATAGATGTTGGAGGCAAAAAATAGAAAAAAAAAGCGCGATTACCTAAGCGCGGCGGTAAAAAGCTTGGCATACCCCCACCACGCGGCTCGGAAAAACTTTGGTTAGCGCCAGTCTTAAAGAGGCTAGTTTATCTTGGCGTCTGTTGCTCTGGAAACGGAAATATGTAAATAAAACATCTCTCGAAGACGGCTTCAACTTCAACTTCTTCTTCTTCTTCCATCATCACCTCCATCACTCTCTTTCTCACCTCTTCCTCCTCCTAAAGTCTTGTCGACGACTTATTCTCTTTACTCTGCATCTCATTGCTATCCGTACTTGCATTACCCGAGCAGAGTTACCCTTGCATCAACCTATATAGATCAGCTCTATCTGAAAACGTACTCCCTTTACCTACTCCATTTTCTCCCAGCTGTATAGCATTTTATATCTACACGCAATGTCTACTCCCACTGTTTGCACCCCTATCAAGAGCCATCATGGCCTGTTCTCTACAAAGACCGCTGGCGGCCGCATGCCCCTCACTCCTTCACCCCGTGCCAGAAACGCTAGTTTTTCAGGCAACTTATCCAAGGATGATGCATCCCCCTTCACTCCACCACGTCAGACCAGTGGTGCTGTTAGATCAAGCTCCCAGTCCGTCTACGGCAACGGCAACCTTACAGCTCATTTCGCCAAGTCAGTGACCAAGACTCGACCGGTCTCCAAGGGGAACTACCGTGACTCTCCAAAGTCCAATATTGCCCGCGTGAGACAGGAGCCTCGCCACCTTGAGCCTGCTGTGTCAGACTGGACACTTACCGGAACTGGACCAGCCCAATCCCAGACACCTACCAAGAAGCGAGCATCAAAGAAGGAGTCGGCTACAACCAGAACCAGATCTAAGACTAGCAAGACTACCATCCGTCTCCCCCACACCGTTGCAGACAGATTCATTCCCAACAGAAGCACCAGCGAGGGTTTGGTCACTGCTGGCAGTGCAAAGTCAGACGGAGCCACCCAGAGACACAAATCTAGCAGTAGTGAAGGGTCTGCCGTTCTGGCTAACGCAGCCAGCGCCTTTGATATCAATGGCCACAGCCGTGATGATGACTTGGCTGAAGCCTTCGGGGAACTTGGCATCAACGACAATGAAAGCACAAGCAGCAGCTACTCGCGTCCAGACCCAGACGCTATTGCATACAAGTCTTCCCTCGCCGATGCCTGCGGTGTTTCCCTGAACACTCGTATTCTTGAGTTCAAACCTGCTGCCCCTGAATCTTCCAAGCCTATCGATCTTCGTTCGCAGTACAACCGTCCGCTCAAGCCTTCTACTGCTCAGACAGCACAGTTCCGACGAAGAGTTCAGACTGCCCCGGATCGCGTCCTAGATGCCCCTGGATTAGTGGATGACTATTACCTTAACCTGCTAGACTGGAGCTCCGGTAACCAGGTGGCCATCGGCTTGGAACGCAACGTATACGTCTGGTCCGCAGAGTCTGGCGGTGTAAACAGTCTCCTTGAAACTCCAGCAGACACATACGTGAGCAGTGTCAAATGGAGTGGCGATGGCGCATACGTTGGTGTCGGCCTCGGAACTGGTGAAGTCCAGATCTGGGACGTCGAGGAAGGTACCAAGCTCCGAAGCATGTTTGGCCATGAGACGCGCGTTGGCGTTATGGGCTGGAACAAGCATACTCTCTCTACTGGTGCTCGAAGCGGACTTGTCTTCAACCACGACGTCCGCATCGCTCAACACAAGACTGCCGAGCTCGTCTCTCATACCTCCGAAGTCTGCGGTCTCGAATGGCGATCTGATGGTGCCCAGCTGGCTACAGGTGGAAACGACAACCTGGTCTCCATCTGGGACTCTCGCTCTCTATCTGCTCCAAAGTTTACAAAGACCAACCACCGTGCTGCTGTCAAGGCTCTCAGCTGGTGCCCATGGCAATTGAACCTCCTTGCTACCGGCGGTGGCTCTTACGACCGCCACATCCACTTCTGGAACACCACTACGGGTGCTCGCACGAACAGCATCGACACTGGCTCCCAGGTGACCAGTCTCAGATGGAGCAACCATTACCGCGAGCTTGTCAGCTCCAGTGGCTTCCCAGACAACTCCCTCAGCATCTGGAGCTACCCATCTCTTGTCCGCAACGTCGAGATCCCTGCTCATGAGACCCGTGTCCTCCACAGCTGCCTCAGCCCGGACGGCCAGATGCTGGCTACCGCTGCTGCTGACGAGAGCTTGAAGTTCTGGAAGATCTTCGAGCGTAAGCCAGGCACTGCTGCTTCCAGCTCCAGGGAAGGAGGCCTCTCCAGCAAGGGGAGCAAGATGGCAAAGCAAATGACCATTCGATAGACGATAAGTCTGTTCCGCTACTAACCAACTTACTCACGGTATTAAATGGCGTCGGTTCAATTTTTATGGGCGATACCCTCTCCGGCGTTTCAATTGTTTGCATATCGTGTGCTCTCAGCATTGCATTTTCTGATTATTACTGTGTTTTTGGGTTTGTTGGCGTTGTGTATTACCGTTGAAGTGAAGTTTTTAGTCTAATAAATAGCATGCATTGAGTATTAGTGTCCATGGCCATGTCTTTCAACAAGAGCTTCTCAACCTATGTAGTCCATGTATATATATACCTCGATGGTTTTAGCCACAAAGCCATGATCCAGATATAACCAACACTGCAACTGCGTGATACCCATCTTGAAACATTCAAAGGACATACTATGTCTGCTGAATATGTTATCAACCCCTTATTCTGAATCATTACTATGTAAGTGCCCCAGAGTGACCGGGAATGTTCCACACCAAACTGAGCCACGAGACGGCCAGCTGTACTCGCTGTATCCCAGGGCTCCATCCATGGCATCTCCCAGGTAAACCCACCTGTTCGTCCAGGCCGTTAAACAACATGCAGAAGCGCGAGGTGAAGTCAGGCTGACTAAGCAGGCTTGACGCTGATAGATTTTCTGCTATAAATTGATTTTCTCTCTTTTACCAACAACCGCCCAAGAGCGCGAGAACGAGGTGAAAACGCCGACGCCGGCCTAGAAATACAGAATAAAGAGTGCAAGCCGTTATCATACCAACCAGTATACAGTCAGCTTACTACAGAGGCCGGATAAGCGCTGGTTATCGGCGAGTCGGAGGCGTTTTGGCGTGGCGGCTCGTTACAAGGAACACTGCTTCTGACGGTGAACGGAGCGAGCGACGAAAGAGCCAAGGCCGCTCACTTCTACGTCTCTACATCTTTGCTCTCCAGGCGGTGCGCTCGCCTTACCTTGCCTCCCTAGCAGGTAGCGCAACACCTTAGACGCCAGACAGTAACCTTCTCCTTATTATCCTTGTTGCCTACATACACCGCCCCAGAGAGTTTCTCGCAAGATGTCGAACCAGCTTGTGGTGAGTAACCGTTGTCTTCTCTGGTCTGTCGGGCCGGCCGGCTGGCCGGTCAGTCAGTCAGTGAAACGGGCGGAATAAGTGCAAGGAGCATCGCGTGTGAACTGCTGCTCATGTGTGTTCTGTCGATCTAGGGCATGGTGTTTGACCGAGTCATCCAGGAGGTATGCGACTCTTCACAGATCGACTTTGAGGAGAGCGGCGTCGACCAGCATGCGCTTGAGGAACTGAGGAAGGTCGGTATTCTCTCTCTCTCTCTCGTTCATGTCAACTCTTGATGGTTGGTTGTCCATGATATCCCCGTTGGCGGCAGGCCAACTTCCTGCTTGTCCCATGCTGGCGTCATAAGGCGAGGCGAGGCGAAGGCGGGAGGTCGCGCTGTTTTTAAAGGGTTTTTCTCCGCCTTTTTGCCTTCTTCGGCTCTTTTCGCCGCCGCTTTTAGCCCGTGCCTTGCCGCTTTATCTTAGATGACTAATGGTGCTTAGTCATCATATATCTAGATGTCGTTTTAGAAGCAGAGAAAAGGGGAAGACGAGGAAGAGATTTGACATGTTGAGGATCGATCTTATGCTAACTGATGTGTAGGGCTGGCAGTCGAAGCTGTCGTCTCTCGGGGTTGCTCATTTCCCCTGGGATCCGGCACCACAGCCGCCTGCATCGCAGCCACAAGCGACACAGCAGGCAGCTCCCCTCCCTCCACCATCTGCCACCATTCCCTCAAATGATTCTCGACTAAACTCCCAGCCCCAACACCATCCGCAGCAGCAGCAGCAGCAGCAGACTCACCAACCCCAGCATGCTGGCCTCCAGTCCCCTAACGACCATTCATCCGGAGATGTCTTTATCAAATCCGAGACAGGCTTCTCCCCTTCACCTCCAGGGCCCCCGGCCGGTACCAGTCTAGCCCAGCAGCGAGCCGCCAATGCGTTGCATCAGAAGTTTGGCAACGCCGCAGCTAACCAGGTCCAGCATCTACAATCACACTCCCAGACGGCTCTATCCCTTCCTGGAGGACAACCACGATACAACTCGCAACCAATGGGCAATACAAAGCCTCAGGACTTTAGACCACCACAGCACCAGACCCAGGGCCAGGGCCAGGTACAGGGTCAGGCCCAGAATCAAGCCACAAGACTACCTCAAACAGGGATCCAGAACGCCCAGACTGATGGAGCAGGCGATGACCTGTCAGATTGGAAGGCCGAAGTCCAGCGACGGAGAGAAGCAGCGGCCAAGAACGGGGCGGAAAATGACCGTCGTCTTCGGGAGTTTGTCGAGTCTCGAAACCTCCAGCTCGAAGGCGGCGGTCTCCTGGCCCCTCTACATGAGCGCTATCCAAATGCGAATGGAACTAAGCGCAAGAAAGTTGAATTTAACGATCTAGCCACCCTATCTAGCCAGGTAGAAGGATCCTCTTCTGTTCCCTCGTCTAGTGCTCCGCCAACACACCCTCAGTTTGACGGGCCAGACGACTTTGGAGTCAAAAAGGACGAGGATGAAGACGCCATCAACTCTGACCTGGATGACCCTGACGACCTGCTCGATGACGAACAGGGTGAAGATGATGCAGTGGGACAGGTCATGCTTTGCACATACGATAAGGTCCAACGGGTCAAAAGTAAATGGAAGTGTGTCCTGAAAGATGGCATATTAACTTCCGACGGCAGAGAGTAAGTGTTTGCCACTCCTTCTCGGTATATGCCTACCCTCTAACCGCCTTGAACAGATATGTATTCCACAAAGGGACAGGCGAGTTCGAATGGTACTAGCCTACCCGAGGAATGGATTGGAGCGACACACTTCCGCTACTATGTAGTGAGAAACACACCTGTTATCCCTGCACTGTATCCATAAACCTCTTGTCTTTTACCTTTCACTCGCCGCGAGGCGCTTGGAAAGGGGATGTTATCCCTTGAACCGCACTTTTGCCCATTCAGAGGCTCAGCCTTTACAAACCCTGTACCCATAAATTGATAAAAAAGAAATACGATACCATGACCTTGAGATGTATACTTCGTTATGAAGTCGGAGTAGATAATTGACGCATCAAATATGAATCGCATAAGAGTCAAAGTAGAAGAAGCCAAATGTGCCTTTTGCATTTATTTATATGACATCGCATGTACAGAAATGACGCCTAACTCGAACAAAGGATGGAAATGCCTCGAGAAAACGAGTGTCAAAGGGTTACTACTGAGAAAATAAGGAGCGAAGAATTATAACAGCTATGCTTAACTATAGATTGGACGAGCAGGCCAAGTATAATAACAGCCCATGAAAGAGTAATCGAGCACGTACACAGAGGGAGAGAGAGATAGACAATGAGAGGCATGCAGACGAGTCACACGTAGAGATCTATTTTGGAGAAGAGAAAAGGGGACAATGACCAAGACACACAAAAATTAGCAAAAACCACCCTCATGACCCCCGATAGATGATGATGACTTTCCATGCCCTTTCCTTCACATTCACCTTGTCTCTCCATTTGTAAACAGAAAAGAAAAAGGAGTAGTTGAATCAAAAAAGTTAAGAAAAGCAATGTAATCCAGCAGTTGAATTAAACAATGATGCAAAGCCTAGAGAGTAAGAAGTTAAAAAAAAACAAAACAGGATTGAGAGGATGGTATGAACCGGCTGACCTGGTAGGCTTCGCTATGGGTATTTGTATGGTATATGAATAGTATAGGAAGCATCCGGATCCAGAGTTTATGACATGCCCCCAAAAGAGTCGAGAATTAACAAAGGCAATATTGAAAAAAGAAGTATATGCAGGAATGAGAAGGGAGAATGAGAAAATGAATAAAGATGCCGTGCTGGTAGGAAAGGGGGAAGGGGGTAGACATGGATGAGTAGAGGCCGTCCGAATCGTTCAGGGCACATAAATCAAACAGGCGGAGAGGGGGCAAAGAGAGGCATCACACAGAGTGTTATGTACAGCAAACAAAAAAAAAAATAAGAGGCTGTTGGTAGCAATCGGTCCGATCAGTGCCAACAGCCAGAGTGTAAATCAAACAAGAGGGTAGAGGAAATAATATCCAAGCGACCGCAAAAGAAAACCAAACAAGGAAATATAAAAAAGAAATCCAAAGAGGAAAAGGAGAATGAAACAAGAATAAGAAAGACGGAAAGAGAAGAAAGACGAGATAAAAAAAAATCAAACAAAAAACTCGACAAGGCTTTTCCCGAGGCCTGTTTTCGAAAAAAACTGATATCCCTTCCCGTATATTTTTTGGACTCCAGATTCTCCTGTTCTCGATTTCCCTCCATCCATTTATGGATTTATTCGTTGAAATGCGTTCTAGCTTAGGCGTTGCCTGGTATGAGTGGTAATATTTCTTCATCTTTACAAACCTTCCTCTCCGATACCTGTGAGCCCAGCTCCCGCGATGTTGACATTATCTCCATGCATGACACCGCCGCCGGTGTTAAATACACGGCCCGCTGCAGCAAATGAGAATTCTGGGTTACATGGCGGCGAGTGTGCGCGATGATATTTCAGACCGTTAAGGTTCTTATATCGTTTCCCGCAGACTTCACACCGGTAGGGCTTTTCTTTCTCCATACCTAGTGTACCAGGGTAAGGAGCACATGTTTCCGGGTCGACAATAGAGAATGTACCGTCTGCATTATCGTGGAGTTGTTGGTTGTTGTGGCCGTGCTAGTGAATAGAACGTCAGTGAACGATTACGGAGAAAGGTAGGAAGAGACAGCTTACTGATTTGTGATACTTGAGACCGTTCTGGTTCTTATATGCCTTCTCGCAGCCTATTACAGGACATCTGAACGGCTTTGGTTCATCGTCTGGCTTCATTGCTAGAGTGATATCTGGAACACCGGCGAGTTTCTGTTGTTCCCTAATATGCTGGGCGATCTCGCTATTTGCTCCATAGTGCGAGTTGCCCAGTCTGAAAGGAGGCGTTTGCTGCTGCGCAGGTTTGCCGTTTCCAAAGCCAGTGTTTGGCCTAAAGAGTCGCTTTGCGGGTTCATCAATACAGAGGTCGAGCATTCCATTGCCACCGAAATTGCCAAACTGTTGTTGACCGGTGCCAGAGCCTACTGGTGTGGCGGCACCTTGCATAGACATGTCACCGAATCCGCCAACTATAGAATCGTCAAGTTCAGCAGGCGTACCAGGAGCAGAGGACTCTGGTGTGCTCCTATACTGAGAGGCTTGCTGCTGCTGCTGCTGCTGTTGTTGCTGCTGTTGTTGCTGTTGCTGCTGCTGCTGCTGCTGCTGAACTGGGTGTGGCATGAGGGTTGGCGTATTAACGGATGATACGGTTGGGTTGTTATGAAGTGGTCTACCGGACGAAACGGGAGTTCCAGGTGCTGAGCTACGGAAGCGTTGTTGGCCCTGGAGCATCCCCATGTTGAGTGGCGTTACCCGGCTCCCACCATTCTCCTGAGCAAAACGAGCCTGGGCGAGAGACTGCTGGTGAGACTGCTGCTGGAAGCCACCGTCACTCAGTGGGTCGTCCATCTCCATATCCATGTCGTCTACGCTATCGATATCCGGTATATCGTTGGATTGCGGCTGGCCAAATCCGGCGGTGGTCTGCATCATGGGCTGCTGTGGCTGCTGTGGTAACCGATGGTGCGGCCGAGGAGTTCCTGGCTGAGACGAAGTGGCTCGCCCGGGAGCGGTGCCCATATTCGACTGCTGCTGGTTCTGTTGCGCTGGATGGGGGGAGGCACCTATTCCGGTCCTGTTGTCTGACGAAGTATTCTGGTTTGCCTGCGCAGGTCGTGGTGGCGGCTGCGGGGATCTCTGGGCATGAGCTTCCTCATAATGCTGCAGTAGGTCGTGTAGAGATGGCAGAGTGATGCCACAGCATGAGAAGTCGCGCATAAAGTTGGCTTCCAGCTTCGGTAGATAGGATGAAGAGTGGTATGACGGGGACTGTAGCGTGAACGGCGAAGTTCCCGTCATGATTATACTATTACTGTTAGTATATGATAACAAGGAGTAATGAATATCAGAGCAATACGCACTCATCTCTGATCCAGCTACCAACAGACACACCTCCCCAGCTCATACCACCGACAAGACTGCCGGCAAGGCTCTCACGCCGGGGCTTGTCTCTGTTCGAACCCACCATGGTGATGGGCTTGCTTCCGTTCGAGTACTGCGCCATGGTTGCGCTGAAGGACTCCTTGCGCGCCGCATTAGACATGAAGTTGTTCGACGCCACACCGTTCCAGTTCGAGGACATGGTATCGGCAGGGCCGGTGGCAGCTTTCTGGAGAGCCGAGGTCAGGTTCGAGGCCTGCTGTCCCGGTGGCGACTTGGACGTCTGTCTCGCAGACAGATCGATGGGGATGGCGCGGCCGTCCATGCTGACGCTATGCTGACTGCTGTTGTAGCGATGATGGCGACGGTGGCCGTGGTTGTGGTGGTGATGCTGGTCCGGCGGCGACGACGGGAACAGCGGGAATATCGAGTCGTCCTCGTCCTCGTCCTCGTCGAACACGGGGATGTGAGCAGCAGAGGGCGAGAAGGGAGACGAAGCAGCCGCCTTGCGGTTCCCTAGGTGGTGGTTGTGCAGCAGGTCTGGCCTGCGAGGATTGCTGGAGATGAGGCCTAGGGGGGTGCCAATCGGAGTGGACTCGCGGGTTGAGGTGCGATCTTGCTCGCTGGATGGCGGTGAGAAGTGAAGAGGAGGAGGAGTCTCGGACGAGTCGAGCATCAAGAACGCTCACGCTGTAGACTTGGTCGAAGTTGTAAGACGTAGATGTAGGAGTGTAAGACGTTGCCGGTGAGTTGTCTCCGATGTCAAGAGGGAAGAAGAGAGAGGTCAGGGTCAAAACGACAGGCTGGAGTCACCAAAAACGGCGAGAAGATGACAAAAAAAAAAGTTGCCCGCGACCAAAGAGACGAACGAAGCAGAAGTTTTTGTCTTGACAGCGCCGTGCAAAGGAGCTCTCGGGTGGAAGAAGCAGAAAAGACACAGGAAGTAGAAGAGGGAGGAGGAGAAGAAGAGAGAGAGACGAAGTCGTGAGAACAAGACGGACGTTGGAAGTAAGTCTCTCGGTGGAGCCAGAAGTGGTATATCCGCCGGACTTGTTATTACTTGTATATTTAAACACGAAACTAACTCCAAACTAACGATCCAGAGGGCGAATAAAAGAAGAGGTAGACGAGATGGGAGGAGATGCGGCAGGGCGAGAGAGCAGCGGGTGGTTGATATATCATATCCTGCCTTGCATATATGAATCTGATAATCCGCCAGGTCGCTAAGGCGCTATCAAGAAGGCGACAAAGACGAGCACAAGGACAAGAATGAAGACGCAGGATGAAACGGATGAGTCTATGAGATAACGAGTTCTACAGGTGGATTGACATGCGGGCTCCCGTTGTCAGTCATCCACTCAATCGACGTCCACGGTTGGCCTCGACAGGGAGAGCAAACTGCATACTCAATATACATCTCATGCATACCACATACAGCCTGGGCCGGTACCGTATCTGTTCGACCTCGACAGTCGAACATCAACAGCAAGGACGTTGGATTTGAGCGGGCTATCCACGGTCAGGCACAAGCTACAACTATGTCAAACGGCCGTTTCATCCACCTCCGAACGGCCTGTTCACCCCTGTCTCTGGCTTGCCATGCGACGCCCAGCACATCGTTACGATGTCACGGATGGGTGCTAACTAAACTAATCTAAACTAAGTGAGCCAAACGCCCTTCGTACCGAACCCATTTGCCTTGGACGGGGACTAAAGAGGAACAACAGATCTGGTTCCATGGATCCAAGCACTCCTTGATCTTTCTCTTGTCACACCTTATCCCTCATCTTCTTCTGGCCTGGGCCTCTTCCTTTTTTATATTTTTGAACCCATCAACTACATAAGTACTTTTTCCCCCCTTCCCGAGGCATTTAACCTGCATGCATAACTCCCCTTCCCTGGTACGTCATGCCCTGATCCAATAGTATAGTGGCGACAGTGCAACACCAACGCCCATCTACCTCTCCCCTCCCTCTCCTCCCACTCCTCCTCCTTCTTATCACATCTTACGCATCGCTTATACTTGCATCTCCAGCAAAAACCGTCGACGTCGTCGTCTTCTCCTCTTTCGGCATCGTGAGGGTTTCCTGTCCGCTTCTGGAAGTCTTTTAGGGCTTCGGGGTTTAGTTTATCCGTAATCACATGATAAAGGTCACATGATATGACGTTCGTTTGTTTTTTGTTTCTTTTTTTTTGTTTTTTGCCAACTTTGAAAAAAGCCGAACAAGAAAAAGCGACGAAGAATATAAAAAGACACGAAGTTGTGCTTCGTTTTTTTTCTTCTCCTTTGCTTTATCTCAGCGAGTTTTTAATCTTGCAAGTCACGATAGCCGTAGTCTCGTTTGATACTGCGATACCTTTGAGTATACCTATTTACTGTCGACTTTCAACTACTCCTTACCCGTTCCCCGCCAGGCAGAAGCAATCATGACGCTCTACTTCACCCTCGTATGTATTTACAACCAGCTCGACAATCCAAATGGGAGATGGCTCTGCTGACAATTGCACCAGGTTTTCGTCCTCCTGGTGACGGAGATGGCAATCTTTGTTGGTCTTATTGTCCCGTTGCCATTTACCGTCAAGCGGAAGCTCTTCACTTTCATATCAGAAAGTCCCATCGTCGCCAAGCTCCAGTATGGAATGAAGGTATGTCTACAAAACCAACGCCTGGTATGTACAACACTAACCAGCTACAGATAACTTTCATCTTCATTCTTATCCTGTTTATCGATAGCGTGAACCGTGTCTACCGTGTACAGATCGAGCTCACTGGCTTTGACTCCGCTAACGCCGGGTATGTCCACGAGCCCCACCTTGTTGCTGCCGTCCATTAGATCAAGAACATCTAACTAATTATCACGCTTATTTGCATCTTTTACCAAGTCACAGACATGCCATTGGAACCGAACGTATGGAAGTCCAGGCTCGCAAATTCTACTCTCAACGCAACATGTACCTCTGCGGTTTCACCCTCTTCCTTTCCCTCATCCTGAACCGCACGTATACCATGATCCTTGAAATTCTTCGTCTCGAAGACAAGGTGAAGATGTACGAAGGCGACAAGAGGGCAGGTGGCAAGGACTCAGCCAAGTTGGCTGCTGCTGGCGATATTGGAGAGATTGGAAGGTTGAAGAAGGAGCTCAAGGACCGTGAGAATGATATTGAAGCTTTGAAGAAGCAGAGCGAAGGCTTGTCCAGAGAGTACACCAAGCTTGGGGATGAGATCTCAGCTCAAAACAAGGATAATACCCCAAAGAAGGACCGATGAACGAGACTCCAAACCATCCGTACTGATGACTATCCAACTCATGCCACCTTATTCAGTGATGTCTGCATTGCGCTGCACACCTGAAAGTTTGACATGTCTGACCACCTTGCCCAAAAAAATGTACTCTTTGGCCAGAATAATGATGACGCCTGTGATTCATTTCTCATTATCTACGCATTTATATTACATAGTTCCTAAGCTAAGCCTGTTCTCAAACGAGGAATGTCCAGAAGCTCGGGTACACAAACTCCTCTTCAAATATTCGACGAACCTGCTCGAGAACAAACTTCTCTACTTTGCCCACGTTCTTCAACACTTGCTTCCCGCTCTCCTTGCGTCCAATCTCACTTTCCACCCGTATTTCTCGTAGCAGGCTGTCGTTTGAACGTCGTGAGCCAGTCGTATTCGTATTCCCAGAGTGATGGTGGTTATGGTGATCATGATAGCCTTCAGTAGAAGCCATCTTATCGTCCGCTCCAAGTAAAGTATCCGCATCCTCCGGAGAGAGGAAGCATACATGTATCCTCTTCCGAATGTAAGCTACAACAGCAACCCCGTCGAACGTGAATCCAGTAATATTAAGCTTCAGCGGCAGCCCGACAAAACTAGGCATTGGATAATCAAGCAGTATCTGAGCCGTAATCGATAACCTCATGTTCCCGGAATACTGCAGACGGCACAGAACCTGGAAATCATCTGGTTTCTGCTCTCTCATGCGCCGTGTAGGCAGTGCGCTATCGAGGTGGCCTGTAATTACGGATTCGGATTCCGGTATCTCTGCTGAGTCATGAGGCGTACCGCCATCAGTAGAAGTGCGCTGACGCGTACTGGACGTTGACGGGCGAGACCTAGACTGGGGGGAGTCTACATCTGCGTCTGAGCTGCGCGCCCGCTCCCTTTGCCGTGCAGGAGGCGGCCATCCCTCTGCTAGTGATAGCGGACCGCCCCGTGCCACTGACGCCACGGATGCCAGAGGCGTCTGGGTTCCAGATAGCCCCCCACGCGGCATATTATAGTATCCGAGGTTGGACGTCCCTCCTGGGATCCCTGGAGTTCCCGCTCGAGGGAAGAGATAGGGGTTAAATGACTCCCCAAGGTTGATAGGGGACATCAGTGGCTGTGGGAAATCGCCTGCATATTCCCCGGACGGATATCTTCTCTGGAAGTACCCAACTCGACTGTTGGTATTCCCACCGCCGTCACCATTGCTGCTACTGTTGCTGCTGCCCGCATCACCATTCGGAGTCGACTGGCTCAAACCCTGGCTCGAAGGAGCAGGCTCATCGCTGACAGAACTCTCCGATAAGTCTTCACCATCTTCATCTTCTTCGTAAAAGTCATTAAATGGATCGCATATATCCCTAACCTGAAGCTCTGGCGAAACAGTGCCGAAGTCAAACGAGTTTACCTCCACTGAGCGAATGAATCGCGGAAGCGCTATTTGCTGGAACTTGTCGTGGATGAAGGAACGGATTCGTTCAGCAAGTTTCTCGCCATCAGGACCAGAGGTGGCGGCCTCCCAGTTGATATCTATGGACATCACATGTGGAACTGGCTGAATGGCGGCAATCTTCAAGTTTCTTCTCGTTTTGATATCAGAAAGTTGAAAGGCTGGAAAGCGGTATTGTCACGTGATATGTATTTTCATACTTAATTTTCCAAAAAAAGGATCAAGATAGAAACACAAGACGAACAACAAAGGGGGAGAATAGAACAGTCAGCCCAAGATAGTGCTGAGATGCATGGCTAGGATGGCCAGCCAACTGCTTCGGGCGTATCTATCATTGATATAATTAGACATTAAAGAACCTATTCCAGACCAATAACTAACGCCTGCGCAGGGAGGTCGCTTACGGTGGACATACACTTGGGAAAAGTCCTCTGGTCCCTTTTTTTACATTTTCCATGGTTCCAACAGTCCAAAATCCCTGGATTGTTTGATATTGCTATGCAGATAAAGGCCCATCCGGGGATTTCCATCAAGGATCTTACGGACATAATCTCCCTGCCACGATCGATCAGGGTATCGATGGCAGAACGGAGATATGGGTTACATATCACCTACATCACCACACTACCAACCAGTATCGCTATAGCATGGAGTATAAAGACATCCCTGGCTGACATACTATTGTTGGACTTCCCGCCATCTGAGAGCTGAGCCCCGGCCGAACCCTTCCATTGGACTGTCCTTGCTACATACCCAAGAACCTCACTGCTAGAGCTACAGGCCATGTGCATCTAACAAGTACCTTGTTCCCTGCAGATCAGGGTTATGAGATATTGATGGCTGCCCGATCAGCCTTATGTCATACCTGGTTGGAAGTGATTGTATATATACATATTGCGGAAGGAGAGGGCAGGGGGCATTTCGTCTGCATCTGCCTGGAAGCGGGCGATGAAAACTACACGGCGCCCCAAGTGGAGGCTTCCCAGGCTGCATCTATGTATCCGTCTGCTGTTTGATGCATGCTTTTTGACACATGTCTTCCGATGATGAGACTTGTGGTACTTCTGTCGTTCCCATCATCAGTCACATTACCACATATGCATGCAGAAGGGTTTATATCCTGGGATGAAGCTAAGGATATGCGTATACGCACGGACTAGCGTGGCGATCCCTCTCAATCTATTAGCGTGGGGTTGGGGTAACCTTGCCTTTTGCCCGTACATCGAGATGATAGTAAATGGGTCTCAATTGTGCATCGGACCTGAGAGAGACCTACATGAACTACAGTGGTAGCGTGGAGATGAAGATACTTGTTACCCTCGGGGACGTATGTACATGCATTTACCGGCCAAAAGAGAGGCCAACTCCGACGCCGGGACCGAGATGTCCCTCGCAATCGATACCAGCCCTTTCTCTGGAGATCACTACATGTTGGGCCATGTTTCTCATTTCACTGCCTACCACAGGGCTCCACGATGTCATTCTGCACTTGCCACCCCGCATATTGGCCAGCTGAGCAGCGGCGGTTCATCCGTTGCTGTATAGATGACGCTTACGGAACGACTTTTCCTTTCTTGTCTATGTATACATACTTCTACCGGCCGACCCAAGATGATCAAGCTGCACCTCGAGTCACATGACATGTTCATTATGTTGGTGATAATGCATCCATGTCTTTTATTTCCGAACTACCAAGCGAAAAGAACACACGCAGTCGCCATTACAGCGCTCACTATGCCTAGACTCTATAGTCTATGACCCTGCACTAACCCCTTACACGAAAAATATCGCCCCCATCTATAAGTGTACCCAGAGTCATATGTACACAAAAGTAAATGTGCCACACTAATGGTAGGGAAAATAGGCGGGTTTCAGTGCGACGATAACTAACTGATACGCCGCACGGCTATTTCATACCCCGGGTATAACCTGCAGAACAAGGACTGCGGAAGCTACGTGAGCAGACCACAACAACGGCTTTAACCCCCAACCTTGCGCGGCCCTCTAGCGTTGGTTACGGTATCAGACCAGCCTCGGAATGCAGAAGACGATCCACGTCTTGTAACTACCCTTGCGTCACTGGTACCTGGTACTTCTAATTGACTCACTTTTCCCCCTTTGCGCCGCAACTCCTATACAGACCAACGAAAGATCACAAGGGCCAACAGCTCGCATATTCTGCATTGCCCTGCATCGAAAAGGATTTCTCCGGGATGATCGTAACACCATGACGCCAGCCTCTCTCGATGCCCGTGGCCTAAGATGACCATGCCCTACCCTTATCATACTGGTGAGTTTCCTTGAATCCACGTGTTCTTTATTGATTTCGCATGTAATTCATTGTCTTCCCATGGGACTTCAAACAAGTTACATATGAGGTAATGACGTGGTAACTTGCTAGTCTCAAAGTTAGCCCGACCGCTGCGACTAGCTTTATTGCTTGGTTACTCGAATCCTAAGCATATATCCAGGAAATGTTTCCTAGGTGATCTCCCATCCTGCGGGGTGTTTATGCGATGAAAATAGTGTAACAACTAATTGAATCATAGCTAAAATAGCAAGCAATTAGACAGATAACAGATTGGAAGTATGGAAATACAAGAGATAAATTATTAAACCAGACTGACTATATGAAATAGTCAGTTCAGACCAGTGTTCTAGCCTCCGCCACCAATCTCGATATTTTGATCTTCGCTCTTCTTTTCGAACTGCGCAAGTTATGTACACCTTTAACCGCCCTATCCTCTCAGTATGCACCTCTTTGAGGTCTAAGTGCATAGATTCAATTATGCAATACTGCACTTAGAGTACTCAGCTAGCCGTCTTGGTAATGCATTTTTCCACCTTCAGGGTTGACGGGAGATTTATAATTTCCTAAACCTTCTTCAGAAATGCTCGCCTTTCCTGGGTCCGTTACGGCATGTGTCGTAAAAGGGTTCCCAATGAAGCTGAGACTTCGACGTCGCAGAATTGCGCTTCAATTGGCTCTCAATTCCATTTGTCCACACGTTCTACGCCGGGCAATTTTTCCTCATTTTCTGGCTCAACAAAGCTCTTACCTAGCTATTCATTTCCTCATATCACTTTGGCTAGCCATATATGAACACCATAGCCAGTTAGATACCAACTTCAAAGTTGGTTAAAGTCAGGATTGGGAAGTTCAAGGGTTTCTCGGCTTCCGGCAGTACATTTTATCGAATACTCACGTGATAATAAAGAGCGAAAATCGAAGCCTTTGCAGTCTTTCATCTATAGCAAGACATAACCTATGGATGTACAGAGTATACACATATAGCGATAACTCCCACATAATTACGGAGTACTCCGCCCTAAAAGGTCGCGACGGATGGAAGAACGGAGTACACCATCTGCATATCTCGTGATTGAATCGTCATGTAGGCATGAATACGCTATGTATGTCTTTAATCATCCCTTCTGCTTAATCGACTACATTAATAATATTATTATCAGTTGAGAAAGCGAAGCTTCGTCAGCGTCTTAGTATGCTGCCGCTTGCACCAATCGGCGGACCATTCATCGTGGCTGTCAACTTCTCAACTTGTTGTCTGCACCGGCGTATTCTCACTATTGGCACTCAGTCGCATGGCCAACTTCGGCTTCGGCATCCTTCATCCATCTCTCTTCCAGGCGCCGTTATTCTAAACTGGGCGCAGATCAACCGCCCCAACCAATCTCACTCTGAAGACCAGGATCCTTCAAGGGTCATCTAGACTTTGCGGCTCACCACCAGCTTAGCCGCAAGCCAGCCTCACTTCAAGGAAGTTGCTGTATTTCAGCGGAATAGCAAAAGCGAGAAAAAGCGGATCAGGCTTAATTTTTTTTTTACCATTTTCTATTGATTTGCTGTTTTCAGATAGAGCTTTCTGGAGGCGTATGCCTGAGGTGTGGAGCCGTAAGGCGTAAACTGCCAGTAGTTGCAGGCCCCAAGCCGCCCGAAGGGTGGAAGCTGGTGGAGGAGACGCTGTGGTTGGTGCCTGGGGTAGACTTCTCCACCCGCAAGATGTCCCCATACACGGAGGAAAAAAGAGCCGTTGATGAAAAAAGAGGTCCTGTCTGGCCATCCATCCTACCGTTTCAACTATTATGCATGCCATAATACACAATACTCAGCCAGGCACGGGGGAATGTCAGGGGCACATGTGTACAAACGGCCTTAAACGGCGTCCGCTGGCGTAGTCGAGTCATGCGTTTCTTCAGGACTATGAGATATATATCCTGCAGCTTATGCCTCATTTGTACCCACATCTCTCTCGTCAGGGCTGTGGGGGCGCAGTCTCCTTCTATCATCTCTACACGGAGGTCCATGATAACAATCCACTGCAAGGGAAACCCGTTAGACCTCTACTATAGTCGTTTTGGAATAAGCGAAGGTAAGCGTGATATTACTGAACTAAGTCAAGCATTTCAACCTATACTGAGTCACTTACAAAGGAAGCTAAACAAAAGTGCATATATTCAAACAAAAGAAAAAGCACAAGACCCTCAATGAATGTCTTCGTTCAATTCCCCGGCCCGTGATGTCGTAAAAACAAGGGTAGATGCCTGAATATCCATGATGGAGATACCAATTAGATAATAAGTTTCTTTCGTCTAGGTATATTTTCATGGGGGGCAGGAAAGTAATGGGGGAAAGGGGGAAAAAAGAAAAGAAAAAAACGAAAAAAGGAGGCATCAAGTAACTAACTACGTAGCAAGGGCAAGCAGCAAGGGAAAGAAAAAGGAAAGCGAAGAAACCCTAGTCTCAAAAAGATCCATCTAATAAAAATAAAGGCGTAAACGAGGAAACAATCGCGCCGAAATAAAGTTGTTCCCGAAAATAGTCTTGTAACATTATACTCAATCTGAGCCGCAAAAGGATTAAATGTGAATTAAGATGGACGGCACAGGTGTCGTGGACCTGTCTATAAGCCTGCCTGGGGAGTCCGCCATGTTCACTGTTTCGGACTGTTTGCCTAAACGACGCCTTAGTTTGAGTTCATGTAGATAATATGGCTGGCTATGATGGCTACCTTGACTCTCATCCTTTGTGGGCCTTGCACTTGTAGCCTGGCCTGGGTCTTGGGACAGGCTTTACTTCACACGCCCCTGATTTGGGGCAGCCAGCGGCGTGGATAACTCCAAGCACGGGAACTCGGCATCCGCAGTCAAAGACTTCCCAGTATTGCACGCAAGGCATGATTGCGATATGGAAAGATTGGATGTCTGGGTGGGAAGATTTGGGTTGAGGCTCTAAGTAGATCCTGAACGACGAAGAGTATGCCGGATGTTCGATAAAAGTTCCGTCAGAGTGTCGTGTTGTAAACAAGATAAGGCCGTCTTTATGGTAGATAAGGTAGGAAGTCTTCTAGAAGTAGAGTAGTGTATTGAACTTTGAAAGGGTTGATCTCTTATATAGAGGCGATTGAGTTTGATAGTAGTGAGATTGACTTGAGACTTGATGTCGATGTAAAAGAACTCAGATTTGCGGGTCTACCTGAGGGTTTTTATAGACGATCCTCGCTGCCTGTGCACATAGAGCATAGAGCGTGGTGTGCAGGCACAGCTAATTTGGGGCATCCGTCTAGACCCACTTGATGCCGTGACTGAAACCATGAAAGGGCGAAGTCGAAGATGCATCTTTGCAAACAACAGCTAATGGTGTAAGAGTATACACCGCATCAAGGTAGGGGGTGGTAAAAACGGAAGAAAAGAAAGACTCAAATCCAACATTTGCCTAGCAACAAAGGAGTTGGATGGGGAAAATAACTCTAAAGCTGCGTGCGTTGGACACGGAGCCACAAAACGATGCAAAAAAAATCACAAGAGGAGTATATGATGCGGTTGACCTTGAATAGTGGCGTCGACGCATGTCGTAACTATATCAAGTCGATTATATGAGGCAGGCATTGGGTATAATGATCAACTGGACCCTTGAACAACCCCACACAACCTTATTAGGCCCTGTGGCCATGTCAAATGCTGATACTTGTGACATTCGAGAAGGGTAGGTCTCCTAGAGGTCGAACCCTGATGCGCATGTACGGGTGCCGCCAACTAGCAATAGTCTTTTCTTTTTCACCAATGCAGGAAGAAAAATCCAACCACAGTTCCTGATGAAGGCGGAGCAAACCGCCTTCTCCAAGGATCACGAACAGCCCTTTTCCAACGGCTAGTATTGTACCAAAGGGTACGGGTATTCTTGTCTAATCACATCGGTATATCCTCCGATGTGAAATAGAACAGAGTGCGCCGTTAAATGTTGGCTTTTTCAAGGACGAGGCGCTGATTTGCTCATCACCCTTTCCTCCAAATTAGGACCTGCAGTGTCCAGTGCGCAGTCTCCGAAACATTCACCGTACAAGTCCCTGCTACATGGCATCAGGTGGGCCCATGCAGCAGCGGAGAGACGCCTCTGCAACCTTGGGTCAGTGTTTTTTTTATTGTTATTTCCCTTGAAGAAAAAAGAAAGTAAGAGGCGAGGAGAGCAACATGCAACCTGTTCTCAGGACCCTGGTACTTTGTTGGTTGTTTTTGAAGAATCAAGTAGGTTACCAATAGGTGGCCGCTGGCCTGGGCCTCGTGGGGGTTAGTATATTGCGGCAAGTTATTATGATTCTAATAACATTTCCGAGTACTCCATAGAGGGACATATGTGAGGTGTCATTCGTTTAACACTGCTTCCTGCAGAACTAGAAGTAACTGTTAAGCGAAACCGGAAGAGGGTAGGTTTGTAGACCCTACCGGCCGTTTTTCAACCAGGAGGTTCCGGGCCGGCAAGGGAGGAGAGATAACGACAGGCTTAGACAATCGATGAGCATCTAATCATTGACGTAGGCTGAAATTGAACGCTGCGCCACGAAATTAACTCTTCAGGGATCCAGTGTTAATCATGAATTGGTATTAATTACAAAGCCAGATAGGAGGTAAATGATAAATGTTGCATGCAAGAGGCTCAGAAGGTAATAGGGTCCAAAAAAAGGCCCCCTTCCCCCCCCCCCCCCAGAGCTATCCATAGCTAGCAAGCCTGCCTGTGTCTGTGTTGGGGGTCGAAGACGAGCTATCCATTGTTCACCAGCTAGATCTAGCTTCGATACCCTTCTTCGGCGAAGAGCGAGCGAATCAAGACGGACCGCTTAGTGGTTAGATAACCACGTCTGGTGCAGGACGGGTGCCTAGTCATCGGGGTTGGGGCGATAACAAGGACAACAAGGACAACAACTTAGCTCAACTTTACAATATGAAAGTCGATCATCAGCTGATGGCTGATGGATAGAACTAGAATCGTTTGGATGTCGTTGACGGAGGAGAGGAAAAGTGACTTTCGCCCCATTATCCAGGTCTAGTGAAGGGCCCCGTACATTATAGAGAGGAGAAAACGGCCCCTTTCAGCGGGCCAAGGGCATGTATTTGCCTTCTTTGTCGTAGTCTCTGGTATATGGCCCAGCGCTTGACAGCCGGGGGGTGTGCAAGAGAACGAACCGGACGGCTTTAACTCGAAAAGAAAAGAAGAGCTTTTGGGGGCAGAAAACTACCTCGGGAGCTGCCTTAGACCAATAAGGTCCAGAGACGAGGGAATCAGCCGGGAGAGCCTCGATGAGAATGCTGTTGGGAGAACGAAGGAGAACAGCTTGCTGCCTGTTGGTGGATATCTGACTTTCTGTCTCTAACCGCGCGCCAAAACAAGGCACCACGCAGGGAGCCAACCAGGTGCAGCCGGGCCGGGATGGGCTCAGGGTTGCAGGCTGAAGGGTCAAGGGGCCATCACATTTAACCAACGCGGCCATCTTCCTTCACTCTTGATGTAAAAACGAAGAGCTCAGAATCAACTCCCATAAATCAGAATGTACGAACTTCATCTTAAACCCTCAATGCCAAGGCGGTTAGTATGGAGCTTAACCAAGATTGGTTAGAGTGTAGTTTATCCCTGAACGATATCGTACGGAACCAAAGCGTTGTTAACCTTGTCGTATTAATTGCGTATCAAAATAATGCGGCCTACGTTGCCGTCGGGACCGATATGGCTAGGATATACTGCTGCCCACCTATACCCAGGATATCTTTTCCCGTGTCTTTGCCGGTTCAACTGATTCAAAGACTTTATTAGGCAGCTGCGCTAGCACTGTGGACAGTGGCCGCCAAAATCTGCCTTCATCATGGATAATGCATTATTCAATCACTCATTAAGCACGGTGAAACTACTATATCTGCCACCTTATTCGCCCGATCTGAACTCTGTAGAGAAATTCTTTGCTGAGTTGAAGCCTTATATCAAGAAGAACTGGTTACTGCATGAGGGAGATCCTAGCCGGAGTTTCGGTACTTTCCTTCAGCGATGCAGTGATGTTGAAAAGAAGAGCGAAGAAGGCCATCTTCGAAGTGCTGATGTACCAGTTGAGCCGTGTGGTTTTGGATAGAATGTGTTCATTGTTTCTATGAAATAGCCCATGTTCAATGTTCGTATAGCATCATTGTTAATACAGCCGGAGAGTACTTCGAAAATTCCATTGTTTAACTCTTTACTCCTGACCTAATCACGAGGCTACAAACTATATAATATGCTTCATCAAGTTGCGCTTACATAGTCGCTATACCAGACCGTGAATGTCTAGCTGTCAATCACGTGGAAACCGGCTGCGGATAAGGTGTGGGCCGATCTACATACCCGCTCGATATCAACCCAATTTCAGCCTCGTCCACCAACCTCCAGATCTCCCTCACAAGCTGGTTTACGCGTATCGATTCCATGTTCCTACTCCAGCTTATCCATTCGCTAACATTCTCTGATAGTTTGCCAACAGCCTGCCCTGTATAGCCTTAGAAGTCTTAATACGCCTACTGACGATCCCAGCATGTCTGGTGCCGAAGTAGGCCTTGTCCTTGGCCTGATTTCGTCTGTTATTACAATTATCCATGCAACTCAACAAGTCTACGAGGCTATCAAGGACACAAAAGGCCTCCCTGCTAGTTTTAAGCAGTCGGCGTCGAAGCTACCCCTCATCTCGAAGCTCCTTGAAGACGCTGAAAAGTATGTCGAAACCGTAGCGGATGAAGCCACCCAGCCTACTTTTATGCCTACACTTGAAAATTGCAAACTTCAGGCAACACGTCTACACGAATTATTTGCAAATGTTATGCTAGAGAAGGATGACTCCAGATTGGATCGGTATATAAAAGCTGCTCGTACGATCGGAAAGAGCAGTCAAATCGAGGAGTTAATGAACGGGGTTCTTAACGACCTGCAGCTCATAGCAGTAACTTTCCCTAAAAATTTTAAGTTAGACGGACTACAGGTTGCAACAGGGGCGGCATTTGATTCCTACGGGAACCACCATACCGAGTGTCTTCCAGGAACTCGAATTGAACTTCTTCGCGAGGTTGAAGAGTGGGCGAAATCAGCGGGGGCAAAATGTATATTCTGGCTAAATGGTATGGCAGGAACTGGAAAGTCGACTGTATCCCAAACAGTTGCACGCCGTCTTAAAGAGAAAAAGTTACTCGGAGCGAGCTTCTTCTTCAAAGGGGTGAAGAGGACCGAGAGAATGCAAAAAGACTTTTTCCAACACTTATTGAACAACTAACGAAAAGCCTACCCCAGTTGATCCCTAGCATTCGAAAAGCAATTGAAGATGACCCCAATATTTCGGAAAAGGTGCTTAGGGAGCAGTTTGAGAAGCTTCTTCTACAGCCACTACTTGGAATACAACAGGCTCCGACTGCAACCTTGGTTATTATAATCGACGCGTTAGATGAATGCAAGCAGGAAGATGCACAAGCTATTCTCCAACTCTTGCCCAGAGTCCAAAAGTCAAAGTCAGTACAATTACGGTTTCTATTGACAAGTAGACCCGACTTGCCAATCAGACTAGGTTTCAAGGGCATCAATGGTGATTATCAGGATTTAATCCTCCATGAGATCCCCATGCCAGTGATCAAGCACGACATAGAACTATACTTTAAGGGTAAATTCTCCAAACTAAGACAGGAGCGCTCATTTTCCCCAGACTGGCCGGGAGATGAGTGTATCAAGACTCTAGTTGAGAGAGCAATGCCGTTATTCATTGCCGCCGCCACCCTGTGCCGATTTATTAGTGATACCAGGTGGAGCCCCAAAAACCGTCTTAGAGCAGTACTTACAGATCAGACCACTTATGTGTCTAAGATGGATAGCACATATATGCCTGTATTAAATCAAATTCTTACTGGTCAAGATGAACGGGAGTCGCTACAGCTGGTTCAAATATTTAAAGATATCGTCGGCGTTATCATCGTTCTTGCCACCCCACTTTCAGTGAAAGCCCTTACTCGACTCCTAGATATGGAAACGGATGATGTTAATGGCTTACTGGATCTGCTTCACTCTGTTCTTAGTATACCCGATAAATCCGATACTCCAGTTAGGCTGTTACATCTATCGTTTAGGGATTTCCTTCTAGATCAGAAGGAAAAGGATAGCAGTCGATTCTGGATTGATGAGAAGGAGGTACACCGAACACTCACCATACAATGCCTAAACATCATGCAACATAGTTTGAGGAAGAATATTTGCAACTTACCAGATGATAGCACACAACGGGAAGATATAGTTATAATTATCGAGTGATAGGCAATTGAAGACATCCCTTGCCTCGTCTTAATTTTGAACAGCCCTTTAGACAGCTAATACCACTAGGTGCCCTGAGGGGATTTTATATTATTGCCCATTGGTCCAATGACTGGTGGCTGCCAAAGCTGGGCTGAGAACAGGGATGGATGGGTAGAGTATATAAAAACGATTTAATTCAGTGGTATCTCGTCAGGAAATAATACATCTGATACTTGTGGAAAAGTACTAGTACTATATCTCTCCGATATATAGAAACCACTACATACTCCAACTAGGGTAATGTACGGCCAGCCATACATAGTTCAATCGTCTTCGACACTACCCCGACATTCTTCATACCAGTCACCTTCAATTCCAGCACCAGGAAGACGGAAGACTAATATAAGAGCGCCTCACATCGCATATATAGTACACTTATAGACAAACCTTTGGCCCGTATACATATTCGGCGTTAAATTGTGCGTCATATTCGGTTAGTAATTTTCTCGATGCCGACACCCAGCCTCTTTTGTCGACATGTCTTGTCGCAGCCATACCACCATCATCGTCACGCTTGTAGTTGAAAGGACAACTCTGGGTCTCTTGCCCATGTGAAGCAGGTTACTCCATGCCTTTCCGCCGGTACCAATGTTAGTAGAGTTATATTGGTAGGTTCTCTTGGTACTCGCCTTCCTCGTCCTATTGGCCTAATGGGAGAAAGCCGAGTCAGTCTGGTTCCTACAAGGTACAGTGGGGGGAGGGCCTGAGGGAAAGCAGAGTTGAAGGTGTTCCAAAATACCCGGAGTAGGGGAATAACCCAAGCCTTCATCCCATAGAACTTAAGAGGCAGTATCAACGACAAAGGTGCTGTTGGCCATGTTCATCCATAGGAATGTGGAACCGGCGAACCTAGCATGGACGTTGACATATTAGCCTAGAAGCCTAAATAATCTAGATGCCCATCGAACCAAAACTCCAAGCAGAGAGGGAGTTTGTTTGGGTAGACAAGTACCGTGGCACCTATCTATCTTTTCTAGATATGATGGCCTCGTGAGAGTGTTGGTTTCTACAGACTTCGTAGAGAGAAAATAGGACAGTTGGAGATAGCCAGTTCGCACTATCATGATGCTTATATGTTTGCATCGAACGTTTTAGCATCATAAAGGAGAGATACAATATATTTACCTGTCCAATAGCGTACCATTTACTTCCGGAAACAAGCCATGGTATAAGAACTAGTTATATCTGGTTCGACCACTTGGACCAGGGTCTGGAAACTGGTCTCGTTGCATGTTGAATATGAGTTGTATACACGAAAAGCTGATCCATCAATGATTCAAAGGTCGACGTTGAAGATGATCACATGATTTATATATGATCATGTGACTTTCCCATTTCAACCCAAAAACTTCAACTTTTTTTTCTTTTGCTTGATAGAAGGAAAAAGGTGATGAAGATGAAGAAGATACGAGAGAAATGACTCGCTGGTTGATGTTGTCCGAAGTCTCCTGTGGATACGCGACTGTCCTCCCGCACCTGCGCAATCTCCCAAGGTCTTTCTGCGACTCCATGGCCATGTCCACCGCTCCAGTCGGTAGTTGTCCGCAGGAGGGCACACTGGGACGAGGGATTCTTTATCACTCTCTCCCAGTCTCGCCAACCATATCAAAGCCAAGCGGGCTTGTATGAGATGACGGTCCTACGCAGAATGTTGCCGAGTGTTTGACTCAATTCTTCAAAGGACAAAGAGTGGTCATCCTTTATGAAGGCCAAAGGCTAACACCAGCCATCATGAGCGGGGAGAGATGTCTCTAACCGGTTCCCACATCCACGGACAAGCTAAGATGGCTCATCAAGGTTATAACAGGGTACCTGATGGAAAATTTTCTTTTTCTTCTCCCACCCTTGCTCGCCAGATATTTTTTTTCCCTCCCACCTGAGCAGCAGAAAAAAAAAAAGGCACACAAATAGAGATCAGAGATGATCGAGAGAGTCCAGGGCTCTTGGGCGTCTTGGCAAACCTTCAGCTTGCGATCCCTGGTTTGAGGGAGAAGCCACAGAAAGAGGATCCAGGGAGTCACCGCTGGACAAATTAGCATGGCAAACCGCACCAGATGGTGTCATTGTGGCATCATCGTGGGTTGGCAAACTTCGGTTGTTCTCCTCCCGCAGTAGGACCAACGGGGCATAAATGGACCTAAGGACACATTAAATTGTGGGGTCGTGTTGGGTTGGACGTGGGCTATGCATATTTGCTGATAGTTTGGTCTTTTCTCCGTCTCGCCTCGACCAAGGTTCGTGTAAACAGCCCAAAAAGAACGTGTGATTCTGGGAAAGAAAAAGAATAGTATAGAATCCACGGAGGCCGGTTTTCGGTATATAAGGCGGCTTCTTCCCCGCTGCCGTCCGCTTCGGATCCTATCCCTATACGCTAGCCTGTGGTTCTATACACCATACTATCTTCACACTAATTCCCCGGAGTTGAAAGCCACTCATTACATCCGTGCCTATCACCTACGCTGACGCCATAGACTTCCTTGCTTGCCCAAGCTATTTAAAGGCCTTCGTTCCCCCCTCCAGGACTTGGTTTTCTCAAGCACAAAGCAAACACTCGAACCAAACATCAAAACCAAGAAACATCTTGAACAAAGATACCACAAACCACACCTCCAACGGTACTCTATATCATCTATTCAAAATGTTCACCAACACTCCCAACGGCACTTTCCTCGTCCTCGCCCCTCAATCTCATATTGCTGCCCAGCTCGACACCCCAAAGCCAGCTGCCTCCGATGCCCCAATGGCTGTCGACACTCAAGCTACCGACGTCGAGGCTCCCGTCAAGACCAAGCGCTCCGACAGCAACCCCTTCATCCCCGTCATCGGCGCAAAGGGCTTTACTTTCCTCAGACTCGGACCTTGAACCACGCAATTCCGAGAAATTCCTTTTGTTATGTTTTTCATTTCAGACATCGTCTCTTTTAGCGGAACCCGGCAAGGCAGAGGGGGTTTTCACAGGGAGGGTAAAATGGACTACTTCTGCTCATCACGCGCCGGCTTTACCATAATGATTTAACGACTTTTACTACTCCGTACACCGAACTATCTCAATCACCCCCCTTCGCTACGGATTCGACAAGCTCGTGAACTGCCGAGGCCGACCCGGCGCCAATGCGCTTTTTTTGTCTGGGGGAAACAAAAAAAGTGACTTTGACCACTGATTGTTCTTCACCTTTCTACCGAAACAACTTGCATTATTACACTCGCTTTTTTTTTTTCTTTTTTTTTTCTTCCTCCTTCCTGGCACTCATGTGTTGCCCACAGATAGTCTGTTTGAGGAAAAGCAATATATAATACTATTTCTACCATTAAACATGAATTAGAACGTGTCTTAGTATCAACTCTATTAATTCTTCTTTTTCCTGCCAGCCATCGACTGGACTCTGGCACCCGGGGAAGCGCCCCTATCTCGTACTTCTCTCCGCCCCTCCATAGGATAAGAGGCCCGAGAAAAAGAAACCATACATAGTATATATTGGTCACTTTTCTTTCCTTTTCCCTGTCTCTCGCTCTCTCCAACAGCCGGACAGCCACCAGATGGCAAAGGAGCCCTCGGATATCCCAGGAATGAACAGGTAGAAGTCGTTATTAAGTAGTCTGTACTCTGTACGGGGGTTGGCAGCCCATCGTGGTCGCTTTGGGTATCATCATTTGCCCCTGGGATGTTTCTTTTCCATAGCTAACACACATATATCTTGTCCCACACACATACAAAGTGCATATCCTCAGCATCTCCTATGCGTCCTTTGGTGTGCTCTATATACTCTCTCTCTCTGTTTACAGCGCTGGCGTCCCTTCAAGGGCCCTGGTTTATCCTCCCCTGGCTTCCGGATCAACTCCCTGCCCTCACATGCTGACCCAGGAACGATTCTTATTCTCCTTCGTCCTTGGAACATGTGATGGGACGGTCCGGTCCTCCTCTCCGAAAGCTCTTCCTCTTTGCTTTTTCCCCTCTGCTTTCTTTTTCCCCCAGGATGCCAAATCTTGATCGCTGGGAGTCTTAAATAGCAAACTATTATGTACGGAGGTTCTTGCTCCGTCTTGGAACCCGCGGAGGGTAGTCTGCTTAGTCTGGATATTAAAAGGGCGGCTGCTTGATGAGCGGTAAGGAGTGTGGTGCGAAGTAGCTGGCACTGCTGGGAGAAAAAGGGGCAAAGGTGGCCATCTCGGAGCTGAAGCGTACAGCGTGAGTCTCTGGAGGAGCCCGGAGTTGTTATGCGTAACTGACATCATCGACCGACCGGCTTATACTTGGACCAACCGGCTCGTCCATTGCACTTCCTTCTCGTATATGGTATTTCTTTTGAGATGGGTGTATAGTGCCCTAGAGAGGCCCATTTCCCACCATGTTTGCCAGCCACTGGCTTTGAGATCCTTGATGATAACTCGACGAGCAATGGTTTTCAAGGACGGAGAATATTATCCCGTCAACATAGGCGATGTCCTCTGACTCTATCAGACCGTTGGGCAATCTAGGGTTTGGAGCTTCGTCAGTCTAGCTCTTTAAGCATCAACCCTGGCCTGTCACTAACAAAGCAAGTTAAGAGGCTAATAGAACTACATCGTAGGGAACACCTCCCTGTGTACATGCTCAAGGTGCAAGTTGGAGGGGGGGAATCTGATATACAAACAGCAAGATACTCTCATGAGACCAGCCTTGGACGTTCACGCCGAAGGTGACCACCAATGCCTATCCAAAGCCTCATGTGAAAGCTTTCAAGGCCCTTATATACCATAATCATGCCACCGATTCACCAGCAGACTCCTAAAAACTGGTTTTATGCATGCTTTTACTGCACTTGGCTATCTACATACAGAATGGTTGCAGGCTTGTTCATCGCTAATTTAAAGTATAGATATCGAAGTCAATAAATGTACTGATGTAGGGGATAAGTATGTCTTCGAAGGCTCTAGCTGGAGCATCCTTTGCAGTAGATGTTCGTCAACATACCAGTAGTAGTTATATAGCACGACGTTTTTGACTACCGAGGGCGTTTGGTAGCGAAGTATTAGCTAGGAAGAGAAGTAGATTGATCTTTGATGGAGACGTCCCGAGGCTCTCTATGGTATCATATCTATAGAAATACGAAATGCTGAATAGCCGGGTGTTGCCGAACAGCATAGATGGTATGGAACCCGGCACTGAATAGGAGACATACATGCCTCATTAATATTAAGATGTCAACGGCTATATCATTTGCCCAACACAAGGCTCGCTCTGTTAACAACTGGCAATAATGTTGGAGGTAGATAGACAGATAGGTATGCGAAAAGGTAGGTATGTAAAAACGGACGAGAATAAAACGCAACGCAAGCGGAAATCTGACCCTGCTGTCTGTCGAAGGGGAAAAAAGGGGGGAAAAGGCCTGAGTACTAAAACGCAACTATGGATTTATAGACAACAAGAAACGAAGAAAAAGGTTGAGAGAAACAAACATTAAAATTAAACAAATAGACAGGCAAAAAGGAAATTATGAGACATAAAAAAGCTCTTCTCTCTTCTTGCTTGTTCTCTCTTTTCTTTCTCTCCTGTGTCTTAGTGTGTACCCGTATTTTCCTCCGCCTTGCTTCTCCATTGGTTGAGAAAGGCAGAGATCGGATATGATAAACCGGGAGAGAGAAGGATAAGAGTGAGGTGATGTTCGGGCCTAAAGCAGGCTCAACGGCTGATGGGTATGAGAGGGCTAAGTGGGAAAACATGCAAGGTCTGGGAACAGGAAGCAGACCTGCTCGAGGACGATGTCCAGAAGGAAGACACAAGCATATTAAAAGAGAAGAACATGTATGAAACCCAATCCCCAACAGAGACAATTGAGAGGAAATAAAAGATAAAAATATAATAAAAAGATCCCATCTGTTGTACAGTGAACCAATCAATGAACAAAATAGAACACTGGGAAAAGAAAAAGAGAGAGAATAGAGAGATATCACTGGTCCCTTTACTCCTCCGACTCCATCCTTCAGTCGGGCTGTACCTCTCAACCTCATTCATACTGCTGCTTCTTCGTTCAAATATTTTTTGGCTTCTACCCCATTTTTCTCTTCCTTTCTGCTCCTCTCGATGCTACTATCAAGTTGGTCAACGGTCCGGTTCCAAACCTGAATAGTGGAAGCGAGTTTCGTTTGGAGAGATTTCGAAACTATCATCTTCTTCCGTGACAGACCGAAACAGATAATTGGTCAAACGCGGGCAATAAATAGAAAAACGGCCAACTGCAGACAAGGCAGGGATTTGGGGGGGTATCAAAAACGCGGCGGGAACGCAAACCAAGACAAACTAGAAGTAGGAAAAAAAAAATCAACAAACGCCGTGGGCGTGTGGGCCGTGGCGGGTGTTTCCGAGAAAAAGATGAGACAAAGATGGGTATCTCGTTGTGTTGTGTTGTTTGATCTGGTTGCATATTTCCAGCTATTGGTTCAATTTACTGACTGTATTTTTTGGGTTGTTTAGGTTGCTACCTTGTGATAATGAAATGGGCTACCGATCTTCACCGGCTCTGGCTTTCCCACGTCGTCTAAAGAAGTCCATCACCTTTCTCGCAGCGCCTGAGCTACCGGAGGTATGCGAGGGGGCCTTCTCAAACTCATAAGCATCAGCAAACTTGCGGTGGCCTTTCTGGAGAATATTGTTTCTCGGGGGTCGGCCAGCTTGCATTGATGGGCGAGAACCGTTTTCAAACGGATGGTCGTACTGCTGTTGCTGTAGTTGCTGTTGCTGGAGCAACTCCTGCCCATAGCCCTGAGTTTGTGAATCGGGATACCCTTGAATCTGTGGTGGTTGAGAGCTGGAACTTGCGACACCGACCATCTCATCGTCTTGATTACCATGCGGGTAGCTCGGTTCAAAGGCATTGTTTATTTGTCCCTCCTGGCTACTATGTAAGGTGGCGAATTGGCGATCAATTTGAGCAGACAGGTTCATGGCGTCAACCTGATAGTCCCTAGAGACAGACTGTCTATCCTTATACATCTCGCTGTCCTGATCATTCATTTGGCCCAGGTGAGCCGAAGGTACGGCTGCAGGCGCGGTAGATAGACGTCGTTCTCGTTGGGGCTGGGGCTGTTGTTCGCCCTGCTGAGTGTAGAGGAAGTCGTCAACGTGAGTAGGGCTAGTATCTTCAGCAGCTGGCTGTTCCTTGTTCGATGAGAAGGCCTTTGAGAGTGATGGCAAGAGGGAGAACCGGCGAGGTCGAGAGGTGTAATGGGCATCACTCTGCCTCCTGAAAGCATGCGAGATTGAGCGTCTAGAGTCAACGGATGCGCGTGGTTCGTCCATCACCGCATAGGGGTCTTTCATGCTCGTGGGGGGATAACGTTTGCCACCTGGTTTCAGACGAGGAGAGCCAGGAGAAGGAGATTTACCTCCAAAAATAGAGGAAGCTGGCCTTCCAAACAGCTTCTCACTGATGCTGGTAACGGTGCTGGACCTCTTATGGCTCTTTGATGTCTGTTGGGCTGGGCCAGCCGGACCAGTCGGAGCACCAGATAGGGTGGTTGGGTGACCCACGGAAGCGGCAATCTGGCCATGTGGTACAGGCATAGGAGCCGAGATGTTGTATGGTTTACCATTCTTTGGCTGGGCGAGTTTTCCTTCTACATTGGTTGCGGCAACGGCGGGTGCAACGGGCTGACTGTAAGACCCTCGAGATGGTAGTCTAGACTCCATTCGACCAGCCGAAGCCATGGAGCCTCCAGTCTGTGGTCTTCCTGTAGGAATTTGGGAACCTTGAGTCCCAGAGAAAGCACCAGTTAATTCTGATACTGACCGTGCAACGCCTCTTGATGTTGGCCTTGTCATACCTTGATTGCGATCTGCATAGTTGTTGGTGTAGCCCATCCTCTCGCGGTTGCGATCAATAACGGGCTTAGGCAGTGGCTTGTCAAGTTGAGGCTCGCCTCTGACGGCTCCCTGGCTCGTTGATGGAGCGGAAGCAGCAGAGGTGCGAGTAGCGACAGGAGCTGGGGCATGAACGGTAGATGCTTGACCACTAGGCGAGCTTTGTTGCTCCGGGGTGGAACCGCCTCTAGAAGTTGAAGATTGGGGAGCAACGTATTCAACTTGAACAGTTCTACGTTTGGCATCTCGGGTCCGTTTTGGCTTCTCACCTGGCGTCTGTGATACTTGTCCTTGCTGCTGGGTAAGTCCACCGAGAACAGTAGTGGCGTTCTGGGAATGAGTCTTTGGTGGTTCCCGGACAGATGCACTACGTTCAAGAAGGGGTGTCTCTAGTTTCTCTTCTTCTATGTCATTCTGTTAGCAACCAAATGAATAAGTTGAATTGGAAAAGCCTACCTGACGGGACGGTCGTGTTTGCAATGTCAGCTACATCCGTGGTGTTGCTGGTGATGTGGGAGACAACTGTGGCATATTCAGCAAGCCAGCTGTGGCGCGCAACTTCAAAGAGGTCTGCACGCTTTCGGGGATCAGGCACCAAGATGCGACGTAGAAGGTCACGAGCATGAGGAGTGACATATTCCGGGAAGGTAAGAGGAGTTGTCACAATATACTTGTAGAGAAGATTGATATTGTCTCCATCTGGGTTTGCCGGGTCATCGTCGAACGGAAGATATCCAGCAAGCATGGCGTAGAGAATGACACCACAGCTCCAAACGTCAACTTTTCGCCCCGTGTAGAGCGAATCACTCACGACGAGCTCAGGAGCCGCATAACAGGGGCTGCCACAGCTAGTTTGCATGAGATCTCCACGTCTGAGGCCATTGGCATCCATTCTGTCCAGGCGCATCTGCTTGACAAAGTCTCGATTGGTGAGGTTGTATTCGATTTCCTCACTAAGCTCATCACTCGGATTAAATGTATTCGCAAACCCAAAATCGGTAATGATAATATTGCGGTTTCGATCTAAAAGCAAGTTTTCTAGTTTCAGGTCACGGTGAACGATGCCCATCTTGTGCAGGTAGCCTACTCCAGAGACTAGTTGGGCAAATAGACGACGGGCTGCATTATCTTTTAGGTAGCGGTGGTTAAGAATGTAGTCAAAGAGTTCACCGCCTGAAGCATATTCGAGGATGATACCGATGTGACGATCCGTGTGGACAATTTCGTGGATGCGGACAATGTTGGGGTGAGACAGCTTCTTGAGGACGGATATTTCACGGTTGATCTTGGGCAGCCGGCCAGGGTTGGTACCCAGGGTCTCGCGGCGGATCAACTTGATGGCAACCTGTACGCTTCCATCTCGTTTCCATCCAAGTCGTACTTTGCCGAACTCACCTTCTCCAAGGGTCTGGCCAAGGATGTAGTCTCCAAAGGAGGTCTCCTTCCGCTTCCCACCAGAGGTATCATGTCTGCTCTTGGGAATAGTCGTTCCCTCGTCGTCGTCTTCTGGCAGGTCTCTTTCTTCGACAAGGCCGGTAGCATGTCTAGTATTTTGGACGTCTACATTCTCCTGGCGCTGCTGTTCTCGCGCAATATCAATGTCTGGGTTTGTCACAATCATACGGTCAAGGACGACACTTGGTTCATGAACAGGACCGCTGGGAACAGAACTAGGGCCCATTGCAGCTTCTGATCGACTTTCCAGGGCGGTGGCTGAAGAGTAATCTCTTGGTTCCCGAGTGCTAGCGGCTCTCTGGGGCCCTTCTGGCGAATGGGGTGTTTTACGACGGGGCTTGCTGGGGGGGCTCATGTCATCCTTGGCCCGCTCTTCGCCATGTTCCCGGTCTCCACGGTTTCTACCGTTTTCTCGACGTTTGCCCTGTCTTGAGGTTTCATGTGGACTCGTATGGGTCTTGTTATTAGACGAGGACCGTGGTGGAGGAACAGGAGGGTTTCCGTAATTCTCTGACGTCCCTGGCCGCGATCGCGGGCTGCCAGAGCCAGATCTGCCTGGCGGAGTGACTGGCGAGCCGTAATCCTGGCTGGTCATCCCTGGAGAAGCAGCAGCAGACGGATGTAGATGCTGTGAGCTGGGCGATGCCTCATTGTAGCTTACATTGTCACCTCCATGGGGGTATTGTACCGGTGAGAGCGGAGATCCAGACTGGTGATACTGCTGTCCATTTGAGGGAGAAGAATGCATAAACTGGCTTCCAAGCTGCGGAGGATTTAACTGCGGGCTGGCCTGCAGTGATGAAGACATGCCTTTTCCCTTGGGAAGAAGGCAGCTGGAGGTTGAAATCGGCGCTGGTGAGCCTGGTGGTGAAAGCGTTTGTATGCGCGTTAGGATGCAAGATGATGTCGCTGGCGTTACCAAGAGAAAAAAGGACTCTAAAAACTCTAAGAAGGGACTTGTTAACTGTCTAATCCATAAGAATTGGCCGCATTAACGCGTCTTGTCTAGTAAAAAACAAAAGAGTGGTGATGTTGATAAGTGGTAAAAGTCAAGAAGTGAAGTTGAAGATGTTGAAATATCAGGAATGTTGGAAGGTGAGCTTCAACGCGCTAACAACACGACAACAGCAACACAAGCAGAGCAACACAAGCAACACACAGTGAAAAGAAGAGACATAAAGAGATAGATAAGATGATACTTACTGCTTCTTCTGGACCAGTATCTAACTGATGTTCCGCCACGATTCTACTACCGCGTCAATTCGACAGCTATCACGTCGCAGAAAGATCTTCCAACTATTCCATCCAAACTGACCGGATAGCCAGCGTGTTCTTGTATTCGACGGCCAGGTCGAGCGCGATAAAATAGACCAGGAATGAAAAGCAGGAAAATAGAAGAAGAATAAATCAAGAACCCACAGCTGCAGCGGAAAAGAGAATACACCAGATATAAACCTCAATTGAGCAAGACAATGCAAAGAGGGTATATATTACCGATCAAAAACGAGAGGATGGTCGAAGCCAGCGACACACCGCGGTGGTCACAGAGACGGTTGTCAACTTGTCGGGTTGCAGGGGGACGGTTGGGCGCTGGGCTGATGTTGAAATGGTTGAATGGGCTCAGCTTGACCAAGGAAGCATAATCGGCGGTATAAAACAAGATGCTGGCTAAAAATTCAATGCGAACAAAACGACCTGGAGAAAAGCCGTCCGGGCGGCCTGGTCTTGACGGAGCAGACGAGCGATTGGCGACGAGACAGGCGAAAGCATCAAGAGGGGCCTTCAGGGGAGACTCAAACTCGGATCGGGGCGAGCGACGGAATGGAACTACACCTTCTGATGGTGTTGGTTGGGTCCTGTCCAGGGGGAAGAAGATCAGAGAGCGAGAGGAGGCTGGGAGATGCGATCGAGCGGTGAATGATAGGCCGCCAACGCAAGGGGAGAAATAAAAGAAGAGGAGAAGAAGAGGAGAAGGAAGAAGGGGGGAGGAAGAGAAGAGTGTCTACCGAGACAGACACACCTCGTCGTCTCCTGGGGGGAGTTTTGGAGATGATGGGAGATGCAAGCGGGAGAGGTGGACAAGAGAGAGGAACAGACACCAAAGGGAGGAAAGACGATGCTTTTTCGCTGCTTTAGCTCGCAGTTTCGTGTCTAGCGTAGTGTCGAGGAGTGACCTGGCACTTGGCGCTGTTTTGAACCAGGGCCATCTCCAGCCTGCGGGAGGTTCCTATAGAGAAAGGCTGCTCTTTGGCTGGCTCTCTTTTGTTCTCTTTGCTTTTTTGATTCTTTACATTTTTGATGCTATGGCTGGGATCATGAATTTATTTGCTGGCCTACGGTACGACATTCCAACGTTATTTCGTATGGTTCGAAATTTGCTACCAGTGCAACGATTCAATGTACCATCCACACACGTTATGAATATGCGAGCTGGCCTGGTTGGCGCTGTTGCACCGTCCTGGATACGTGGATGATACATCCTCCAGTTCACCCCCGAACCCGCCTAACTACTTACATAGTATACTCCGTACTCCCTTTTACTGTCCTCTCTATGGTTGGGTTGAGAAATTAGTCCGGCAGAAGCCTAAGACATCGATATCAAACCAAGCCTGGATGGCACAACGAACACCTTCGGAAAGCTTTTAAAGGCTTCCTCACATAATGGGAAAGAAGAAGAAGAAGACGACGACGATGGTGAAGCTCGTCTCTTGTCGAATGTCCGCGCTAATCTTACCTGGTTGTAACAGTTGCTTTGATCCGGAACTTGAAACGAGGCTCGTAATACCGCAGTGTACCGGCGGACCCAGGGGACGGAGAAGCCACCCAGAACGATCTACGAGGCGTTATTTCGCTTGCGCGTGGTGCAGGTGGGAAAACACATTGGGCTGCAGGGACATCAATCGAACTGATTTCCTCTTTGTCATTGTGACTGCTGGTTTCGAAAGAAGCGGCTGGGGGAAGACGGCCATCGAAGAGCAACAGAGAAATAAAGAATCCAAAAAAAAAAAAAAAAACAATTGGACCATTATATGCGATTTGTTAATTTATCCCATCTTCCCATCCTTTTTCTTTCTAATTAATAGTCTTCATGGCTCGTTTTATAGGCCATCCAAACCAGGAAACCCAGAAGGAAAAACAACAACCAAAAAATCGGAGAAAAGAAAAAAAAACTTGCCAAAGGGAAGAGAGAAAAAAAAAAGGAAATTCACCTTCCAAGATCTAAAAAGAAATCCACTCTTCAACATTGAAATCCCTAAAGGAGAAAACGGAAAATAATGAGGGAAAAGTGATTTGATTCACTGATACTTGTGGTTGCCATTCTTTGGGGTGATGCCCAACGACTGGCCCCCTTTGGCCCCATACGCTGGCGGCGGCGCAGGCGACTGCGCTCGATACAGCGGTCCTGGAGACGATGACGATGATGCTCCAAACTGTGCAGAGAGACCTGACTCCGGTTTGCCAGACGGTGGAGAGGGGGCGCCCGATCCCAGTTGTCCACCGTCGCCTCCACCAACGACAAGCTGTTGTCCATCCTTCATGCGGCCGACTACCATCCCCTTAGCCACGGATTTGAGGATTGCCCGTCTTGAAACGCCCATCGCATCGATGTAGACTAGTCCGACGTTCTTAATGCCGCCGGTAAGGTCTGTCGTCACTGCCCGCGCTTCTTCTCCATATCTGTGGCCCACCATCTTGGAAGCGGCTATGGAGCTAGTAGATAGTAGATGGCGAGCGCCGTGATCGAGTCCGTCACCGAGGGTGGAAATCGCAATCATCGACTTGTTGAGAATACCAGGCTTGTAGTCTGGTATTGGCCTGCCGTTGACATCGTACCCCTTGTTATGAGGATCGCGATCTCCTCTACGGGTCAACGCTGCACCGAGGTTCTGTGCATATTTACCCAACTGTCCAACGGTTTTGGATGACAGACCGGCCGCGGATTGCGAGAAGGTGTTGATCTTGCGAATGTGCGCTTGTGTGGATGGCGAAAATGTCATGGGTTTGGCAGCAGGCTTGGTTCCCCTAGTGAAGCTATCTGCACCCGAGTTCAGCAGGGAAGCTAGTGCTTCAGAGGTAGTTACTAGCAGACGAGAGGCCATGGCCGAGCCTTGGACAAGTGACGACTTTGCATAGGCAGGATGGCTGGCCATTTCTAGGTACTCTAGTGGCGCATTGCTGACAGTGATCTGGTTGCCTTTCTCAGGCAGTTGGATTTGAACAGGGTCTAATGATGATTAGCATGACGTCTATGGATAACATGGGGTACAAAAAAAGAGAAGAATGTCATGAATAGAAAGAGAAGGGAAAAAGAAAGCTGTGGCATACCTTTGGATCCAGCCTTGACATCTGTCGACTGCACAACATTAAACCCTTCGGTGAGCTCTCCGACGACGCTCCCGTTCTCCTCGTCAATCAGCACGATCTGGCCATGTTTCTCATCACCAGTTCCCGCATAGCCCTCTCCTGGCGCATACGTTGCGGGATTATACCCTCCCTGTTGCTGCTTTTTCTGTTGTTTTGGTGGCGGGGACCGCTCAAGGAAGGCGGTACATTGTGCAAGAATGGTCTCAAACGTATCGACGTCTTCCTGCGATACCATTCCAGGCCCGCTTCCGATCTTGGGGAATTGGATACGGGTGAACGCACCAGTCTCTGGACCCAGATCCCATCTCGGGATCAGGTAGCTATCTGGTGGCTGGTGGTAGACCTGGGTGGTGGCAGGCAGCGGCAGTTCGAGTTCAGGAGGCAGATGTAGGTGTAGGTAGAAGTCTTCTTCAGTGTTTGCGGATGCGGCTTGTGGGTTGGCAGGGTCTACTACAGGGATGGTGGTAGGCACCATCAGGAGAGACAGCGTCTGGGGCCCTGAGGGGGTGAGCTCTGTCTCTTCGCCATTCTGAATGTGGTATGCCCGCACATTATCGAGGCTGAAGAAGAGGCGGGGGTCACTTGATCCTCCTGCCATAGCTACCTGCTATCTTTCCCGACTTTTTGTCTTGTATGTGATGGCCCTGATAATGCGGCGGAGGTAGATGGTCCTAGTTTGTTTATGTTAGAACCAACCTTTTTCCCCCGAGGGATGCGCAAATACTCACAACAGATGATATTTTCTATAGCAAGACAGGCAACAGAAAACTGTCCAATCCTTCGAACCCTGTTGTTGTTACGAGAGTGAGTGTTAAGTGATTGCGCGGCGCTTAAGTAGGAAGAAGACGAAGATGAAGATGCACCGCCACGCGCGGCCTCCCCGCGTCCACGTGATAATGGGGTGATGTCATCACTTGCACCGCCACGGGAAGAAGCTGAAGAAACAACTTAAAAAAGAAACGCGAAGGGAGACCAGAAGACGAATTGCCGTGAGATGGGATGAAAAAGAAAAGAAAAAGGTTGAAAGACGTGGCCTGACAAGGACGATGAGAGAGCCCTTGGGGGATGTGATGGTAACCGAGTGGCTGCTCTAGTCATGCAAGGGATGGTCAATTATAGACCTCCATGCACTCACGCAGAAGCTGCAGGGCCTGCAGCATAAATCCTTCAACTGCGCGAGATACGCGTATATTCCTTCGTACGAAGACATCGGCGGCGACGTACATGTATGAACGCTATCGAGAATAAAAGGTCCCGGCGAGACTGAGAGGTTTTCATCTGCTGCGCGCAGAGCGATAAAATACCTCCTGTCCTACGAAGAAGATATCAGAAAACTATGGTGACCATGCGGCTGCCACGGCTTCTTTTATTAGTATTGGGAACGGTCGTCCATGTGTCACCCATCGAAGCAGGCGAGCTCTTCCACAAGGTGCGGCCGTTTGACCCGCAAGAGTCTACTAAACTAATGGAATCCAAGGGGGATAACTTTTCAGAAACACAGGATGGCACCGGTCTGGACCAATGCTCCAAGCCCAAGAGGGACAGCTGCGCCTTTTACAAATCCTGTCTCGAGGCCGCGGTGCCGTGTGGCCCAGAAGGCTACGCCATTGCATATGGTGACCACTACTGCCTCAAGTTCGAGCCGGTACTGGGGCACTTCTCTGACCGGGGAAAAGCCTGGGTCAGCAATGCCAGGTACTGTCTACAAGAGAAATTAGTGCCCTATGCCACGAGCCAGAAAAGAGCCAGCTGCGAGGCGCTCCAGGAGTACGCCTTCGCAACGCATCCACCCTGCTATATCGACAACGGCCTGTGCACTCTTCCACCGTCGGACTGGCTGGTGATCCTCCATACCGTAGGGGTCGAGGGCCTATTTGGGAATATAGATGCTTTCATTGCAACCCTCGAGGCCGCTGGTGGATGTATCGACTTTTATATCTGGCTCATTAGGGGGCAGTTCATTGATAAGACAGACAGTTGGAGCTCAAAGGTAGAGCTGTGAGGGCATTCTCGCCTTACGGGAGTACCATGAGATAGTAACCCACGGCAACCTTCAACTTATCTTCAACTCATCCACAGACTCTCCTTTTCTTCCAGCAGCTTTTCCAAGAAAAACAAAAAGAGCCCAACCTTAGCTAAGTAAGCAAAGGCTTACTAAGAAATCCACGTGATAAATTATCCGCATCTAGCCGAGGTAAAGCCAACTCACGTGCTTTCTATATTCAGATGTTCGTTTTTCGGCTTATGCGACTTTCTTTTTGATCTTTTTGCTTCTCTTCGTCTTCTCCAGGCCAAACGACTGAGATCCTCGTTGCCAGAGTGCTTGTTCTGCGTGCCAGTTTTATATTCAACCGTTCAGCATGGCATCTATAGCCCGCGCCTTACGGCCTTTGTCCAGGAGGGCGTATGCACCTATCCTATCCACAGCAAGCAGAGCTACAGCCTCAAGGGCGGTAAGATGGTACGTCCAAAGCACACATCCCCAAGACGGAATATGGCGTCTTCTTGATAGCTTCCAAAGCCCATGCCCATGCTGACTGGACCGGTATAGCTCTCGCCCATTCTCTTCCGCCCCTCATCGCTATAATGCCGAACTCACCCCCACCCCCATCACCTATCTCTCCGAAACTGAGACGATGATGGCAGAGTCTGTCGCCAAATTCGCACAGGAAGAGGTCGGGCCAAAGGTCAGAGAGATGGATGAGGCCGAGGCTATGGATCCTGCCGTTGTCGAGCAGCTGTTCGAGCAAGGGTTGATGGGCATCGAGATCCCGGAAGAGTACGGCGGTGCCGGCATGAACTTTACCTCGGCCATTATTGGTATCGAGGAGCTTGCGCGCATCGACCCCAGCGTTAGTGTCATGGTAGACGTACACAACACTTTGGTCAATACCGCAGTGTTGAAATATGGTAGCGCCGCCGTCAAGAAGAAGTGGCTGCCCAGACTGGCAACCGACACCGTTGGGTCGTTCTGCTTGTCAGAGCCCATCTCTGGATCCGATGCGTTTGCTCTCCAGACTAAAGCCGAGAAGACTTCGTCTGGATATAAGCTCAACGGCAGCAAGATGTGGATCACGAATTCCATGGAAGCTGGGTTCTTCATCGTCTTTGCCAACCTAGACCCTAGCAAGGGATACAAGGGCATTACTGCTTTCATTGTCGAGAAGGACATGCCGGGATTTAACATCGCCAAAAAGGAGAAGAAGCTTGGCATCCGTGCCAGCAGCACCTGTGTTCTTAACTTTGACGACGTAGAGGTTCCAAAGGAGAACATTTTGGGCGAGGAGGGCCAGGGATACAAGTATGCCATCAGCTTGTTGAACGAGGGCCGTATCGGCATTGCTGCTCAGATGACCGGCTTGGCCCTCGGTGCCTGGGAGAATGCTGCTGGGTATGTCTTCTGCCTTTCTTCCTCGTCGTGGTCTGGTACTAATGCACCCATAGATACATCTGGAACGACCGCAAGCAATTCGGTCAGCTCATCGGTACTTTCCAAGGCATGCAGCACCAAGTCGCTCAATCATACACCGAAATTGCCGCCGCCCGTGCCCTCGTCTTCAACGCTGCCCGCAAGAAGGAGGCTGGCCAAGATTTCGTCCAGGACGCCGCCATGGCCAAGCTGTACGCCTCTCAGGTTGCTGGTCGTGTCTCCGGTCTTGCCGTCGAGTGGATGGGAGGCATGGGCTTCGTCCGCGAGGGTATTGCCGAGAAGATGTTCCGAGACAGCAAGATTGGTGCCATCTACGAGGGTACCAGCAACATCCAGCTCCAGACTATTGCCAAGACGTTGCAGAAGACATATACTAAATAAATAAGAATGTTTATGCCTTTTAATTATGCTCGACAAGAGTAGAGGAAATACAGAAAAGTGAGGACGTTAGGTGTTTTTTCGGACTATGCATGTATGAATATATGCAAAGGGGCTTCTGCTTTGGCAGGCCCTTTGCTTTAATTAGTTTTTTGGGGTCGACCAGGAGGTCGCAAGCTATTATGATATAGGTCAAATAAAGATTATATAGAATACTTGTCTTAAGTGTCGCTCTTTGATCTCTAAATCTCCTTTTATGCGTCTTACTAATCTTACACGCTTACTTGCAACATCCAACCAAAAGCTTCTTCCCTCGAGACATACAACAGCCTTTTGCTCTGGTATGATACTCGGAATTGAGTATGAATTGACATGCAAACTGCAATCCGGTCATCTTCCACGGCTTGACCGCTCGTTTTGATAGAACGGCCACTCGACGGTCAACGCCCACAGAAATCCACATCCGAAGGATCTAAACCAGCACTATGGACGGTGGCCACGATATTAACTGTACAGGATACTCCGTTTTGACAGCGGGAATGATATCCAACCCGCTCTGATCGTCGATCCATCCCGCTGGCTGAGAGCATCTGTGCTGTGAGACTGGTTAGTGCTTGTCAGCTTCGTTATCTACGGAGTGCGTACGTTATGGGATACCAACTGGTCAAGATGAAGATCCAAATTCCATCCTCCAACCATTCTCGAGATAACCGCAAGCTTCATAACTTACTTTGGTTTTGGCGTGCACTAAAAGGATCACCAAGCTTGTTGGTCTCAATAATGACGCCGTGCCCCGGTGCGAATTCGCTAGTACAATTCCACTATGAGAAGTCATAAGCCAGCGCCACCAGTCAAACATATACCTGTTTTTGCTGGTAGACTTGTGCTTTTTGGGTCTGCCAGCTCAATTAATATCTTGCACGACATGGCTCTTTCTTCGTCTCACTTCATTTTGACAGTCGTGAATTGCCTGGCTTATTGGTACAACTGGTTCGGGTTATCAGGACGAGCTAGAGCAGCAACGATATTAAGATGGTGAACCAAGAGCAAAAGAGCCTTATATCCGATGGCTCTCCTTCCTGTCCGCGACCAGGTCCCACAGATGAAGCAGAGGATGACGACGACGCGACAGCATCTTGGGCAACTATGCCAAAGAAACTGCAACTGGGCCTCACAGTATGCGGTTGGTTTTGTGAAAATGCAGCAATCGGCAGCCGACAGACCTTCATCCTCTTCCAGCTCAAATCGTTCAAACTCCCCGACGGTTCCGTGCCAAGTGCCGCTACCGTGGCATTTCATGCCTCCATCCTAAGTGCCTCAATCGCTATTCCACAGTTCTTCATGTCGACTCTATGGGGCATACTGGCCGATAACCCCCGTGTAGGGCGCAAGCGGGTTCTGCTAATCGGTCTCGCCATGACTGGAGTTGCGTGGCTAGGACTTGCGTTCGCCAACAGCTTCCTGGCGGTGGTAGCATGCTACGTTCTTGTTGGCCTGACGAACAACAACATGGCTGTGATGCGGACCATAATCAGGGATATCAGTGGAAAAAAGTTTGAGTCGCGGGCAATACTGCTGATGCCAACGGCTTTCAACCTGGGATCTTTCATTGGTCCTCTGCTGGGTGGGATACTCAGTGATCCTGTCGGAACGTATCCAAATGCTTTTGCGCCTGGAAGCTCCTTGAGGCAGTGGTTAGAGAGATGGCCGTACGCCGTGCCCAATATACTTAATGGTATGTCCATGATTGTGTGCGCGGTATTAACGGCCTTTCTGCTCGAGGAGACGCACCAAGGGGAAGGGCATCGTTCCCTGTCTATTGTGCCTGGCTGGGCTAAGACGCTCGGTAGACGGTTGTCTCGGTCTGGGTATGAGAAGGTCGCCGTTGAAGACGCTGAGCATATCGAAATGAATGACCGTGGACGAAACGCTTCAGCAAAGACTAATACTACTGGCTCACCTGTCAGCATATGGACCCGACGACTAATTATGACGCTTTTCTCTAACGGGCTCATAATCATGCACGTTGGCATATTTCCATCCCTCTTGGCAATATTCCTTTCAACACCTCGCTATGACCCAGAAGGAGGCTCATCTGTAGCAAGTTCAACCACTGGTGATACCAGCCAGTCAACAGCTACCAACGGAGCTCTGTCGGTACCGCTAAACTATCACCCCCACGCGCCCTTTACCTTTACCGGAGGCCTGTCTTTTAAACCAAGTAATATCGCCACAGCTCTTGCCATCCGAGGCCTTGTGGGCTTAGTGTTGCAGCTCTTATTCTTTCCGTACCTGAAGAGAGTGTTTGGTCTTTTCAATCTCTATCTCTGTTCTCTCCTGGTTTTCCCGGTAACATATTTTGTTATCCCGTTCTGGGCTACCGTCCCATCAAACACATTACCACCCTTGCCTGCATCAGGAGTTGTACTATGGATTTTCATCGCAGCCACCCTAGCCATCCAGACCACTGCGCGCTCGTTTGTTACACCTTCGTCACGTATGCTTCTTAACGCAGCGAGTCCAGACCGGTCTTCCCTTGGCACCGTGAACGGTATCTCCCAGAGCGTTGCTGCGGTTGCAAAAACAGCAGGACCCTTGCTCACGGGCTGGCTGTATGGCGTGGGGCTTAGGCACGGTGTAGTAGGCATCGCTTGGTGGGCTATGTCTGCCATCGCAGTAACAAATGCTGTGGCTGGCGCATGTCTCGCGATTGAGAAAAATGCTGGAAAGAAGCGCAAACCTCATATACAGGCTACACCGTAGCCGCATGAAATTAGACAATGGACTGATGAAATCGAGGTTGGACGAACAGCGATGTGGTCGACCCTTTTGGGAGAAATTGTGCATTTCTGGTCCATCATGTGTCTTGTTGCATGATACCACGGCATCCAGAGATAATGCCATATACGGAAGACCAGTTTCAGATCATGTAGTCGGCGGCAAGCGGTCTTTGACATTGTGTGGTATCAAAACAATGTCGAGATGAGACCCACGACAAGGGCAAGCTGTCTTTACAATGCTGCTTATGTATCATTGAGTCTCGGAAATGAAATATTATGAAGATGAATGTTTAAAGAAGACGTGAAGCCTGGTATATATCTGCTTGCTATATAGTCTTATCTGCCATAGCGTAGTGGAGAGTTCCATAATAGCCGCTAGAATGGATAGTGATATATAGCATTTGGTGGTTAAAGCTCCATAGCTCAAGCCGCTGAATTGATGCTGACGGTGACATCGTTCTATTTCAGTTATAACCAAAGCTTCTGCCCCAACATCACATGCAGAGTATCCGTCCTCCGTGGTAATGGAAGGGATGAGTGATGACAGGGATGTTTTATGTATCCAGAAATCCTGCAGACGGATAGCACCTCTGCATACATGCATGCACAGGTAAGTATCTGCACACAGCCGGTTATTTTATATCCAACATCCAACATTCCAACCAGGGGAGGAAAAAACCCGTAAAGGGGACAAGGAAAAGGACCAATATATGTCCATATAACCAGTCTATCTATTTATCTGCCATCCTCAACACCATGCAGAACATACGCTGCGAACCCAGAAAAGGGACAAAGACAAGAAAAGAGAGAAAGCTAATGATACAACGGGAAGACTTCCCCAAATTAAACGATGGAGAAAGAAACCCCGTTCGAGGTCATGGTTCCCGGTCATGGTTCATGGTCCAAGGGATGTGAAGGACCGATGACGATAGTGAAAGCCAACGCTTATAACTAGCGCCAGGGACTAAAGCAAAAGAGACAGAGAGAGAAAAAGCAAAAGAGAAAAAAGGGGGGAGAAACGGTTGAAAAAGAAAAACATGGTTCGATTAATCTCGGTCCAGAGAAGCCGAACGGGGAGATCGGGATGGGAAGGATAAGTAGTTATGCTTTTTTTTCCCTTTCTTTCTTTTGCCCTTTATAAGACGTTGGCTGTTGGCATGAAACCGATACACCAAGTCGTTGTCACAGGTTTTTTTCTCTCTTCGTTTAGGCCAGGATGTACCTTGTCCTGTTGCAAACATGTTAGTCGTTCCAGAATATTCTCATCTTCATGATGGAGAGACAGGTAGATATATTATTATTACCTTGTTTAGATGTAGATGTAAGGCGCATCTCTTCTCAGGCCTTCTTCGGTGCGCCAGCCTTCGCGTCCGGGACTGTATTCTTTGTATTTGCACACTCCAGGGCCTGGCGACACTGTCTCGAGACGTTTGCCTGTGTATATCGCTGTCGAAACATGCCAAAGACCAGATATCCGACCAGACAGGCCCAGGCACACCCGATGATGAACATGGCCTGCACAAGTAGATCCATGGCGTCGCTCTGCAACATAAACCACCGACTCATGCGTAGAGGGAAGAAGAAGAGAGACCCAGATCTGTAGCTGATGTCGATGTTATCGAGCTCTGTTAAGTTAAAGGGCCCGCCGTCTTCAGGCGCTGTACCTCCCCCGACGCTGATAGAAACGACTGCGAGTGGTATCTGAAGACGAGATCGACTGTTTTCTTTCTTTTTTTCCACTTTTTGATAAACAAAAGCCGAGCTAGTGGATTGGGCGGTTGGTGATGATGATTGAGCGGTTGACAGTTGACGGTTGACAATTGATGATTGATGAAGGTGAGGAGAGAAGAGAACGAATGGCGAGAGCAGAAGAATATAAGTGTATAGGTCTATCGTTTGAGGTTGGTTTAGTTATTTTATAGAAACGGAAAAAAATTGTTTCTCGCGATGAAAATATGGAGTTTGGCTGGAGCTATTTAAGGAGTCGCAAAATTGCCGCGACAGCTCAGCTTCTTCTTCTTCTTCTTCTTCTTCTTCTTCTTCTTTTTGTGCCTCTTGCAGATAAACCAGATAGACAAGAGAGGGAAAAAAAACATCCCTTTCTTTTCTCTTGACCCAATTTTCCCATACATGTTTAAACTAGCCCTGATTGTCGGCCAGACTGGACCCGGAGAGAGAGAAGGGGGGTGACAGAGCTAAATTGTGAAATTATTATTATATTCCTATCTGGCCCATCAGAAAAAGCTAGGCCGGGCCTGGGGGAATATGGTGTCATTCTTCTTGCTCGCCCATTCTCTTTATCTCATTTCCTCCGCAGCAGGGATTTTGGAAGAGTAAGATCCATCTTCCCCCTGGTCTGACTTGGCGGGAGTTTGCCGTAGTTGATATCTGCTGGTTATAGCATGGCAGACGCGGAGTATGCGGAGTTGACCCGTGTATATATACAACTCTGTGTGTATGATGTTGTCGGGGATTCTGATTCTGTAGTTAGGTGACTCCTGGGCTCATTGTCTCAGCGGATGGCAGAGGCAGCGGGCATGGAAACTCGCGTAAAGTCCCCCCCCTAGGATGAGCGAGAGAGAGAGAGAGAGAGTTGAGTGGATAAGCACCCTTGTACCAGCAGTGATCGGATGGAGACGCTCGTAGATAGTATAGAATCGAATGGCTGAGGGATGCTGCTGAGGAGGCGCTAAGCCAGAGTCTCCAAGGTACATGTACGAATATATATATATACCATGCAACGGGGGAGTAGTTCGCCGCTCCTTTTATATCCTGGAACTCCCAACCATGCATGCAGAATCCTGCTGATTGAGCAATAGTCAACTAGTTAACCAACTAGCCATGGACGCTCGTTTTCAGCCGCTGGATGCACTACCTCCGATGCAAACCCCTGAAGGCAACCCGGCAGACTCGCCACTGTTTCAGATCGCATGAAAATATATATTCAATGCATACTTCGTAGATTCACATGTATGGCGGCTAGCAGTGCCTCTGACATCTCTCCCTCCCTCGCTCTTCTGTTTTTCTGGATGGACGAGAGGCATATCAACCCGGCGGCAAGATTGTTTCTCAAATAAACAACACCAACGGTTGGGATGCATCCTCCACCTATATACTCAGCGTCAGCCACGTCCATCACTAGGAGAGACACTTATCCAACGAAAGCACACTATATCTCCTATCCTCGCTTGGAAAAAAGAGGAAAACGGGGTGATGGAGCTGAAACTGGTGGAGTGGTCCAAGGGGAGGAAGACCTGCGGGCCAGCGCCTATTTACTTTCTCAATGCCCTCTATTGAAAAAGAAAAGAAGCACAGCGATAGAGACACTTTGATACCATAGAGATGCTCCGCCCATGGACATCAGAGTATCTATTTTTACATTTTCACCCTTTCGTGTTTGATATCATCTCACTCTTCGCCCTCTGCCGCGTCGCTCATTGGCCGCATCTCGTCTCGAGGAGAATGAGTCGGCGCGAGATTCTACTGCTCTCGTTTCTTATTGAAACTAACCACGGATATGGTCCTTCTGCTTCGCGGTTAAGATCCTATTCTTGGAGCCTGGAAATGCCCCGAGAGCTGCTCGTGCATTTCATACTCTTCTCGCTGTCCAGAATTGATAGGATGGCAGCGCTTCTTTTGCTGAACTCAGGCGCTTGGCCTGGTAGTCTTGCGTTTTGGATACCACCAACCACCTCCTCTCTGCTCTCTTCTCTATTATCTTCTTTGGAATGCCAGAAAGGAGGCTGTTTCTTACTTTCCCCTAACTCTAATAATTATAAAGTCGACTGGGTTTGTCCTTGAAGGGGAGACTTTTCAATTCAGATCTCAACCACCGCAAATTGATAACTCTACATTTGTGAATACATCCACGTTAATCCTTTATTGTTATTTCGCCCCACCTTCATCTCTCTCTCTTTCTTCGCCATATCTCTTGTTTGATCATACCCACGTCGACCGGTTCAGACATCATGCCTATATTCATCGAGAGACGGGGAAGCCCAAGCCATGGCTTCCGGAAGAGAGTGCTGCTGAGCTCCAAGGGCGTAACACAGGTTCTGTACGATGACATGTCTGCCTACGGACCCTACTCTGACCCAGAGGACATGAGTGATCTGGACGATGTTGTCAATCTCAGCGACTATCACCCGGACCCGATCAGGGCGTCCCAGTCCTCTAGAGTCCGCATTCGCATCTCAGTCAGTCCCCAGGGAAGGGGAAGCCAGTCTCCCAACATCCATCAGCGCATGGGGCGCAGTGAAATGGGCTATGACATGTATGAGGACAATATTATGCCTGGTTTACGCAGGAAACGATCTCCTTCCCCTACGCCATCCATGACATCAACCTCGTCTACTGAAGAGACGATTCGCCCCACTAGGAAGAAGGTCAACGTTATGAAGCCGCTGAGGAAGTTCAGAGAGATCGTTCCGGTCGTCCATGTCCCTGAATTCAAGGGGAAAGCCGCTAAGCCAAGGAGCTTCCGCGAGATGTCCCCCAAATGCAAGGGAGACCCCATCATCATCACCCCAAAGACCGGGGCTGCAACCGGGGTAAAGAAGGATACCACTGCTTCTCCAACCAATGATAAGACCAAGAAGGTCCGTTTCGCCCCAAAAACTGACGGCAGAGACGATCCCAGCAGCCCGCTGTCCGGCACAGCCAAACGTCTGTCTTGACAGGTCTAAAGAAGACCAACAGAGGCATAACAGCCCAGCAGTGATGGGCCAGATCCCCGTCGAGTTATAGATTACTGAGGCGACTCAGGTTGTGGCAGCTGGCTGCTCTTCCCCTGCATATGATAATTCTCTTTTACTCTCTTGTCTCCTTACCTTATCAATTCTTTGCATTTCCTTCATCTCCTTCATTTTGCATTACCAGACAGCTTGATACCCTCGTTTGAACCTATTTAGCATGGCGGTGCTCGTTGATATTTTTTGATGCATATATTTGGTGGCGCGCATTCTTTTTATACTTACACTCGTTTCAGTTTCCTAGACGATTTCACTTTGTATCTTATGAACTTCATGGCTGATAATGTTAAATGAAAACCATTTACACTCATTAACACTTACATCTTTTACAAAACGTGTTTTCTTCCACCCAAAAACGAATAAAATCTCGAGAAATAAACAAAAATTCGGTTGACACCATCTTATGTAAGCAAATAGTTTCCAGCAGCTTCAAGTTGGTTGAAGCTGGCATCTTCGTAGATATTTATGAGACAAAGGAACTCGTCTTGCCAGATGATATATGACTAGGATCGCCTGTTGATGATGTTTGCTGGTGGCAGGCTTCGCTGAACCGACGAATTGCGCATCAATGGCGGAGAGCTACAAGGCGAGAAAGGAGGCCTTCGTCTCGAACCTCTCGGGGAGCAACGTATGGGACATCAACACAGTGTCAGCGGTGGTTCCGGTGAGTATATACGCATCTATATACAGGTCTGATGGCATCTGTAGCTAACAGTTATATGGATAGAGCGCGGTGCTGCTTTGGTCCGTCCTTCAGTCGCGCCGTTCGTTATTTACGCCATATGGACTACCAGCTCTAATAGCAGACTTTCTTCTCGCCGTTGCCAGCGTATTATTCGCAATCACCTTGTACTCCTCCTCCCTCGTTGTGCTGAATGTTTTACTCCTCTCTCCTGCCGCTCTCCTTCTATTAAGCACCAAGCCACAGCAAGTACGGCAAAAGGCAAAACCACCAGCTGCAAAACCCGGGTCCGAAAAGAGCACTACAGAGCGTAGCCATGGCTCCGATACTGCATTAGATGTGCTCCCCCAGCGGCCCTTTCTGACTAATTACCGAGCGGGTTTGATGATAACTACCTGTCTGTCGATTCTGGCAGTAGACTTCAATGTATTCCCTAGGCGGTTCGCAAAGGTGGAAAACTGGGGAACATCTCTCATGGACTTGGGAGTAGGCTCCTTCGTCTTCTCCGGGGGTGTTGTTTCAGCTCGATCGATACTGGGAGGCGGCCGAGCGCCCCAGGAATCGTTCGCAAAGCGCTTACTTGCATCTGCACGCCACTCAATCCCTCTCCTGGTACTAGGGCTGATTCGCCTGTACAGTGTCAAGGGGCTGGACTATGCCGAGCACGTAACAGAGTACGGAGTCCACTGGAACTTCTTCTTCACCTTAGGCTTACTACCCCCATTTGTGGAAATATTCCATGCTCTTACCACTTTGATTCCGTGGTACGAGGCCCTCTCCCTCATCGTCATCGGTGCCTACCAGGTGGCGCTGGAGTCTACAAGTTTAAAGGAGTATATCTTGGTCTCTCCGCGCGGCCGGTCTCTGCTATCTAAAAACCGAGAAGGAGTGTTTTCTTTTCTTGGATACCTTGCTATCTTCCTGTCTGGTCGAGCTGCTGGGTTACGGATAATACCTCGCAAACCACGCAAGGCACTCCTCATGCAACTGGCATCATGGTCGGCGGTGTGGGCCACCTTATTCTTTCTCAACTCTTTCTATTTCTACGGATACGGCGCGGGGATCCCGGTCTCTCGCCGGCTGGCTAATATGCCCTATGTCTTCTGGGTCAATGCGTTCAACATGACCCATATGCTGCTCTACTGTCTCATCGAGACCTTCGTCTTCCCTTCGGTGGAGAAGGCGTCAAATAAAACAGAAGAAGCGGAGAAGAGTGGGTATGCGACAAGCAGGATCATGAGAGCCTTCAATAAGAACGGCCTGGCCATCTTCTTGGTTGCAAATCTGCTTACCGGGGCCGTCAACCTGGGCATGAACACGCTTGACGCCAGAAAGGAACTGGCCATGGCTGTTTTGATGCTATATTCAATTATCTTGACTGGGATTGCATTGGCGCTGGATTTCTGGAATGTAAAACTCAGACTATAAATAACAAATAGACAGGGACTTGGAATAAGTAATTGGACATTAGCTCTCGAATATTCATGTTGAAACATTTTTACTTTTTTTTTTTTTCACATGCACCTTGGGCGCTTGTCATATATTTTCTTTTTTCCTCGAAGCAATCAAGGAAAGCTCAGGGATGGCGATTTTTTTTTGGCCGAGGCGGCAAGTTTATGGGAAGGCTACGAATAGTAGCTTCGATATAACAACAAACAACGTCGATCGTCGATCTCAAACCTGCAAGGAATAACATCGTTGGCCTTCTGCTACGATATAACTATCTATTGAAAACCGGGCGATGAGTTGAAGATGGCGTCCAATACTGCTGATTCAAACCCATACAAGTTATTCCCCACACCGGTCGAAGGCCCGAAGGTGCCGTTCAAGGCTGCTCATGGATCCAACCCCATTCTGCGTGGCCGACTGTTAGAAATAGCCGCTACCCTGTCAGTTATCACCATGTTTTTCTATTTACAGCCAGCCCAATCAAAGTTGAAGAGACTAACGGGACCGTGTAACGGATACATGCTTCCAGGGTTCAATCATCAAGCTTTGTGCAGTCGATCCTCTGGCGCAATGCGGGCTTCTCTTCGCTCCGTGAGATCGAAAACCTCAAGGCCTACGAACCGAAATTCGACCCTACTGTCCTCCCTTCGGTGACCGGGGAGGCTGGCGCAAAGGCATCTGAGCTACCAGTTCCAGCTAGGCGCCGTCAGGATGGCAAGGGCGATTACTACACCTCCGCTGATTACCGTGAGCTCTACAAGTCTGGCAAGCTGACTCCTACGGCGGTTGTGGAGGCACTGCTGCCCGCGATTCGTCGTGATACTTCCCCTCCAGGAGAATTCTCACCCGGTTTCTGCCAGTCAAATATTGACATCATTCGTGCCTCGGCGGAGGCTTCGACGGAAAGATGGGCGAAAGGAACCCCGCTGGGTCCGATGGATGGTATACCCGTTGCTGTCAAGGATGAGGTAGATATTGATGGATACGACAAGTTCATGTCGAGCAAGATCAACTTCACGCCCAACCCCAGCTTCACTTCTTGGTGTGTGAAGAAGTGGGAGGAAGCTGGTGCCATTATCATAGGAAAGACTGTTATGCATGAAATTGGCCTTGGTGAGTGGATTTTCGCGGTATTGCCAGTTTCAATGGGCTAACGGTCCTTTTTCACAGACACTACGAACAACAATCCTGTGGTTGGAACACCAAGAAACCCACATAATCCATCATACTATACCGGTGGCTCTTCCGGAGGTTCTGGGTATGTGGTCAGTGCTGGCGTTGTCCCTATCGCCCTTGGAGCTGATGGAGGCGGCTCCATCCGTATCCCATCTAACTACTGTGGAATCTATGGGCTCAAAACAACACATGGCAGAGTTTCTGCCGCACCGTCACATAGATTGGCCACGACTGTAGGAGTCCTTGGTCCGATGGCATCTAATCTCGATGATCTCGCCCTGGCCTACCGTATCATGGCCGCTCCGGATCCAAGCAACCAGGTGTCAGCGACATTCCCTGACCCTTTGTTGAATATACAATCTTCCTCCTCTAGACCCAAGGTTATTGGAGTATACAAGGAGTGGGTTGAGCGTTCCGACCCCGAGGTATTAGCTATGTTTAATAAGGCTATCGACTATTATCGGGATGAAAAATATTATGAAATTGTCGACATCACTATCCCCTATATCCCTGAAGGCGGGAAATGCCATGCCATAACAATTCTAAACGAAATTGCCAGCGGGCTTACCAAAGAGCAGATCTCCCAACTGACTGCTCCAACTAGGATTATGATCTCCGTGGGTGGAACTCAGGGCCTCGCTCAGGACTTCTTTGCAAGTCAAAGGATGCGCAACCTACTCATGAAACATCTCTCGTTCCTATTCCAGAAATACCCCGGCATCGTCATTGCGACTCCCACAACACCAACAGCTGGCTTGAAAATATCCCAGGGTGAAGCTGACCTTACCCATGGCATCAGTGATTCCAACGCGACACTACTATCCATGGAGTATGTCTATCTTGCTAATTTCACCGGATGCCCTGCCATTTCATGTCCAATGGGCTATGCGGATGAGACTTCGGTGCCTGTTGGACTGATGGGTATGGGAGAATGGGGTAGTGAGGAAGCCTTGATGGAATGGGGCCGTGACGGTGAGGGCGTGTTGGGCGGTAAGGGACTGAGAACTCCTGATAAGGAGAAGGGTGGGAAGTGGATTGATGCTATTAATCTGGCACTTGGTGATAGTAGTGAGTAATTGGCGGCTTTCATCCGACATTATTCTTTAACACGGCTTCATATCGCTATCCTGGGCTTCTGATTCAAATATATCTACCTTTCATGTTTTGCGTGTTTATATTTCTAGTAGTTTATTCGAACTATGCGAGTTCTATTATGATATAATATTTTCTAATGACTGAAATATCGACTAAAGCAATTGAATTGTGCCTTATAGAAGGCCTCAGGGTTACTGAATGTTCATCTAGATATTAAGATGTTGAAAATATGAATAAGGAATCGGTGTATCTTTTATTCGAACTAATATATCTCCAATTCAGGTCCAAAAAAAAAAATTGCACAGCCAAAGAGATAATACATACATACCAGTAAATGAGCAGGAAGACAGCAAGACAAGACAAGCTGTACCTTTCTTCCCCCGATCTTCTAATATTCCCATCATAAAAAAGAAGAGGGTATTAAAAGGGAAATAATGATGATAAAAGCTAAATGGAAACCATATCAATTGGCTAACGTGAATAAACCATGAGCTTTAATCGTCTGAATTCTGAATTCCGGAAGAAAATTTCAACATTAAGAACATAGCCTTTGAAAATAGAAGAAACGAACATGGCACTGGTGCCTGTTGGTGAAAGGATGGTTGGAGAAAGGTCTATTCTCCATCGGTGTCGGTGTCGGTGTCAGTTTCGCTGGTATCGTCTGCCAGGTCGCCATCGGTGTCACTTTCATCATCTTCACTGGATTCGACGACACGCTTCTTCTTGGATGGAGCTTGGCCGGTTTTCAAAGCTTGCATTTGTCCCGCAATGGAATCTGGTGATGGATTAGTATGGTGGAAAACAGTGTTTTGGGATATTAGAGGTGGATTCATGCATACCTTCGTCAGGCTCACTGATATCATCTTCATCAGCTACAGCTGCAGCTTTCTCCAAATCCTCAACCTGAAGGGTAATCGCTTGCTCTTCGTCGAATCCGATATAACTATCACAAACAATGTTGAGGACGAATGGGAAGTTGCCCACCTGTGGAGGGGCCTGGAACTGCATTTTCATTGTCTGCACATTAAAGGTTGGTTTACCCTCCTCGTCAAAGATAGGTTTGTTGAATTTCGTGAACGTGAATGGGGGGACGGCCATACGGTCCTGCTTGACGTCTGCGAGGAAGATGTGCCATCTGGGAGAGTGGTCGCGAGCAAAGTAAGGGGCATGGGCGAGCGGAGGCTGAATCTCGGGCTCGTCTTCCATTTCCATTCGGGATTTCTTTTCCTTTTCTTTCGGGTCGGGGGTGGCATTCCCTGTCTGGGCATCTGCTAGAGCGTCTTCGTCGATATCTTCAATCTCGAGATCTGACTCCTTGACGGGCGGTACATATTCACAGCCTGGCGGGACAAAGCGGGCTTTTACCACGAGTTGAACCAAGCTGCTTGGTGTGATAACCCTTTCCCCTGGAACTCTGAGGACGGCCTTGCACAGTTGCAAGGCTGGTATTCTCCTTGCTACTGATATTGCAGTCTGGTATTGTGATTCTGTCAAGAGGCCGCCGCCAATGGACAGGTTTCGTCGCTTCGCTTCTGGCAATCTCATGAACTGCTGAATGGTCAAATGGGTTTTGGAATGTTCGCCTTCTACAGATCGGACAACGTCGGCGTTAAAGTAGGGGAGCTGGAGGAGCGGAGAGGACTTTGGAGGAATAGCTTGGATGAGGTTCTGGGATGTGTAGAGTGATGTCATGATGGGCTGTAGGTTTCCGAACGTTAAAGCGATGGTAGTGAAGGCATTATTGAGGGTGACGGCTGGGAGTGCGACTTGAAACTTTTCTATAGATAACAATTAGCTACTTCATGGTTAGGTTGGCGGCGAATCTAGACTTACCGTTGTTGAGAGCGTTGTCGTCAAGGTCGATTCTTCCGAGATAGGCCCATAGCAACGCGAGAGCCTTTCTTCTCTTCTCATTGTCTAATCTGCTCAAAGCAAGCTTATCCTTGGGCGACAGGTCCATTAGATCGAGAACCTTCTTCTCAATCTTTGCTAAGCCAGAATGCGCTTGGTCATCCTTTAGCATGTCCACGTATTCGTCTCCTACGCTCACGATACTTATCATATCACCGCCAGAAATGCCTGGCTGATACTCTCGGAAAAGGCTTCCAGAGCTGGCGACAAGGACATTATCCTTGGTATAACGCTGGTTACCATACCACCACTTTCCAACAGTATACGGTAGGAGAACACCAAAAAGGATCCCGTAGAGTAGGAGAACGAACTTTCCGTTGCCTTCGGTAACAATGAACTTGGGCAGGGCGATGCCGATACTAAAACTCTGCTTTCCGTCAGGATGGCCGAATTGGATGTAGTTGTTTCTAATTTCCTCATCGGTAAGGGTCTTGTACGCCTTTGTGAGCTCAACGAAGTGGTCGTTGAGCATCTCGATAGTTTCATTTTTGGCAGGGTCAGGCTTGATCTTGTCTGGATGAAATTTGACCGAGAGTCGTTTGTAGTGTTTGCTGATAGCTCTCTCATCGGCACTCTATATTAACAGTCAGCAAGCAGACCTCAATTACAATAGTAAGCATGATGAAAGATATCTCACCCTCGAAATTCCAAGGATTTCATAAGGGTCCCAGATCTTGGGCACTGATCTTGCGGTGACGATGATCAGGTATACCATCCACGCCATGACCGCATACCCAACGATCACGGTAATAATTCTCTTGATGCGGCGCTCTTTCCGCAGAAGTTTCTGCTTCTGGTTCTGTATGATATCGTCATGTTGTGGCTTGAAATCAGACTTGATTCGAGGGGCGGAGTTCTCAAGTCCTATAATGCGGGAGGGGGAGATATCAGCAAATGGTCTACATAGCAAATATATACCAAGCAGCTCCGGAGCGAGACTGACGAACCTTTGACGGGTCTAAGAAGGGTATACGTGAGAGGGAGGGTAACAAGGCCGGTCAGGGTCAGGATAAAGAAGGGGAAGAATTGACCCTATATTTGAGAGTCAGTCATGGGTACCACAGGCCTAAAAAAATTGCATTGGTGTATACACACCTGCTCGTCATAGTTATAGTCTGTCGACGACATGGCTGTGAATGTTCTAACACTCTAGAGAAGATTGAGTGTATGCCGCCGAGCGAGCACACGGGCTCATACGGTCCCTATTATATGTATCTCTTCCTCGCAAGGAACGTAAGGCCAAAGACTGCTTCAAGGGAGATATAAAGACGAGCTAGAACTCCAAGCGCATGCCCCTATACACTAGACATGGAAATGCTGGAGTATCTCTGCGTGGTGTCTTCAAGGAGTATCAAGATGTTTCTTCTCAAACTTCGATCTCACATCCGTGGCCTCTTTCATAGGCGCCCGATCGGGACTAGCGCCAGAAGTCTTCAAACGTGGATTTAAAGTATGGCACTAGTCCAGATATAGTAAGGTAACGAGGCACGGTGCTTATCAGATGGGGATAGTTTCTCCGGATGAGTAAGCAAGCCTAAGTAGATACCAAAAAGGGAAAAAGCAGCAAGAAGCATCTTAAGTCGTCAACCAAGATGGCATCGATATAATATAAGAAGGCTTTTTATAAAAGACGGGCTCATGATATACCCATTACCTGTTGTAATACCAGCTCTTGCTTCCAGGAAGCCACTCTGGTCCACAGTCACTGTCATAAATGCATATACACACTCCTCTGTCAGCATGCTTTCTTGGACGCTATTCAGCATCAGTCGATCCAGCCTTGGCTCTATTCTCTGCTCATTATAGTGGGAAAGCCATAGAGACAGAGGCTCTTGCGCCGCGGGAACTACTCCAATCAAGGCAGGGCTGAAGGAGCAACGCAGGGCCGACGGGGCGTTGAATCGAGATCAACGAGATCAACTATTCACGGGGATAATCGCCACTGACTTTTCTGATGCAGTAATCACTAGCAAGACAAGTTGTGCAAAGTATAGCACTTTGTTTATGCTATATTATATCAGCTCAACGGGCTGATGTCACTCTTTCCGAAGAGGTTTTCATCCCTTGGCAAGGAAATATCAAAGAGGTAGCAGAGCCAGACCTTCAGATAGCCTGGCACATAGGAAAGGGTATTACCTGCTCTTGCGGTCGAGGGTGGCGTCTCACAGATCAGTGCTGTCTTAGAGAGAAGCGTCAGGGAGTTCCTAATCCCCGGTGCAATTGATATGCTGGTTGATATAACGGAGAGTTCGGACTATAAAGATCTCCCCAGAAAAGAGGGAAACACTGGCATAATTAATCCGAAAGGCCCACCCTGATAAACCTCATTTACCTGTCCAACAGTATTGCAAGGGGCGAAAGCCGTTTGGCCTAGTGGTCGTATATGGCATCCGATGGGCAGGCGAATTTACTGCTGCAGTACAGGCGTTTGGAAAGGATCCTGCCATGGTGAGCCAGTTGACAGGACTCCAAGGGTTGTAGGTACCATGAACGTCTGTTAACTTGGCCAACATTGGCACACCGTCTTTGGTCCAGTCAAGGGGTCAATGGAGAACCCGGTCTACGAAGAGTATCCGAATCCAAACACCAAGCTATCAGACTGGGTACGATTAGACGGCGAGCTTTACAACAGAGACTCCGTTCTAGAGTGGGATATCTTGCGACAGAAGCTAGTCGTGATCAGGCGCATTCTGGCTCTTCGAAGACGCTCAGCTGCTGTTCTCAAGCCGAAAAGAGACGGACATTGAAAAAGCTACCAACAATTGACTTGAACTGATTGGCTTGGGTTAATCTACTAGGTAAATATGATAGAAGTAGTTCATACAAGGATACTCTACTATGTATATGTGTGTGTATGCATTAGTTGGCAACTCCATGATCTTCCCCCGCAAGAAAATCACCATCACCAACAACCATCCATCAACAAACACCATCAAGATGACGTCCTACTCGATCTCCGTCTCGGTCAAGGGAACCAACATAAACAAATATCCCGGTAAGTACTGTTGTCTATGCTATTTGTACTATCATTGCTGACGGTGGTGTGTGTTATATAGGCAAACAGCACGCCCGCAGAGTCGCAGCACGCCTGGCTAAACAGAAGGGCCTCATCTACCTACCCGGTCAGCAGACGGTGCTGTCCGAAGACTCAGACCAGGCCAGACCTTTCAAACAGCGCCGCTACTTCTTCTACGTGACCGGTGTCGTGGAGCCAGACTGCCATGTTACCTACGACATTGCCGAGGACAAGCTGACGTTGTACGTGCCGGATTTTGACTTCAAGCGGACCATCTGGACAGGCCCTACGCTGGGCAAAGATGATGCTAAACAGAGGTATATCTTTCGTTTCTGCACGGTCAGTAAATATGAGGGACTAATGGCGTAGGTACGATGTCGACGCGGTGGAATACTACTCCTCCCTGGAAGGGGATGTCCAGCGATGGGCTCAGGGTAACCCATCGACTCCCATATACATACTACATCCAGACCAGAAGCCGGTCACTCCGCTGACAGTGGCGTATCTGTACGAGTCCAAGTCGCTGCAGCACGCAATGGATGCGTGCCGGGTGATCAAGGACGAGCATGAGGTACGACTGATTCAGCGAGCAAACCACATCTCTGGAGCAGCACACCGGCACATCCTCATGAACCTACACCATCTGCAGAGCGAGGCCCAGATAGCCGGCCTCTTCATCGATGTGTGTCTCTCCCTACGCTCGCGAGGCACAGCGTACCAGACCATCGCAGCCTCGGGCCCCAACGGCGCAACACTACATTATACACGCAACAACGAGCCGCTGGCCGGCCGACAGATGGTCGTGCTTGATGCCGGAGCCGAATGGGACTGCTATGCCAGTGACGTAACGCGGTCGTTCCCGATCCCGTCGAGCGTGAGCGGCAAGGAAAACAGTGGGAAAGGCGACTGGCCTAGCCGCGAGGCGGAGGAGGTCTACGCCATCGTGCAGCGTATGCAAGAGGAGTCGATCAGCCGCGTGAGAGAGGGAGCCATGTTCTTCTCTATCCATCAGCACGCACACTCCATTGCGTTAGACGAGCTGCTCCGACTCGGCATCTTGCGTATCCCGCATGGCTCGTCCAAGGCAGACCTGGTCAAGGCAGAAGCGACGGCCCTCTTCTTCCCGCATGGTCTAGGCCACCATCTCGGCCTGGAGGTGCACGATGTCGCGCCGGATAGCGGCACTGTTCCAGTAACGTCATCATCATCATCATCATCATCAAGAGTAACAGCAGTAACAGCACAGTGTCAGGACGGACTGATGAGCGTCACCGAGCATCGACCTCCATGCACGCTCTCTGCACCACCGCTGGCGGCCGGCATGGTCATCACCGTCGAACCGGGCATCTACTTCAACAGGCTGGCCATCGACCAGGCTCGAGCGGAGAGGGACAAACCAGGCTCGAAGGGCAGGTTTGTCGACTTCGACGTCGTGGAGCGCTATATGGCCGTGGGTGGTGTGAGGATCGAGGATGACGTGCTGGTCACGAAAGACGGGAGCAGAAACCTCACTGATGCGCCCAAGGGGCAAGACATGCTCGATATGATCTACGATCGATGCTGATATTGACAGCGGTTGTACATAAGATGTCACTCCAGTCCCGCATACTCTCCTACAAGTTATCCTGTAACAGGGCGATGTCCAGGTCATCCACAGCATCATGAAACGAGCCTACCATTAGATATAAGTATCAGTCCTTTAATAGATCTACGGGCTCCCGGTATGTCAGGCCACGTCGTAGCGTGATCGAAAGAAGTTCTTCATCATCCGCCAACATCACACCACAGGCGAGAAGAAGAAACCAAGAACTCGAAGCTCACGCCATGAATTCAGCCTAAAACCGCCCACTTGATTCCACTTTTCTTCAAACAACCAACAAGCTAACAAGTAGCAAGTCGCCAACAAGTCGCCAACATCTCCACCGGCAAGCTTCTGACTGGCCCAGCGCAAGGCTTAGCAGGTTAACTTCCGCTTGTCAGGCAGCTTTTTTCGCATGTCTGACTCACCTTGATAGGCTCCGACAGCGGCAAAGGAGAAGGATATATAAGGAGGATTACGGGAGACCGGTGTATATAAGAGGATGACTCCTCGTCTCTCCTTTTCTACCTGGCCTCCGACTCTGCCGACGAAGGCGAAGAAGTCGTCAACTTCTGCCTGGCCAAGGGGGGTGAGCAGGAGGGAGTGGTATAAGAAGGATGGCCATGGCCGCTGATGTTGACAGTGACAGTTGACGGCGGTTAAGAAGGCAGAGAGGAAGACTTACACTCTTACTCTTACTCTTTTGCTCCTCTCTCTTCTTTTTCTTTGCATTAAAAAAAAAAGATCTCCCTGTTAAGCGCCGACATCTTGCTATTTTTAGCCCTTATACCCTTACACACATCGAGATATACAAGTATATATATATATCTTCGTCTATACCAACACGATGGGACAAAGACACAATCGACGACGGACAAGACCTCGCTCTCGACGACGGATAAACAACAACAACGCCGCCTCTCGACTCCAGCAGACAGTGGTGATGCTTACTCCTCTTCATCAGCCGGAGACGTACCCTTATGCATCGCTGCCTCTTCCACTGAGCTGCTCTCCCGGTGCTCGCAACCACTGGCATGACCGTGTGCCCTCGGCCCAACTCTGGCATAATCGGTACCTGGCATGGCATGGTCGTAGCACTTCCACGACATCATCATCTTCGACATCTACCACCCAAGGACAAAGGCGAGAAGCAACCAAGCTAGAGGTAGAACAGTGTCGACTCTTCGGCGGCGAGCCTGGCGACGACGTGACGCTGTGTTTTCGCATGTTGGAGTTTTTCAGCGGTCTCGACTTCATAGAGTGACTCCTTTTTACTCTTCTTCTCATCTCTACTCTCTCTTCTACACTTCATTTTGAACTCGACTTTCTCTACTCGACTTCCAGACTCAACTACGATGGATCGAGTTCCCTGGATGGAACCCCATGACTCGCAGCAAGAAAGGCCCTAGATGGGCTGGACTGGTCTTACCTACGGGTTTTCTACTCTCCTACTGGACTCTCGACCTTGAAGGACGCTGGCCTCTCCACAGGCCTAGATGAGCTCGCTTGCCGGCTTGAACACTGCATGCCACTCTCTCTGTAGGCATATCTGAGTTCGCTGGTGAGCTTGAGCTCCGTGGTTCCGTGGGGGCGTGGCGGGCGTTGACTTCTTGATGCTGGCCATCATCGATACGGTTGGGTGTGAAGAGACTTCTTTCTCACCTACCTACTCCTTTCTCACTTGTCTACTTGTCTTCTTCTGGTTCGTTGACTTTGATTGTTCTCTTTTCTCGACGGTTCACGGTATGGATGCATGGTATGGGTAGGGTATGGGACGGTCCTCGGGTTCAAAAAAATGTTATGTATAATGAAAAAATGGCAAAGGCACACGGCGGGTCTTGGGTTTAAACAAAATATTAAAAATGATGAACTGTACATAGTATGCACTAGATGATGACGGTCATCCTTCATGGTATGATACTGTTTCATGAGACAAGCTTGTTGTATGTTGGATGCTCCAACTTGAATAGATGAAAATGACGTCTGTTTATCTCGAGTGGCTTGCATGACGTAGTTACCAGTTAAAGCCTTAGTTAAAGGCAGTGAAAGCCAGTTAAGAGCAGGTTGAAGATTAGTTAAAGGTTAGTTACGTTAGTTAAAGCCTTAAGTAAAGTTAGTTAAAGAAACCCGCTTAGTCATCAAGTTAACCGCCGAAAAAGAACTTCGACTTTCTCCGACTTCGACTTCGACTTCGACGCCACAGAAAGACAGAGAAGACGGCGATAGAAGAGAAGACAAAAGCGAGAGAGAGAGAGAGAAAGACGAGAAGACAGAGAAACAGGCGATGTCGACTCGCTGAGATGAGACCATCTTTGCCCTCCAGCTTCGTCACCTCCAGCAGGCTCAAGACCAAGTCCAAGGCTGCCTCCACAACCACCAGCACTACAACTACTACAACGACTCCGACAACGACGGCGACACTCAACCGGCTACCTCACTACCGTTTCTTCTTCAACAATGTCCGTCCTCAACTGACAGACGACCAGCTCGTAATGATGAGACGCCAGCACCCCGTCCGGATGCCCTTCGAGGCTGGCGACGGCCCTGTTGGCATACCAGAAGGACCTGGCATCGGCGGCGGCGGCGGCAGTGATGGCACCGGCAAGGGCATCCTGATCGGCCTGCTCTCTGCCTTTGGGTCTGCCGGGATCGCCATTCTCGTCCTCGCGATCTTCTTCTTCTTCAGATATACCCAGCGAGGCCGCATCCTGCTGGACCGCTTCGGCAGGCCGGGCGAGTACGACGACGAGCAGGAGTTTGCCAGAGAGGAGGCAGAGGCCCTCGAGTCCATGGATGAGTTACAGGCCGCTGAATACTTTAGAGCAAAGGGTGTGTTCTGACTCTTCTTTTTTTTTTTTCCCCCCCCTTCTTACCTGTGGTGATGCTGACTTGAACAGCGTTCGTGCAAGCGAACCCCCCGGAGACAATGCAGACGGATATATCGCTTTCCCAGTTCCTGGCGATTCAGGAAAAAGGAGTGTCTGCGTGGGAGTTTGAGCCGGAGCTGGAGATTGCCAACTGTTTTGTCGAGGGACGCACCGAGATCGAGTTCTTCGACTCCGAGTGTGGCGTCCAGAGCAACCTGCCCGTCCCCAAGCAAAACGACGTCTACTACTGGGAAGCGAAGATCTACGACAAGCCGGAGACCACCCTCATCAGCATCGGCATGACTACGAAGCCTTATCCTCTCTTCAGGCTACCAGGTGAGTTCTATCGACCCGACAGACTTGATAGCGCTGGATCATTGACTTGTCTGCAGGTTTCCACAAGTCATCCGTTGCATACCAGTCTACCGGCCACAGGAGACACAACCAGCCCTTCAAACCTACGCCCTACGCACCAGCTTACGTCCAAGGTGACGTCGTTGGAGTCGGCTACCGGCCTCGCAGCGGAACCATCTTCTTCACCCGCAATGGCAAGAAGCTAGACGACGTCGTCCACGGCCTTCGATCGCAGAACTTCTTCCCTACCGTCGGTGCCAATGGTCCAGCCACCGTCCACGTCAACTTTGGCCAGATGGGCTTCGTCTTCATCGAAGCCAACGTCAAGAAGTGGGGTCTCGCCCCAACGACGGGCAGCCTGGCCCCTCCGCCACCCTACGGAAGCGAACAAGGAAGTATCCTGCTCGAAGCGGGAGGAGAGAGCTCCTCGGGAGCTGCGGCGGCGGCAGCAGCAGCAACAGGACAGGATCCCAGCCAGGCACAGGTGCAGGCAGCAGCTCAGCGTGCGGCGCAGCAGTGGTGGCACCCTGAGTACATCCAGCACCACGCCCAGCATGCCCACCAGGTACAACAGCACCAGCGCCAGCAGTCGCAGATACATGCACGAGCCCGCAGCGGGACGCTTCGAGGACACCTGCATGCCTCCTCTGGCCAGGCTCCCACCGCACCCGTCAGGACGCCAACCGATATATCCCTTGGTCCCTTGCCACACGTTGCCTCTGCCTCTACCCCGGACGTCCCTGCTGGTTCCGAGACGTCTGAGAATATTCATTCAAACACACATTCTACGTCCTCGAACGTTGCCGTCGTCAACCCTCGACCACCGATAGACGACGTTCCTCCGCCAGAGTATCGTAGCCCAGGCCACTCGCCGCCGTGCGGCCAGTCTGATGCATCCGAGGCACCACCCATCCCCAGCTACGATGCCGCCGTGCGTGAATCCAGGGAACGAGACAGACTGCAAGATTGATCTCTTGTGTTTTTTTCCCCCTTCCTCCCTGTCCATCCCTATACCAACTATTCGTTCTTATCTTTCCTATTGTTTCAATCCCTGCAAATTAGCGACTCATTTCAACCCTGGACGGAACACGGTGCGGTGCGGTCTGGTCTCCTTTCCTTTTCATCTGATATCTCCTTTTTTTTTCGGTGCCGGTGCGGTCTCTTGTTCACATCTCCTTCGTCTTCCTACGACGGCGTTGATCCAAGTCTGTCTTTCGTTCTATCGTCTTCTTCCCTTGCAAAACCTCCCCCTCGACTGGTTGATTCCCCTTGATACTGTTCTTCCTTTTGTCTATTCCTCCTACTTATCTGCCGCAATAGGATGTTAATGCTATGCTTTCGACTGGTCTACTGGATGTAATTAGTACAGAGGATACTCATAATAACAGCCTTATATATACACAAGACAGGCCATCCTTGTCTACAACCTGTCCTTCTCCCAGCTCATCCTTGACCCTTCATCTCGTCTATGCTGTGTATATGTATTACTATATTATTACTATCAACCACCGTCTTCCTTCGACCTCGCCTTCATCCTCCGCTACATAAAGAAACCAGAGACAAAGAAGTCTTCGTGCATGAAGCCACCTGCAGGCTATGCATCTATTATATGTATTTCTTCTTATCTTACTTGCTGCTGGGCCGGCGCATCTGCTAACTAGCCATACGAACTAAGAGACTAGCCTCGCTTGCCTTTTGCCCGTCGCTGTCGCAAAGCGCTCGTCGTTTTATATCGACGGCAGATATAATATATATATATACTTACACACACGCGCCCTTCGCCGGTTGGCAGTCTGAAGTCGACAGCCTGAAGTCGACAGAAGGCCGCAGACGATGCCAGGACGCAGGCTTCACGTCGCATAAAGAAGAAGCGAGACAGCCGGGACGCACCCAGAGCCTTTCACCTCCTTCTTCCCCTTCCTCTGCTTCTTCTACTGCTTCTTCTACCGCCTCTCGCTGATGCCTCGAGCCCGAGCCCGCAAGCAGACGACCGGCAAAATGATACTGAACGGCAGCGCGGACGGGCAGGTCTTTCACGTCGTCGTCCTGGTGAGCTACACGGATCGCAAAGTTATCACATGTGTCGGTACGGAAGAATGCTGGACTAACAGAAGATAATGTGTAGGGAGCGTCTGGGGGACCACGAGAAGACACGGCGACGGGCATCCTCGTCCGGTCGGCGTCTACAAACTGGGCCAAAGGCTCTGTCGTGGCCGTCGACGCCGGCACGCTGCTGTCGGGCCTCATCCGCATCCTCGAGACGGACTCACCGACCGAACTCGCTACAGACGCCCGTGGCCAGCGAAGAGTCGTCTGCTCAGGGCCCCTTGCCGGCCTGGAGCTGCCTCACGTCTCCCCCGATGCGAACGCGGCTCACATCTTCCGCGACATCCTGGCCGGCGTGCTGATAACGCATCCTCATCTCGACCACGTCTCGGGCCTGGCCATGAACACGCCCGCCGTCGAGGCGCAGTCCGGTCCCAAGACGGTCGCAGCGCTGCCCTCGACCATCGCGGCGCTGAAGAATCATCTGTTCAACGACATTACATGGCCGAACCTGTCGGACGAGGATGGCGGCGCGGGCCTCATCACGTACCAGCGGCTGGTAGACGGTGGAAATCAGCGACTTGGGCGTGGGCCTGCGAAGGGATACGTCAGGGCTTGTGATGGGTTGATGATCAAGTGTCTGGGTGTCAGCCATGGGAGGTGTAGGCAGCGATACAACCCGGAGACCGAGAAGCATCATCGGGCTGAGAGTACGGTGTTTATGACCGATCCGGTCCTGCTGCCCTCGCGGAGGGTGTCTATGGACGCTTCGTCTTTACGGTGGGTTCATACTCTGTATATCTGACAGCTATTCACTAAGAGACGCCTACGAGCTAACGGAAACGTTATAGGTCATATTCTCCCTCGACTCAGGCCCAGCAGCTGTCCTTCAGTACGAACGGAAAGGATAACTCGATATATGCCACGGTCGAAAGTTCAGCCTTCTTCATCCGCGACGATCTCACCGGCTCTGAGATTATAATATTCGGCGACATCGAGCCAGACTCCATCTCCCTCGAGCCACGCAACGAGCGAGTCTGGGAAGCGGCCGCTCCCAAGATCAACGACGGCTGC